GGGAGGAATTGGAAAGCCTAAAGGAGCAAGGGATCATAGTCGATAGCACCTCGCCATTTAATAGTCCCCTGTGGGCAGTGAAAAAGAAGGCAGCGCCGGGGGATAATAAGGAAAAATACAGAGTGGTAGTGGACTATCGTAGGTTGAACGACAACACGGTAGACGAAAAGTACCCGATCCCTAGATTCGAGGATATACTTGATAGGTTGAGTGGGGCCGTGGTGTTTAGCACGTTGGACCTCAAGGCGGGATACCACCAAATACGGATGCACCCGAAGGACCAACATAAGACGGCGTTTACATTCGAAAGGGGGCATTACGAATTCACCAGAATGCCGTTTGGTCTGAAGAATGCGCCCATAACGTTTCAACGCCTGATGGACGAATTTCTGAGGGGGATCGACGACTCCGTATGTCAGGTATACATGGACGACCTGCTGATTTTTAGCAGAACGGAAGCCGAACACGTGGGGCATTTGAGGTCGGTATTCGAAAGGCTGCGACAATTCGGGCTGAAACTGTCCAGTGAGAAGTCCCTGTTGGGACAAACGCGGATCAATTTTTTAGGCCACACTATTTCTAGCGAGGGGGTCAGACCGGATGCGGCAAAGGTGGAGGCTATCACACGAATGGCGGTGCCACGGGACGTTAAAGGGATTCGTAGGCTTCTCGGGACGCTGAATTATTATAGAAGATTCGTACCTGAGATGGCAGAATACTTGGTACCTATCAATAACTTGCTGAAGAAAGGCGCGAAGATCGTGGTGACACCGGAAATGGAAAATAATATTCGGAAATGCATGGATAGGTTGCAGGCAGAACCCGTATTGGCGTTCCCGGATTTTGAGAAGCAGTTCAACGTCACCACCGATGCGAGCGAATACGCGTTGGGGGCCGTTTTATCCCAGGGCAGAAGTGAGGGTGAACGTCCGATAGCATACGCGAGCCGACGACTTACGAGCGCGGAATCACGGTACAGCGCGTTAGAGAGGGAGCTACTCGCGATAGTGTGGGCCATCGACCATTTCAGGCCATATATATTTGGGAGGAAGTTTCGAGTCCACACCGATCACAAACCCCTTCAGTGGGTAGGAAAACTTAAGGAAACCTCTGCGAGGGTCACGAGATGGAAAGAATTCCTTAGCCAGTACAACATGGAGGTGGTGTATAAGCCGGGAAAGGAAAACGTGGTGGCAGACTGGCTCTCTAGGGCCATCATGATCAACGCGGTAGAAGAGGACGGGGGAGGTCCATCGCGGGACGTGCGCCAATTCTTGAGGGAATGGACTCCTGAGGGTGAAGGGGCAGATGATACCGTCAGTATAGAGGACAGGGAGGGGTCCCCGGAAGAAGATAGCTCAGCGGAGGAAAGACCAGTGGCGATGGAGGAAATAGACGAAATCATCAACGACAAGCATAGACAGGTAATCTGGAAAACCAGGACAACAGGGATCATGAAAATAGATTACCGAAGATACGGGAAAAGTAGGATTCGCGTCATTTGGTCGCAACCCGGGGTGAGCGAGGAGCAAATCCGTACGGCACTGAAGGACGCCACGGAACCGGGAAAGACACACCATCTCTATGTTGGGAACAACACGGTATGGGAGAAAATAAAGCGGATGTGGAGATCCGAGCGAATAGGCATGGATAGAACGATCATCCGGTGCAAGTATGCAGTGGAAACCGTACAGGATGAGGAGCAGCAACAAGCAATTACATTGGCATACCACCAGGGGAAGACCAACCACCGTGGCGTCAACGAGACGTTGCAGGCATTACGGCGAAAGTATTTCTGGTGGGGAATGAAAAAATCTATCCAAGGAATCATCGGGAAATGCGAGGTGTGTATGCGCACAAAGTATGATCGACACCCCCCCAGAGGAGTTCAGGAAGAGACACCTACAGGGAATATGCCGCTACAAGACCTCCAGATCGATACATTCACCTGGAAAGGGTTCAAGTGGGTCACGATCATCGACACCTTTAGTAAAGTAGCTATGGCACATCAGGTCATCGACAAGTCTGCCAATGCAGTTGCGGAAGCCCTACAAATCTGGATACAGTTTTACGGAGTTCCCGAGAGGATCACATCAGACGGTGGCAGAGAATTCGACAATACCGCGATTAGGGAGGAGGTGAAAAGGTTAGAGGTTGTGTGGCATTATAACACACCGGGACACCCTAAGAGTAGAGGAGGAATCGAACGTTTGCACAGCACGCTGAGTGACCACATCCGTGTATATCAGGGAGAGAAAGGGTTGGAGCCGGATGTCGCGATGAAGAAAGCCGTAACAGCTTACAACCATTCGATCCACTCCGTAACGGGGTTTTCACCTGTGGAAATACTATTCGGGATGCGCAGGCCAAGGAGAGATTGGGGGGAAACAACGACCGATGAACATCTCGTAGAGCAAATCCAGAGTACTAGGGTAGAGGTAGGAAAGACGTGGGGAAAGGTAGCGGGGAGAATTCAGCGGGAAAAGGAGAAGCGGGTAGCGCGGCAGAATGTGCAGGTACGTGACCGAATGGGAGAATTAAAAATCGGAACAATAGTGTATCGTAGAATTGGAACCAACAGAGGGAAACAATTGTTACGGTACGAGGGCCCATTCAGAGTGGTTGCTATTAGGGAGCATAATCTAGTAACCATTGAAAGCATTAACGAACCTAAGAAGAGGAGAACTGTTCATATTGAACAATTGAAGCTCCCAATGTTAGAACCGGTACAGAAACCAACTGATTCGTAGTACCCTTATCGCGTATTATAAAAAAATATGTTTTTTTTATTATTATTACTGTTGATGATGTCATTTTTTTTTTCTCTCATTATTTTTGTTGTTCTTGTAAATAAAGATATGGCAGCATAATAGAGGTGATTGTAATTTTTATAGGATTAAGAGTTCTGTCCATTGTTAATAAGACGTTGTGTGTTTACTTTCTGTGGTTTATTTCTTTTTATTTATTTCTCGTTCCAGCGGAGTGGAAGTGAGGTTTGGTGTACTTTAAGTTTATACTGGTACGAATAAATTGTAAAGGGTTAAGGCTGATACCGGTGGCTCCGATCTAGGAATTTATAAGTTTCCGAAAATCCTATTCGTAAACTGGTGGGGGGGAGATAAAGACCGGAGACTGGCGATATCAGCCTTAATACCATCTTGTAATGTAAATAAACATAGCAATTGTATATAAGGCAGATTATTGAACGAATAAAGCAGTGTTAATTCAGAAGCCGTGAGTATTGTTTCTCGTTCCTCTTTCCTTCTTTTTTTTTATTTACAAAGCCCGGAGACGCTTAACTTATATATATATATATATATATATATATATATATATATATATATATATATATATATACATATATAAATTGTTTTTTCTTTTTTCAGGTGGCTGTATAGACCATGTAGATCTTTGACCACGAGATATGGTTTTCTTCCAGACCTATATTACTTGCGGGAGCACCAATACTCTAGAAGAGTAACCCAACCTCACGTTGCTAAGAATCTATGTCTTCCCACTGACTCACTCGGGTTCAACGACAGTGACACATTATTCTAGACCGTACGTACCTTACCGTATTACCGTATTATGAGTAGCCAGTGTAATCCATGAATCTAGATCATATAGGTATACGGTCCCGTATCCAACTGCTTACCACGCTCGACATTGCCTAAGTTTGATTAACAAATATTGTAAGCGCATTAATCCGGCCGGCTGTCCTAGCCCCATACATATAATACATATACATATAAACACAAAGGCGTCGATAATTCAACAAATTTGTTAATAATATATATATTTTTTCTAGGATATTTAATTATTTTATAGGTAATTAGAACGAATTGTTAGCGATAAATAAAATTAATTTCTTTAACATATTTTATTCATTATATCTTTAAGTTTAGTTATTTTTGTTTGGATTTAATACTAATTTAGTATTAACTTATTTTATTATAAGTATTTGTGACTCCATGAATACAAGTACAAACCCTCAGCTTTAGATCAGGCATGTGTTTATATGTCAGTGGGCGTACGTGTATTTATTCACAATTTGGGAGCCTCTTAAATATTATTATTATTTGTATCTACATGTGCGTTTGTAAACCTAAGATCTCTGATACTTGTTTTGCTTAGTTGTGTTCTGCATAGTAAACTTTCTTTGGTACACCTGTATTTTTATTCATTTATGATATCTCATTTACAATATTTATTATATAAAAATATTTATATGTGAATAATAAAAATATTTGGAATATATAAAATGTGGGAATATTTGAAATATGAAAATATTTGAAATAATAAAAATATTTATGATCTTTGTTATATAAAAGTATTACAGAAGATAACAATCACTTCCTGGCTGCTTGTCCGACACTCTCTGAATTTAGAATTAAATGGTTAAAATCTAGAAATTTATCTTGGAATCAAGTAATAGATTTAATGAATGGAAACAATCGGATAGCATTGATAAATTACTGCAAGTTTGCTTTCTCCTATAGAATAATGCTCACCAGAGAATTTAACAATTAATAAATTGGAGAATTTTGGTGCCACTCTTTTTGTAATTAAAATATTTATATAACTTTTACATTGTAAATATAATTGTTCTTATTAATTAGTTGTATATAAATGGATTGAAATATAATTTTGTTGTAAAACACAAACTTCTCTGACGGTCAACAGACCATGTAGCACGTCTGATTTTCGGTTTTAAATCCAAAAATATTATTTTGTAATTTTTATTATGTAATTTTGATAAATAAAAAGACGTTTTCTTCTTCTTCTTCTCTTCTATAAAAGTATTTTTGTTTTTGTCTTCTTATACTGTACTTATTTTCATCTACTTAAAAACTAATAAAACTAATCCCTATTAACACTAAATGGGCTAGACTCCATGGTTACGATGTATATTAAGCCAATAAAATGTTTCTATTCTATTCTAATATTAATTTAGTTTAATTATATTTTATATTTTCCACAATTGGAAGTTTTAACCTTACCGTTCGCTCCAGTGCCTGCCGCTTTGAGTTATGTACTTGAGACCATGTATGGATGAGTTATCCATGTACGCTTTAATCTTTTCATATACTCTGAAGTTCATATCTTGCGAAGAAGGCTTCAGCAATAATGTCGAGTGGCGATATGGTATATGGATATATATATTTATATTTATATATTGCTACCACGCGATGAGCATTTGAATTGATATTAATCCCACTTCTGTGAAAGGCTCATTACCTCAAATGGATTCCATTTATATTCCGCAGCAACTATGATAATATTGCTATCGCTAGCTTCCTCTTAATAGCTCGTTATATCGCAAAAGTGGTTTATCTTTGTTTTTACTATTCTCTGCTATCACTTATTTATGTAATAATATACTTAGTTTTCGACCAGTTTTACAATTAAATTAAGTTTTAACTTGATTATTTTTTTAACGTTAAAGTTTGTTTATATAGAGAAATGATATTTAGCAAAGCCGAAAAGTTTTCTCTAATGTTATTTCTTTAAATACTCAGGTTAGGGAAAGTAGAGTTATCGGTGGTATAATATAGAACAAAAAAGTTTGGATTGTGTTTTGAATTTTGAAATAAAGCCTTACCTCATACAGATGTTAAGAACCTAGGTCGTGATGATCAAGCATGTTACCCGGTTTTAACGATGAATGAAACTCGACCTTCTCACTCTCTGGTGAGAATAAGTTATACCTCTAGAAAAATCCTTCCTAGTATGCCAAAAATGGTAAAATATGGGGCAATCGACAAAAAAGAGAGAAAAAAATATTATAACCAGCGAGATATCTCCATTAGTGAGGCGATGAGACTTATTCCTTTTGGGAATTGTGTACTCTTCTTTCGTGAACCGTACGCTTTAACGGACGTACTAATTTTGTAACTTCAAGGACAAATTTCTTTATCTCCTTGTTATATTTTTTGAAAATATCATTTTCTTTTTGTTGCCAGTTATATAGAGAACTATAGTTCTTATTAAATGATAACGTTTAATGAAAAAAAAAAAAGGAAGTACAAATTTATCATTTTCTTAAGCATATTTATTTTGTATTAAATTTATTTATTTTGTATTTTTTAACGTGATCATATATATATATATATATACAACCGCATATGTAAGTACATATATAATATACAACCGCAACTGTTAATACGTTTGTGTTCATTATATCCTTTTTCTTTTTCTTTCAATCTCTCCTGTAGATCTGTATCATGTATCATAAGCATATTCACATTTGCATATATTATATATTACACTACAACAATTCTTACCATCTATTTATTTCAGTTTAGGATCTTGTTACTTAGCTTACTCTGTTTATATTTTAATGTACATACTATTTATAATTTTAAAAAGCTTATTCACATTGTTTATAATTTTTTGTCGAAATATTATGTAACTTTCATAATTTTCTATATCCTTTTGTATCTTGTCTGTTCTAGCCCTGAACAAGACCAGCAAAGTCTTTTCGAAACGTTGGCTTTTAATAAAATAATTGTGTCACTCACTAGCGGATCCAGAATTCAATTTTTGGGGGGGGGGGGCTTCAGCCGAAAGCTTTTTTTTTCATAAAAATAGCGATAATTACTTTGGAAAAAAATAAAGAAACTAGCTATCTTTATGAAATGGTGTTTAAGTGATCCCTTAAGTCCTTATAAATGTAATTACACCAATAATAATACTTTAAGAGATAATTTTTTAATATATTTTCTAATAAAAAATAAAACATTTAATATATATTTAATATATTATATTTTACCATTTTGGGGGGGGCTTCAGCCCGAAAGCCCTCCCTCCCCCCGTAGATCCGCCCGTGGTGTCACTATTTAGCCTATTTATGACCGCCACCCCGGACCATCTCCTCCCTTTTTTAATATATTTTTCCTCGAAACGTGCTTACAGTTAGTAGATGTATGTGTGTAATAATTTAACAACTTAACACGTTTTGATTGTTTAAGTATTTATTTAAGATTATTCACAGAAAGAAATATAGACCGATCAAAAAAAAAAAAATCTATTTTGGAGCGCTTCAGCCCAAAACCCCCACCCTCCTGTATCCGCTAGTGGGTCCGGCTATTTAAAAAATGCATATATATTATTTTTAAAAATACTTACTCTAGTAGGATTGGATCAATGCCTCTTAAAAAGTATTTCGTTATGAAGGGTAATAAATAGTCGGTATTTAAGATTTTTATCGTTACCGTCGTTTCAACGCAAGCTAGAGGGTCATCATCAGGGTTGAAAAAAAATTATAACGTAAGAGATATAATATTATACAAAAGATAATATTTAATAATGATAAATAGTGATGGATGGTATGAAAAAAAAGACGTATGTAGAATAGTGTGAGTACATGAGATGAACAAATCGAATACGCAATAAGCTATTCAAACTATAATAAATTTAAAAGAAATATAATATCACCACGTTATCAGTACTGAAGGTATTCAAGTACTGGCACCTAGGTAGGATTTTTAAGATTGCAGAGATATAAAACAACAAAGTTAGAGGATTCGATAACATTATTCTTTATGGAATACACATCATTGAATAAATACCATATACTAGTTAATATGTAGTAAATAGCTTTTTGTTTTTTTTCTTCTTCCCTTCATGGCCTTTTTGAGATTTTTCCGGGTCAAAGAGGGTGAGGGCGGGAAATTAATGCCAGAGTTAAAAGTCCTCACTCCCACGGGCACCGGGAAGCGAGCTCCAAATTATTTTATCAAACAATTTTTGATCTGGATTGCCGAGCACACAGTGAGACAAGTGAGGAAAAACTGGCGACATGAGCTTTTTTTTTTTTTTTAACTCTATAAACTAGATAAACTGTTTTATTGATACCTTCTGGAATTCGTGAGAATATTTTCAGTTGTTAGAAAATACATTTTTCCATTGTTGTTATTGAATAGTTCAATTGAAAAAACCCTGAAAATTATTTCACAATGGTTTATTATTTCCAAACAATTGAACATCTAAAATAACATTACCATCTTCCTAGTAACAAAGAAAAATCAATAAAAGGTAATTCCAATTATTGGACTAAACTTTTTTTTTAGTCATTAATAATATGCTAAAAAAAAAAAGCATTACTTCAGTAACACATCCAAAATTCAAAAACCAAAACAAAGGGTATAAACCTTTGCAGTAGAACATATTAAAAAAAAACTAGAGACCATATCTTTGCTCCTAATTATCCGATTTTTTTTTAAAGGAATTTCGTAAACTTTTAAAAAACCATATACAATATAAAAAAAAAAGTGTATACTTTTTGAGTAAGGCGGACGGCGGGCGGACATAAACATTTTTATTCGTTTTTCGAACTATACGTATCCTGAAACGTAAAACCTCAAATTTTGAGAGGGAGTTAAGTTTTTGGATTTTTTGGTCGATCAGAATGGAATATAGAAATAAATAAAATAATAAACCAAAATAAAAAATAGATGTCGCTAGTTTTCCCTTATTCGTCCGATTGCTGAGCACAAGATATGGCCCGCTAGGGCATCCCGCTCCCTTAACTATTGCTGGTGATGTAATTATAATAAATAAGATAGCAAGGATGACAATCAAAATAAAAACATAAAAAAGTTGTAGTATAGGTATACAATAGTTTGTTTATTTATTATAATAGATATTTATTTATTTATTTGACGCTAAACAGCCTTGAAGGGATACACGACTATAATACTGGTTTCTTTTTCAATTTCTTCCTTTCTGCCCATCTCTGCTTGAAGATATCGCTAAATGTTTTATTCCTCTCCTCCGTCCACTTCCTCCTGGACGGAAGTTCCTTACTGTCCACCACATGCACCGCACTTTTCAGGAATTTCTTGTATTCTGTCCTATCCTCACATAATTCCCGTGTTATCCCAAGCCTCTGTATTTCCTGTTTTATTTGTACCGTATATCCATGGTTAAATTTGTATCTCATAACCCTACTGAAAATCTTCTTATTTAACCTACCTCGGTCATCCTTTGCATGTGTCTATAAAACCTAAGTCTTCTTACCCTTATTACCGTTTCCAAATCAGAAGTTTCACTGTAAATCTCCTTATTGGATATCAATCTGTATCCTTCTGGTGTAATTTTGGGCCCATGGATTCTTCTAAGAATCCTTCTTTCTATTTTCAGCAGCTTCTCCAAACTGGGAAAGAACATTGTCTCCGTTCCGTACAGTATCACTGGCTTTACCACTGTATTGTAGTGCCTGATTTTGGACTTTTTGGAGAGGCATTTTTTATTATAAATGCTAATCGTTAAGTAGCATAATTTCTCCAAATTTTTTATAATCTGTAAATTTTTTAATAATTTGTATCTATTACAATTGTAATATATAATTATAATGTTTACGATAAAATCAATTATAGTAAATAGAATCATTATTATGGATATCGATATTATGGTAAATAGATAATAGATATACATAATAAATATTATGATAAGTAGATTATTTATCATGAGATGCAGAACAGTTGACTAATTTCTTTCATCATTTCTTCATTAATTGAATTGGACGCACAAAAATCATATAAAGAAAAACCAAAATGTTTATACCTCAACATGAAATGTTTATACCTCGCGATTTTCGATTAATTTCACTAGATTTCTTCTTTTTCTATGATCGAAAGTAACAGCAGATTAAAAAGTTTCATGATAGCGGAAAGCATACGATACTCATAGCAACGTCATAGCCATCTTGTGTTAGAACATTACAACTTATGGTGATAAGAAGTTGGTGATAGCAGGCTTCGTCCATTTTGAATGACCTTCAGGTCCCAATCGAAGCCGTCTGACGAAAGTGGTAGAATCGACATCATGGGACTAAGTCCTCAAAATATCACCATAATGGGTATCCTGGATATTATATTTTATTATTTATAATTTATTTTTATTTTAACTATCAGTTAATAAGCAGATGTTCTGTAGTGAATTCGGAAAATGACATTATATGAATGAGGAAGGATAGCAAGGAGATCTCTCATCCAGCTCCTTCACAGTCACCTTCTGATGGGCATGTCAGTCGTGGCCATGTCGTTTTTATAAATGTTTATCATCAGTTTAATACGAAAGTGGGAGTAAAAAGTACGTAGGTGTTAATCTGTTTACGTACCAGGGAGCTGCTGTTATTGATCTTAAAATTTTGGATTAAAAAGATTGTAGTTTTTGTAAGTACGTCTTTTTTGCTGAATCGTAAATCTATGTGGGCATGTCTATACGGGATAGAGTAGGTATGTGTATGTATTTAATTTTCGTCTAATTTTCAATTTCGATTCGAAAAAAAAAGTTAGTATTTTCACTTTCTAAATATTGATCTGATTTTTCCATTATAAGCTGTTCAAATTGTTAATTTTCAAAAGCATCTACTTTTTAAAATGCTAATTACTTGTATATATGTTATCTATATACGCGTTATGTTGCAAGATGTGAAACGCAGAAAATGTTAGGTTATTACAAAAAATCATTAAGTACAATTTTTATGAAGCTATACCTTAATGAAAATTTTCGTAAATATCGACCTTATTAATTGATAATAAAAACACAGGACATACGTCAAAATGACATAAACCAAAATAAATATCGGGAAATAGTTTAAATAAGTGAATATTCAGATAGAAAATTCATCAAAATATTTAAGTGATTTGATCTTCTGAAATGTTACATAAACACTTTTGCAATAAATATTCCTGAATAAACTTACTTAATTTTGAAGATGTGGTATTTTAATTAAAAAAAAAAACATTTAGGTAAGTTTAAAATAAGCATTTGATAGCCTCCTCAACGAAGAATGGTTTTATTTAAAATTACGAGTTTTTCATAAAAGCAGAGGTACAGATCCATTTTTATCAACTTATTAACATCTGGCTGCAAATTCGTAAATAACTTCATGCCATTGTAACCTACAAATATTTTATTTACGAAAATTCTGGGAATTCGGGAATTTTTAGTCTGCATTTCGGCTAACATTTTCTTTTTAAATAGGTACAAAAATAAATACCGATTTATTTTTCACTTGAAGCGAAAATAATTCGATCACAAAATCGATAAAAAAGGTGGCCTGCAAAAATATTAGGCTATTTGGCCTATATGACCTCGTTCTTTTGACAAAGTGGGAGTGTAGGTCACATCAAACGGGTCAATATTTTAAGGCTACATTTTTTCTCGACATTGTGCACAAGTTATCTTACGATTCAAGTGGAAAGCAAATTGGTATTTACGAGTTTTTAGTACCTGATTAAATAGACAAAATTTGCCTACCTCTAGATTGAAAATGCCCCAATTCTCAGAATTTTCGTAAATATAATATTTGTAGCTTACGATGAGATGAAGCTATTTAATAAGTTTCAGCCATATGTTAATAATTTGATAAAAAGGGATCTGTACCTCTGCTTTTATGAAAAATTCATAATTTTAAATAAAGTCATTCTTTGTTGAGAAGGGTATCAAATGCTCATTTCAAATTTCCCTAAATGTTCTTTTAAATTAAAATACAACATCTTGAAAATTAAGTAATTTTATTTAGGAATACTTATTGCAAAAGTGTTCAAGTAACATTTCATAAGATCAAATCACATAAGTATTTTGATGAATTTTCTATCTGAATATTATCCGGTTATTTCAACTATTTTCCGACATTTATAAGGTTTATGTCATTTTGACGTATGTACTGTGTTTTTGTTATCGATTTATAAGGTCAGTATTTACGAAAACTTTCATTCATGTCTAGCTTCATAAAAATTGAACTTAATGACCATGGACTATTAGCTTTATTAATCATCTGATCAATTAGTCCAGAGAAAGAAGTCATTAAGTACCATAGAGTAAAGCTCTTGCTCTGTAAAGTCAGAACATCATGCATTTACTGAAACTATGTTACACCTGTACAAGGATTTGAATAATTTACTTAATGAGTTATTGTATTGACAAATATGATCGAAAGTAACAAATACAAATCTACACGTCAAAATCGACCAAAAGTGTACTTTACGATGTGGTCCCTCTCAAAAATTCAATACCGCGTAATTATGTGCCCTCCCCCAAATTTCGATGATGCAACTTGTGAAAAGTTACCCCACTTAAAAATATATACATCGGAACTAGCACCATGTGACCCTCTCGTGTACACAAGAACGAAACTGAAAACTAAAAAATTACTTTGAATTAAAATAGTTTAGAATAGTACTACGGGTATCCAATTATGGGATTTAAAAATAACTAATTCACAATTAGCGATAAGAAAATAAGACTGTTTTCATTAAAGTCTTTCCTTTTTTTTATTATAGTTTTCACCTCGTAACAATTTTCCAAATCTATTTCGACCGAGGAATATGACCTTGTCGATATTTTAATGTTTAGCCTTAAACCGCTATCTCAGACAGACCTATATATAGGATATCAGCGCTTCCAATACCTTCGCCATTTCAGAAAGGCCAAAGAGGTTTTAGCCTCAGTCAGGTTCATTTCGATCGAGTGTAGTTCAAGAAGGAGTCATCATGAGCGACCAGAACTTCAGAGATTCCGAAGTGGACAGTACCGGCCTCTTCCCCATCCCGGTATGTTTGATATCGATTATATTCTATCGATGAGTTGGTCAAATTGTGATTTCGATGGCATTTTTATTAATATTTTCTGGCTATTGACTTGTTCGAGTTAAAAAAAATCCACAAATCTCCATTACAAGAACAACATGCTCTAATTTCTTTCTAAAATGAGATTTATTGTGAACTCGGCATAAAAAAAAAAAGTGTTGATAAGTAAAATATCTGGGGTGTCCACTCACACGACTTTCCTACCTATTTCAGAAAAGTTTTTATATCTTTACATATGTTCATGAAGAAACAAAAAAGAATTGAACTAGATACATTTTCCTGAAAATTGATCAAACATAAGATTTGAGTACGATTCATTTGATAAACTAAAGCAATGTAAACCGACTTAAGGTAGAGCAGTGTAAAAAATTCAACACTTCTTAATATTGCTGACCAAAAACTTTTTTCCATAGCTTAGTATTGTCAAACAATAATTTCTGTTAAAAGTAGAGGAAATAGTGAAGATTGTGTGATGCGGGCAACAGATTTTCTTACTTTCACTTAGTCATCTTTATTCTCTCATTCACCCCTTTCTGACATCGGGATATGAAACCGTGATCTTACATTGGAAATTGAATAGCTGTAACTTCGTTAATAGTTATCCAAAATGAACGATTTTTATAGAGCTTTGTAACGAATTTCATTACCTTTCAATACTTCATTCCGTTTGCAATACTTTCCTTACCTAGTATAGGTAGGAAAGTAATAAGTTAAAAAATGTGTAAAAAAATAGAATAAGCTGTATCATCGCTAATACTGGTTCGATTCCAATGATTTTTTTTTTGTTTTGTTGGTAATTTAATTACCTTTTAAAACTTGTATTATAAATTTTAACGTATAATATATACTTAGTGAGTTAGGCCCCATAACATTTTTATTTTCTTTATAACTTTTTTTCTGATTTTTTTCGTGAATTTAGTCTATATACGAAAATTAAAAGAACAATTGGAACATTATAGGAAAGTTTCATCAAAATCGTTAGAGCCGTTTTTGCGCTACAGTCTATAGAAAACATGTTTTTCATTTACAGTCATCAGTAGTCAAAACCCTACAAAATAAAAAAAGAATCAACAAAATCGGTTCACTAGTTCCCGAGAAAATCTTGGCACAGACAGATGGCTAAAAATGTGTTTTTCGGACTCAGGAGGCTCTGAAAAGTATAGATCCGTCGAAAACCGTCGGAAATTTGACCCGGTCGGAATTATCGATATGAAAATATAGGTAGGAAAGTAAAAAAGAATTAGCAATGGAAAAGCCTAGAGGATGCAGAAGAACTTTGGTTTTCCTGTGACAGAAAACTCATTCTTCACTACCACCCAATCAAGAGGAGTTCGGGGTACCTTTTGAAAACTTGAAGATGCACTGGTTTGTATGTTATTTATCTTAACAGGAGAGATATCCATCGGCGAATTTCATATCCAGATTGGTGAGACCATTTTCAATCGACTGGTTGAATTACAATGACACGCTAATGATTAAATATTTCTTAACTATCTTCAAATCTATCAAATGTATATTTTATTATCATCAGAAAAGAATATAAAACATTCTTATATTTTATAGTTAATTGAATACCTCTATCCATTATTATTATTTGCTTGTTTTTTGAAGGGAAATATTGGCAACATGTCGATGAACGTTCACATTCAAACAGAAGAGACAGATTTCAAGGTAAAGGGAAACAAGAAACGGAAAGCGAAGTAAGTAATTATTTTTAAATAGTTTTGTTTGTATATTTGTGATAACATGATTCGACTCAAAGATAATTTTTTTAAAAAAATTATATTGATTTTTGGTTCAAATTTTATTTTCTCATGGAAGTAAATGCTTATAAAATATTTTAAAAAGGTAAGAAAAAGAATAAAATCCAAAGAATCATAAAAAAAAGACTCTAGTAAATCTCTGAATGAAAATAAACATAATTTAGAATCATCATAAACATTATCACAAAAACATCTAAAAAGTGGAATTACAATTTAAAGTAGTTTTCCCGCCATTAGGGCTTTTGCTTTAAAGTTCATGACCAATCAAAAAGCAAATGTTCTTGATAAGTAGATTTAAAAACGTAATATATTTCTCTACAACAATTCACTTTAAATTAAGATGTCGTTCAGTTGAACGGGTTTGAAAAAGTTTTTTACATTCAAGTGAGCAGCATTTTATAGTAATGTAGCCCTTGTAGGAAAGAAGATAACTTTTTTTTTAAATAAAAAATACACAGACAACAAGAAAAAAGCTTCACAAAACTGATAAAAGATATGATACAACTGATATGAAATGAAATGAAAATATATTTTATTATTCTGGGACTGTTGTCCCATTAGAACAAATTATAAGTGCTGAATACATATGTAAGTGATCATAAATAGAGTAGATATATACAATATTGGATATTTAAAATACAGACGGAAAGAGAGAAAAAGACATGAAAAGCGTAAATATACATACACAATACAAACAGAAAAAACTAAAATAACGGAAACATTTTCAGGGGGTAATTAGATTGCTCTTTTAGTATATTTCGTAATCAGGCAGATTGAGAAAGGAGTAGGTGTTTAAAGAGAAGAGGTTTGAAAGAGGAAATTGATTGTGCGTGTCGAATATCGGCAGGGATGAAATTCCAGAGGGAGGCGGCTTGAATCGCAAATGATTTGTCAAACGCAGCAGTTCGGTGAGGAGGGGGATAGAGATCGGAAGTGCGAGATCTAGGAGAACGGGATTGGACGGAGTATTTAAATTGTATGCTATGGAAAATATAGGAGGATCGATGAGTTCTAATGATCTGGTAGAGAAAGGTAGAAAGGAATTACCGACGGCGGTTGGATGGATAGAGCCACTTCAACTCGGTATAGTACTGGGTAATATGGGTATCTCTTGTGATTCCGAAAACAAAACGTAATGCGCAATTCATTAGGCGTTTAAGTTTGGCCTCGAGATCTCCCGAGAGTCCATCGTACACCATACAGCCATAGTCGAAGTGGGGGAAAACAAGAGAGGAAACTAGGAGTTGACGGGATTTATGTGGAAGGAGATATCGTAGACGATTGAATTGTTTTAGGGTGGAGATAGTGCGGCGGGAAATTTGGGAGATGTGAGGTTTCCAGGAGAGGGTTTGATCAAAAGTAACACCTAGGTTATTAACGATAGTATCGATATGGTACAAATGGCGATCATTCAGAGTTATAATAACTATTTCAGGATTAAAATTTAAAATAAAAAGTCACTTAAAGCCTTTTTTACATTAAACCGACAATATATTTATGTATCTCAAAAATTTTATTTCGAATTTTATATCATTCCATATTGGCGATATCGATATATTAAAATCGATATCAAAGACCGATATAGATATGGGAACTTGCCCGATATCGTGACAATCCTAGCTGTAACTATTCTACGCAACATGATTATTAAATAGTCACTGGTCTCTTAATATGTTTTAGGATTTTTATATCAGGAAACACAATTAAAACCTTTATTCTGTCGTACACTATCTTTACACTTGAACTATATTAGCAAAGTCATTGAAATGCCAGTATGATTAACAAAATATTATCATGGGCACAGGATCTAATCTCTTAGGCCCACAGACTAAATGCAGATGTTAATGAATTAAGCTCAAAAACAGTAATTAATTTATTTATAGATTAATTAGATTGTTGTACAAAGAATTAAATCAGAACCTACCAAAACTGTATTTTATACAAAATTGGTCTATGCATTTTATAAGCACAATTATAAAAGTAAGAGGGGAATCAGTTCAATTAAATAACAGAATAGATAGAATCGGCAGCCATATTTGTTCTCTGTGTAACTTAAACCAAATAGAAAATATGTAACACTTCATTGCAGTATGCCCAGTTCGAATAAAATACTTCGGAAAGAATAGTTTAACTTATAATGAGTTCCTTTATATGATAAATGAAGAGGATCTGAATGCAGTCTACATTTTTACAAACATATCACTAACATATAGAGCATCCCTGATAAGATAATTTAATTATTAAACAATATTATGGTAATCTGTAAAATATATGGACGTGATATGTGTGTGTATATGATATTAAATGATATACGTAATAATTTTGACTTAGTAATATTTAACTCTAGTATTCTTGTTTTTCTCTTTATATTTTCGTAAATTCGTAAACTAAACTGTTTTTACTAGCAAGAGCAACAGGTACAACTAATTTCAAGCAGACGGACAATGCCCATGCTTATTTATTGTATATATACATATATATATATATATATATATATATATATATATATATATATATAATTAAGATAATTATGTAATTTAATTTTGAGAAAATATATACATTCATTCATATGTTTTAGGAAAAAAAAGAAAGAAACCCCTGGAGGAGAAACATCAGGTATCGCAGGTTTGGTATGTTTTTTTTTTAAAAGAAATATTATTTATTTACTAGAGAAAATAAAAGCTTTAATTATTTAAATTATTTCACATTAGTTCAGGTACGCTACCGCTGGGGATATAACGCTGATGGTGATCGGGTTTCTGGCTTCCATCGTTAACGGCGCTGCTCTTCCCTTCCTGGCCGTCCTCTTCGGTCAGATGACGAACATGTTCAACAATGTAGCCACTCACGTAAGTATCAAATAACATAGAACCAAAATGGTGATTCAACGTTGCCCTCCCATCTACTCCTCGGACCAGCTTTCCTTAATTATATAACAAAACAAATACCTTCCGAAAATAGCTTTTGGAACTGCATAATGTTAACAATTCCCATTAAAAAAGACCCTTTGTTTAAACACCTCGTTGTATAAATTAGAGCCTCAACATAAAAAAATAAAATTATTCATGTTGGCCGCAACACAAACTGAAAACGACGATATAATTTCATTTAAAACAATTAATTACGGTGTTTCTCCCGCCTATCGAATCAGTTAAATTTATACTTTTGCATCGATTTTGATATTCTTTTATGACTGAGTTTAGTATCAAACAATACTAATGATTATGCAGGAAAATGGATCTTAAAAATTATGAGTTTTATAGGAAACATTTACCACTAAATTCGTCGAAAAAATAACTTAACGTCAGCAAATGTTGTATATTATTAGATTAATATTAGTAAATCCTCAACATTTTGCGTGATAATCATTTAAAAAAATTATGTTGATATATAAAAGTTAAATTAACAGCCCTGTAAACGGTGAAGAGGATCGACAAAGGTCGGGCTGTTTCGGCTGTTTTCGTAAAGCTTACAACCCTTATTCCCACTTTACTTAAAAATTTTTTTTTTCATTTATTATATTTAACCATTTTTATATCAATTCCCAATATGAAATGATTAATTATTTCAAATAAAAAAATTAAAGGTACATTAGAGAAAGAAATTTTGAAAATTAGGCATTTAAACAATTTAAGGGAACATCAATAATAATGAAATATAATGTTATATTAAAAATCGCTTAATTTGAATTGAATCAAAATCGTTAGAGCTCTTTTCGAGAAAATTGTAAAATAAAATAAAACAAATAGTTTAAATTAATATATTACCTACGTAATCGAAGTATAATGTAATTTATAGTTAAATAAATACATGTACGTCATTTTACGCTTTCTATATTTATTATTATGAGATGATAAAAGTTATGAAAACTATTTTCCTAAAACATTGCATATTATGTAAAACATTATTATTAAATAATTTATGGCACTCGTTTAGGGCTTTAAAGATGAGATAAATTCAACTATCAATCGTGACGTCTTCTCAGACATTTCGATACACGAAACACCCTGGACAACCGGAAATGGGTATGTATATTAATGACTTGTTATACATGATTTCAAATGAGAGGAAGTATATAATATATTCTCAAATTTTTCATGACAACCATCTTTTTTTTTATAGCTCCGATGTAAGAATAACTAGAAATGAATTCACAACAGCAATGGCACATTTCTCCATGTATTACATCTACGTTGCTTGCGCTGTGTTGGTTGCAGTATTTATACAGGTTTGAATCATTACATTATATTGAATTAGATTTTTTTAACTCTGAATGATTTTTTAATCATTTCCTTTTTTTAGACATTGTGTTGGGAAAGCGCTTGTGAGAGACAGATATTCAGACTAAGGCAGATTTTCTTTTCACAAATTCTAAGACAGGATATCAGCTGGTATGATGAAAACGAAGATGGCGATCTGCCTCACAAGTTGTCTGAGTAAGTCGAATAGAAGTTATTAGTCCTCAGACCACGAATAATCCATGTTAACAAGCAGAAGGAGGAGGAGATAGCAGAGGATTTCGGGAATCGACATGAATTAGATGAAATGCGCATAAAAGGCGATAAAGAATGATTTTGTTTTTGTATTTAGACTAAAAAAAATCTAGTGTGTCCACTCACACGACTTTCCTAACTATTTCAGAAAAGTTTTTATGTCTTTACATATATTCATGAAGAAACCAAAAAGAAAATTTAATTAAATTTATTTTGCTGAAACTTGATCAAAGAAAAGATTTAAGTACGATTTTTGATAAACTTCAGCAATGTAAACTGGCTTAAGGTAGATCAGTGTAAAAATTTCAATATTTACCCTTTAATATTGCTGATCAAAAACTTTTTGCCATAGTTTAGTATTGTCAAACAATAATTTCTGTTAAAAGTAAAGGAAATAGTAAAGCTTGTGTGATGTGAGCAACACATTTTCTCACTTTCACTTAGTCATCTTTTTTCTTTCATTCACCCCTTTCTGACACCAGTATATGGACCTGTAATCTTACATTGGAAATTGAACAGCTGTAACTTCGTTAATAGTTGTCCATAATGAACGATTTTTATATAGTTTTGTAGGGATTTACCTTTTAAAAGTTTTAATATAAATTTTACCGTATAATATATACTTAGGCGAGTTAGGCCTCAAAACATTTTTCTTTTCTTTATAACTTTTATTCCTGAATTTTTTCAGAAATTTAGTCCATATACGAAAATTTAGAGGACAATTATTAGAACATTATAGGAAAGTTTCATTTAAATCGTTAGAGATGTTTTCGCCCTACAGTCTATAGAAAAACAGATTTTTTAATTATTGCGCGCAAGCTATTACGCTTGGAGCACCGAATTTCTGTCACAGGTATCAGTAGTCAAAACCCAACAAAATAAAAAAAGAAGCAACAAAATCGGATCACTATTTCCTGAGAAAATCTTGGCACAAACCGACAGACAGACAGACCAATGGCCAAAAATGTGTTTTTCGGACTTGTTTATTTATTTTATATTGGACTACACGGAGCTCTAAAACGAGTAGTTCCAATATATTTTATTATTATATTTCGAGATTTACTGCTGTAACCGGCATAAAATAAGTAAATGGAATAAATATACTGACATTTTCAAAAATAATTTGAAAATTAATAAAGAACCTTGTACATTGTTTTAACTTGACAAATAGTAAAATTATAAAGGGCTTATCGTACCTTGAAGATACCAGTAACTAATAAATGTTAGTAGGTAATATATTCATCACTTCTTTTGAATACATACAACGAACCAGATTTGATCCTTGATGTAATACAAAGCTTCCCTACCTTTGGTAACATGAAAGCAAAATAAATTTCCTACAAGAGAGTTTACTATGGTAACAAGTTTAACCAGTGTTCCTAGAGAAATAAATATGTAAGTACATCATCAAGATTTTTCCCTATTTATTTGATAGGCTAATAACTTTGATAACTCTCTGAGCAGAGCGCTCTGCCATCAACTCTGTGATATAGTGGTTTGACAGAGATCTAATCTCTACAAAGCCAATGTAATCTGACAGCTCTAACATCACAACTCTGGCAAAAAAAAAATTTAACTAGTTTGGTAAAAAGGCGTTTAGATATAGGTTAAAATGGTCAAGTTAAAATATCTTTGATTAGTGAGGATTTCATATATTTTTAAACCTTGAGGAGACTATTCGAGGCTTATTACTAGCATTATTTCTTTCTTATCGAACATTCCTATTTTTTTTTCTCTTCAGTCACACATCACAAGTCTTGAAAAATGGTGTCAAAACTGGAGGATTAAAATAAATTCCAATAAATCACATCAAATTACCTTCACTCTTCGTCGTAAACCTATGACTTCCTGTCCTACAGTATCCTTCAACAATAGCCCTCTTATCTCTGTCGAGTAAATCCGATACTTAGGATCTCCACCTTGACAAACGACTCACTTGGAACCCCCACACCAGACTGAAACGACTAGAAACCGCCCGACCTTTCCGATTACTCCGGCACTTACTAGACAAACGCTCTAAGCTTTCAATCAATTACAAAAGACTCATATATATGACAATAATAAGACCTATTTGGACTTACGGAATTGAGCTTAGGGGCTCCACTAAACCATCGAATTCCATCTCGTATCCAATCCTTACAATTCAAAATCCTTCGTAAAATCCTCAACGCTCCTTACTTTGTCACAAATAAAATCATCCATCAAGACCTTAATGTTCCACATGTTTCCGATTTGGCCCAATCCAGATATCTATCCTTGCATAACAAACTGCAGAACCATCCGAACCCTCTTGTTTCAAACCTTGGTTCCTCCTCGATCCCTGATAAGCCTCCGAGGCGTCTGAAAAAAAGATGGCCTCGGGACCTTCTAATATAGAAGTTTAATTTGAGTTCTAGCAATGAGTAGTTTCTCTTCATGTTGTACATGTGATGTTACCAATGTCACATTTACTTATTGTATTTTCCATGTAATACAGTTGTAAATTTCAATAAAATTAAATATAAAAAAAAAGTTTAAGACGTTCAACTTTTTTAATAAATACTACATAAATACCTCCTTTTCTTGAAATATATTTTAATAAATTTGGTTCCAGTGACTTGGAAAGAATAAGGGAAGGTATCGGAAGCAAGTTCAGCATGTTGACGCAGTACTCGTCGACTTTCATAACAGGCATAGCGGTCGGCTTCCATGCCAACACCAAGCTCACGTCGGCCATGATAGTCATTGCTCCGCTGGTTATCGGCATGTCGGCCGTTGTAGCTAAGGTAAGGCACACTTTACTGAATTTATTTAAAATGCAGAGTAAATATTATAAACCTTGGCGTTAGAGATGAATAATTAACCGTCGCAGGCGATGAGTGGGTCCGCTGCCAGAGAACAGATACGCTATGGCGTTGCAGGAGGGATAGCCGCTGAAGTGATCAACGCTGTGAAGACTGTCGCTTCCTTCGGCGGAGAGCCCAGGGAGATAAAGAGGTTAGTAACTGATAACATAATAACTTAAAAAAAAAACAGGAAAGTACCTGATTAGTCTCTCTTTATTTTAGGACATATTTAAAAAGTAAATTAAGGTATTGATTAAAAGTAAAAGGTATTAATCAACATAAGATTGAACTTGACATCTACTTGCACGACAAACGGACAGACATTGCTCTTATCACTGAAACACACTTGACTCCACATTCCCGGTTACAGAATATACAGAACTGATCACCCAGACAATACAGCTCACGGTCACAGCTAATGAAACGTTAAACCTCAGATTACGATTATGATATTCAATTTTTTCAAGAAACTCAAAATTAAAATTAAAACAGAAACTGAACACTTACATTTATTAAGCGTATAGGACCTGCGCTTCTCAAATACAGAGAACAGCCAAAACGTCCCACATACTGAAACTACAAACCTTTCAGTCATTTAGGACAATAACTAAAGCTGCGTGGTACGTCACAAACATTACTTTACATAAAGAACTAAACATGCCAACCGTTGACCACATACGGACATATTACAAACAATTTCACAATATCTTGCATGGACATTCTTACAAACTGATACAAGACATGGGCTCGATTAACATGCCCGAAAATACGCTTTGGAGGCTCAAAAGAAGCTGAATGAGCTTCTCACCTAAAAATATACTCTTAGAAGGAGTTGTTCGGGGGGTGCGGTCAAATAAATACTAAATTATAGAAATAGTATTATTAATTTTTTTTATATCTCTAAATTATACTATATCTCTGATATCATCTTTTTATTTCTTTATTAGACAACTTCTTCTTATTTTATACCTGCTTATATTCATTTATTTTATTTTCACCATCTACCTTTTATATTTGGCAAAAAAATTAAATAACACTATTTCTATAATTTAGTATTTATTTGACCGCACCCCCCGATCAACTCCTTCTGATATTATATCACGGTCATTAAAAATACCTTTTTCATTAAAATACCTACATCATTAAAAATACCCAAATCAAGAAGGGATACCGCTGGGCACTCCTATCCCTCACGCCGATCAATCCACTATTAGTATTTTCCCGACAGCAGACTTGCTAATTGTCAGTACTTCGTAATCACAGGTGTGAATAAAAAAAAAAAAAAATTAAATTTGCCAGTCAGTTTTAATTTTATTTTATTTTGTTGAGCTCAGTAGGCAATTTAATTACCTTTAGAATTAAAACAACACACGCTTCGGAGTCTCAAAAGAAGCTGGATAAGGGATTTCCTACCCTAAAGATATAATGAGTTCAAGCCAAGAAGGGATGCCGCTGAACACTCCTTTTCCTCACGCCGAACAAGCCACCATTAGTATTTTCTCGACAGCAGACTCGCTAATTGTCATTACATCTGACAGGTGTGGAAAAAAAAAATAAAGGGAGAACGATTGTATTTTTATAATTAAAAAAATAATATTGCTTTGCAATATCTACTTTCCCTAATCCTGGTTCATTTACCAAAAATTGAAAAATGGAGCAGATGCTCTGTTTCAAGCGATTTTTTATTTCGGGGATGGAGTAAGTAATTGTGCTAATCTATTAGGAATCGAAGCGAGCAATATGGAACCATCGCTAACAGTTGGAAAGGTGAGACACTCCGTGAAAGAAAAAAAACAGGCATATATCACAAGGCTCTGATAAATTTTTTGTTCAATGTCATCCCAAACAAAAAAAATCAGTGCCACTTGATATTTGCGTATTTTTTTGGGGTGGGAGGAGGGGGATGACATTACACAAAAAGTCTATGCAAGTCCGGTCAATGACCTTAATTCCTTACGAAGAAGGATAATTGAATCTTGTGAAACAATAACACACATCCAGTGCCGTTCTGCCACTGCTGCTGTTGAAGAAAGATGCCGTGCCTGTCTTTTTTTTTTTTTTTTTTTATAAAATATGTATTTGCGCCTGTCAACAATAAGTTGACAATCAGCAAATGTGATGGCGATAATGATATAATGACATGACAGGCATGGGGAAGGAAAGTACTCAGCAGTACCTCTTCTCTAACTTGTTCGAATTACTTAGGTTGTCTAAGGAAGGAGATCCCTCATCCAACGCCTTTTTAGTCTCCTGCTCATGTTCTGAGGTATGTCAGCTGCGGCCATGTCTCTTATAAGTCTGTTATTATGTCCATTTAAATTTGTGTAAAATCGTTGATATAGGGTCGTTATATGTTGGTCAACTGTTGGAAAGTGGAGGTCAGTATGTAGAGTTGCCTGTCTTAATGCTCAAAGAAATCACTTTGAACAACATTTAATATGAATTTAGTGTTTATATTTAATTCATAAAGTAGTTGGAACAAATAAATAAGTTTTATTTACTTAATATAATGTAAATAATTCATAACAACGAAAAGCTTTAGGTGTGAATAACAAAGCGTTTAAGGACACACCTTCAGAGGATTTTTTTTCTTGTTTTGAGGTCCTTAGTTCATATTTTCAGTTTGGTCACTTAACACTGTAACACACATTACAACAAATATTGGCTTTTAATATATGATCATAATTTGGTAAAAATGTTATTATAGGTATGGCGAAGCATTGGAAGAAGGCAGGAAGATAACAATGGGAAAATATTACGTGCTCTCGGTAGCGGCGGCCATGATGTTCGTCGTCTCTTACGGTGCTTTCGCCTTCGCCTTCTGGTATGGCTCCCAGCTGCTCAGTCGTGGCGACGCCACAGCTGGCAGTATATTTACTGTAAGTATATCGATAATATCATATCTTAAGAAAATAAGTTACAATAATTCACTCATGTTAATAATACTTCTTATGTAAGAATATTGATAAAATAATCACCTCTATCAGAGCAATCTATCACCAAATTATGCTATGATACACGAAGTTAGTTGCCACCACAATAAAAAAATCATTATAGAAATAAACAATATTGGGGGGAGGTAGAGAGGAAAACACAGAACTTATTTTTACATTATACGTTATTTCTTGAAGGTGTAGTTTTTACTTAATTTTACGGCCAGTTCACCTAATTTGTAGCTCCATTAAAACATCGTCAAATCCAATGATTGACCACCATTTTGAATATAACCTTTTACAACAATGCCAAAAAATAAGTTATAAAGAAAGAATATATTTGCGCATAATTAAAAAAATATCTTATATAAATAATCATCTGAAACTAAAAAAACACATCAAATTGTACCATTTTAGCAAATATACTATTAGACATTGTTCATGTGTATTGATTTGTTATAATAATAAACCTACATAACGGGCCAATAAATAAATAATAAATAATTTAAATCATTAAAAATTTGAGGTCTGTCGTTTGGAGATTCCTAACGTCTTTTTAATTTTATTTTATGTTATCGTGTTCTGTAGGCAATTTTCCTAACTTTCTTATTAGCAACTGATGTTATTTTCAGTAATGAACTTTCGTAACGATTAAAAACAAATAAAATGATTTAATCCCTCCTCTTCAACCAGTATTGTATTTTCTTATTTATATAATAGCTGTACACGACCACGCGTTGCTGTGGCTCATTCTGGTTAAATAAAAAATAAAGTAGAAAATAAATCAGATGTTTCTAATATATTTTATGTAACAATAAATGTGAATATGTGATATTCTTTGTATAGATATAGAGATTGTCTGGTTTTCCAACTCTCGAATTCGCAACATATAATTGTCTATATAAGAAGCAACCGGTATCTACCATTTATATTTTTATTTATGTACACTATTTCATGTTTTTATTTTACTAAAGCTCGTTAATATCTATTAAACAAAAAAAATAATGAAGAAAATCGGTTGAATAATAGAGGAGTAAAAGGGGCTGAACCGATTTGTGTTTACTTATTTATATAATAATTATAATTTAGTCTCTAAGAATATTTTTTAAGTTATTTTCTGATCAAAGTAACTTCATATATGATTCTTTTTTTTGTCTATAAAATATGTATTTGCGCCTGTCAACTTATTGTTGACAATCAGCAAATGTGATGGCGATACATGAAATAATGACATGACAGGCATGGGGAAGGAAAGTACTCAGCAGTACCTCTTCCCTAACTTGTTCCAATTAGTTATGAGGAAGGAGATCTCTCACCCGACGCCTTTTTAGTCTCCTTCTAATGTTCTGGGGTATGTCAGCTGTGGTCATGTCTCTTATTAGTCTGTTATTATGTCCATTTAAATTTGTGTAAAATCGTTGATAAAGGGTCGTTGTATGTTGGCCAACTGTTGGAAAGTGGAGGTCAGTATGTAGGTAGAGTTTTGTTAGTCACGTACCAAGGTGCTTTTGTTATGAGTCGCAATAATTTTGATTGGAACGTTTGAAGTTTTTGTAGGTGGGTCTTTTTAGTGATGCCGTATATTTGTGATGAGTACATCCATATGGGCTTAAGTAAGTATGTTTATGTATTCAGTTTCTTATTTAGTTTTAGTTTTGAAGATTTAGAAAAAAGAAAGTAAAGTAGTTTGAGTCGTTTGTTAAGCGTCTTACGTTTCATTTTAACATGCGGACCCCATGTCATCCTTCTGTCGAAGGTGAGTCCAAGGAAAGTACCGTGTCCGTTTGAGGAATTTGATTGTTGTCAATATAAACTGGAGGGCAGGTGTTTTTTCGAAGAGTAAATGTTGTATGTTTGGATTTGTCATGATTAAGTCGAATTTTCCATAGTGTGAACCAATCTTGTAATTTGAGTAAGTGATGTTGTAGTGTTAGTGAGGCCTGTGTAGGGTCTTGATGTTTTGTGAGAATTGTGTATTCTGCGTAAGTAGCTGTCAAGATCTCATCGTTAATAGGTATATCGTAAGTGTATATAACGCAAAGTAGAGGGGCTAGTATTGAATCTTGGGGAACTCCTGCCAAGATTGGACGAACTGAAGATATTTCCAAGCCCTGCCGGACTGAAAAAATCTGTCGAAGAGGAAAGATTGAAGGATAAGATATTTCGTGTATGGCAGTATAGTCTTAAGTTTAAAGAGAAGATCTTGGTGCCAGACTCTATCAAACGCCTGAGCAAAAATACTCGAGCTGCATATAGTTTTTGTTCTTAAGCTCCAGCAATGTAGCCTGTAACTCTATGATTCTTAATAATTTAATAATTGTATTAACCAATAATTATTGTCATGTTTTGTATGTCTAAAATAATTGTTTTGTAATAGTTTGAAGACAAATTTTAATTGATCTAATTAATTGCCCTTAAAGGTATTTTTCAGCGTTATGACAGGAGCCTTCACCGTCGGGAACGCGCTGCCTTTCGTTAACACGGTGAGTACGGCCATAGGATCTGCGTCCACTATCTTTGGCATCATCGACAGGACTCCCCCCATAGACTCCTATTCTGCAGAAGGAATGGTCCCTGATAAAGTGGATGGCGAAATAACGTTCAAAGATGTCCAGTTCGTTTACCCGACTAGACCTGAAGTTAAGGTAAAAATTACCTGTCTTATTAGCATAGCTAATGTACATATATAAATGTAATTAGTACAATCTTAATAATTCTTAAAACCCGCTAATTAAAATAAATTGCTAGTCCATTTGAAAAACCGCGGTTATTCGTAAAAATACAATGCATTTTGGTCCCTTGGGTAATGCGTAATACTTTCGTACCTGAAACCAATTAAACGTCTTATAGTTCTTAAGGCAATGTTAACAATTCATTTTATTCAGGAAAAAAATTCTCTCTTCTCAAACTTCAATTCCCTGAATCAGTTGTGAATTTTTGAGGTGAAAACTTCATTAGGCGCGTTTTGCACTTTTTTCGTGAGTAGTGAATGAAACTGCGTTGTCAAGTTAGGATGTGTAACGCTCATGTCGGCTCGAGGCAACCAATTGAAATGTTTTTGCATATAGATTAAAATATCTCAGAAACTATAAATCGGACCTGCATACTGCAAGCGAGGAAAATATTAAGTTATCATAAGTCTATAACATAAGTCTATTGTTTCTTTTTGCTGGGAAGTTGTATATTATTCTTTGTTTTTGGCAATAAAAACTTCCAATTAAAGAAGAATTGATTTATTTGTTGTATTTCCAAGTAATATGTTAACGTTTCGGGATATTTACCTGCCATCTTCAGAACTACAATCCCAATGTTTTTTTATTGATTCGTGGCTAAAAATTGAGTTAAATATAATTCATGTTACAATACATGTCAGAATTGAGTTGTTACATTAAGTTTGGAATTACCTTAAGTCTACTGTGCTCCATTGTCAGGTTCTAAATTCATGTTATAACAAATTAAAGTATATAATATCTGGAGCATGACCATACCTTTAGACCAATTATTGGGTGTCTGCCATAGTGAATTCAATTGACCTTTAGATATGACTATTTATGTTTTACTATTGTAGTTAAATGTTTATTTTTACGTAGCAGCAATTTAATTTTTATTAAATTTTAATTTTAATAAATTAAAACGTAAACATGTAACTTGGAAATACAACAAATATTGTTTTATTTTTAAAGTATGGTACAAACACTAGCGGATCCAGGATTTAATTTTTGGAAGTGGGGGCTTCAGCCCGAAAGCTTTTTTTTCATAAAAATAACGATAATTACTTTGGAAAAAAAGAATGAAACTAACTACCTACATGAAATGGTGTTTAAGTGATTCCTAAAGCCCTTTTAAATGTAATTATACGAATAATAATACTTTGAGAGATAATTTTTTAACACTTTTTTCGATAAAACATGGTTATATTTTCCCATTTGGGGGGGGGGGGAGAGGGAAGAGGCTTCAGCCCGAAAGCCCCTCCACCGCCCAGTAGTTCCGCCCGTGGATACAAATGACGATCAGCCAAAGTTTACCAGAGTAATTTATACAAAATAATAGATGTGTATATTATAGTTTGTGAATATAGAACAAAAAGAAATATTTATATTTCATATTATTAATTTTTTAATTATCTTGTTTTCACATCCATCGTGTGGATTATTATATTTTAAGCACAGACCGTATTTTTTTTTTAAAGATCAAATTCGTGCTACTTCCTTATGGAACTCACTTCCTATCTCCATGCGTCAATGCTCGTCCAGGAATTCCTTCAAACAACTCCTGTTCAACACCTACTCCACATTCAAACTTCCCCTAACATGTAAAATTACTTGCATCTGTACACTGTTTAATTTCAATCTATTGCATAATTTAACTAACAATTAATAGTGAAATAGTTTGTATTTTTATTATTATGTCAGACTAAGACCCATAAATTTGTAATTCTGTTATTATTCTTAGGGGACACTATTCCCAGAATAAAATTATTTTTTCATTCTTTCATTTATTTTCTTGGTGTTACGAATTATCAGAGTTGCAATGTACTGATATTATGGTTCTTGGTAAATTGCTCCTCTTGTGCCATTAAGGTCCTTCGAGGGTTGACCATCACCATTCACCCAGGAACATCCGTGGCCCTCGTCGGTGCCAGCGGGGCGGGGAAGAGCACCGTGGTGGGGCTGCTGCTTCGCTTCTACGACCCTGATGGCGGAGAGGTCCTCTTGGATGGGACTAACGTCCAAGACTTCAACCTGGCGTGGCTTCGAAGCCAGATCGGTCTTGTGTCGCAGGAGCCGGTGCTCTTCGGCGTCTCCATCGCGGACAACATCCGCTACGGCAGGGACAATATTACGGAATACGACATCGTCAGAGCTGCCACCCTGGCCAATGCACACAGCTTCATTAAGGATCTTCCTAATGTGAGTAACTTACCGTATATGACTCAACATATAATAGTCAGTGGTAGAAATAGAAAAATCATCTTTATTCTGGGACTAGTTCCGTTTAGAATAACACTATTGTTCATATAAATTAACAATAAATCTGGCCAAAAGACCTATTACAATGAATTATAACAAAATACTAGTAATAAATTAAGTATAATAGCTCTTAGGATAAATTAACGAGGACAGTTGGGTAATAGGGGTTCAATAATACAATATTGGAGCTAAAACAATGCCATAATAATCATTAAATGAAATTATAAAGGAACGCAAAATCAATTTAATAGGCAAAGCATTGTAGTGATGGAATATAAAAAATAAAATAAAATAATAACTGTTAATACATAAAGAAATAAATTATAAAAATATATATATATATATATATATATATATATATATATATATATATACATATGTTCTCTAAGCTATTTAAGTGATTAGGAAAAGACGCAATACAATCTCATGAATAGAAAAATTAGAAATTGAGAAAAACAAATTTTATCTACTCACAATGCTTAGTGAGTGATGATGAAAATTCACGTTCAACACAGAATAAAACAATAAAATATAAGGGGAAAAAATAATGTCTAAAGAAAATTAAAGCCTTATAACATAGTATGGATTTAACCAGCGTCTGATTGGATTGTGAAGAGGAATTGGAACAAGAGGGTTTTAAAGGTGGATAAGGATGATGCATGGCGGATTTTTAGGGGGATGGAATTCCAGAATGCAGGAAAACGGACAATTAGGACAAGGAATTTTTAAATGATACAGATCTGTGGAAAGGGGTGTAAAGGTCAGAAGGACGAGATCTTTTGGAGAGTGCGGTATAGAATCCGTTTTACCAAATTATTAACATCCGGATAAAACATCGTGAATATTTTCATCTTGTCATAACCTAAAACTTTACAAAAATTCTAGGAATTGGAGCGTTTTCAGTCTGGAGATCAAAAAAACTTTGTCTATTTAATTAGGTACTAAAAACTCATGAAAACCAGATTACTTTCCACTTGAATCGTAGTATAATCTGATCAAAACATCAAGAACAAAAGGTGACCTCCAAAAATATTGGGCCGTTTGGTCTAAATAACCTCGTTATTTTGGCAGGTTGCGGGTGAAGGTCACATCTAACGGCCCAATATTTTTTTAAGCCACTTTTTGTTATCGATTTAGTTCTTTAATTTAATTTAATTAAGTAAATAGAAAAAGTTTTCCAATCTCCAGATTCAAAACGCACCTATGCCGAGAATTTTCTTAAATAAAAAGTTCTAGATTATGCTGAGATGAAACACTTCAAGACGTTTTAGGTGGATTTTTATGGTGTGATAAAAAGGAGTCTATACTAGTGTTGCTCATGCGAGACTGAGACGAGTCTTGGTCTTGCACAAGAGTCTCGCAACAGTCTTGCAATTACTTATTAGCTTATTACTATAGAGATAATGCTGTAATTTTTTAGATAGGAGAAACCTAACTAAATCCAAATGAAAAATTAGAGGAGTTAAATGCAAAAGTATATTGGTCATACCAATTATTAACATACAGTAACTAAGATTGTCAAGTATTAGTAACTATTTTGCCTTAATTTTTATTTTTTTTCTAGTCTTGGTCTAGGTATTGCAACAGTTAGGCGGCCTTGTTCTTGGTCTTGCAAAGTGCAAGACCAAGACCGATTTTGGACAACACTGATCAATACCGTGGACTATCTATTAAATAAAAACATAACAAATGGAAAATTTTTACATAGAATAGAATAGAAAATAATTTTATTCTGGGACGAAGTCCCTTTAGAATAACAAAAAAGTACAAAATTAAAATGTTATATCCAAATAAAAACAAACATAAAAAGTAAAGATAAAGGTAAATAAGTAAAGAAAATATTAGTTATACATACTATATACAAAATAAAAAAATATATATACAAAACTCTTGAAACCTTGCCAAGACACTTCAAATTATGTACAATGGTAAAATATAAATATATACTGAGAAAAAATACATTACATTCTTCTTCCCAGTAAACTCTGTGTTTCTGTTGAAAAAAAAAAGAAAGTCAAATCTGATAATAAGTATTTAAGTGATGAGCTATATATAATTTTATGTTATGAATAATATGTAAGTTTACATAAAAGGTTAGCGGGTATCTGACTGTTTTTTCGACAGGAATTGGAATAGGAGGGTTTTGAATGTAGACAGGGATGAAGAATGCCGAATTTTGATAGGAAGGGAATTCCAAAAATTAACAGAGCGAGCAATAAAGAAGTTTTGGAACGAGGCAGATCTGGGAGAAGGAACATTAAGGTCGGAAGGTCGAGATCTTGTGGAAAGGGGTGGACTGAGGACTTGAATTGGAGAAGGTTGTAGGCGTAAGAAGGGCGATGATTGTTGATGATTTAATAGAGGAACGTACCTAGGAAATATTGTCTTCGAATGGAGGGGAAGAGCCACTCTAAGTCAGTGTAGTGGTGAGAGACATGGTAGCATCTCGGGGCACCAATTACAAATCTCACGCAATTATAAATCATACGACCTACACTAACAGATAGATAGATAGGTAGATAGATAGATAGTTTATTTTATTTTTCTAAGGAAATTCCTGTACAAATAAATATAATGGTATAATTAACAATGTTAGATCTTGAGTCTAGTAATGCATTCAAACATAACCTTGACAATGTCCACAGCATTAAGTATGACTAATATAATAACAGATTAGTAAACGATATATATATATATACATAACAATTAGTAAAACATTTTTTTTATTTATTTTTTAAATATTCGAGAGGTATAAGACAAATGACAATATAAATAAGAATTAATATATGTTATATGATTAACTTTACCTCTTAACAGTTCAATGAACAGCCCTGTACGAAATAATACAGTTGGTTTATTTTTTTCGTAGGGTCTATTTTCAGTATCTCCTCCACACTAGCATCTTCTCAGGATTCAGTGATAAATGCCTTCAAGTACTTATTTCTCGGCTCGTTGAACTTGATACATTGGATCAGAAAATTAGTTACCGGGTCAGTTACAAGGCAGTTGCATTCACCACACACCTCACTGGATTTAATAGTCAAAGTAGCATCTTTTAAGTATATTTTCATAAAATCTTTATTTTCTACTCTGAGACGACTAACGGCTCTTAATTTGTTTAAATTCAGAGCCCTGAACGGAAGATAACCCTCTGGTTTGGTAACATTAAAGGAGCAGATTTTTCTATATCTTGGGTTTGATTTAGAGTTTAACACTCTGTCGATATCCTTGGATGCGTGATGGTTTCTTATTTTTTCCATGATTTCATCTTTGAACCTCATCAGACCTTGAGAGAAAATACAAGAAAACACCCCCTGACATCCAAGTTCCGCCACAATCATCTTTACTTGGGTAACCCAGTTATAAGTTGGATCAGGTTTTCCAATGGATGAGTCTAGAGCTCTAAGCCTATTAAAGCATTGTCTAGGTAGTCATTCGTCGCTCATTAAGCTTAGCTTTGTCCAATAGTTGATCACTTTTTTCAACACTTCAACACTTAATGGAGATCTCCCACTTTCAAGGCGAGCCACATAGTTCGGTGTATTTCTTGGCCAATGGAGCAATGATTTGATAAATCGAACTTGCGTCCTCTCCAAAACCTCCAGGTATCTCGTCCTCTAGATCTCTGCAGCATAGATCAGTGTTGACGAGACCATCGAGTCAAAGAGGCTGGTTTTTGTCTCCCAAGAATCGCTTACTCTTACTTCGCTTACTCGCCTAAACTAACAGTAGCGATATAAAAATAAAATGTTTTCATCAGTTTCGTTATTATTGTGTTCCACAGCTCAAATTTTAAAGATGGTTTTGAAAACATGAGAGCAATGCTACCGTTACAGTAAGAAATAATAATTACTAATTTTTGTTTTTATTTGGCCAAATATAACACTTTAATACTGTACTTTTTTTTTATTCTAAAGCTACTTCGTCCCAGAATAAAATTATTTTCTATTCTATTCTAAAACAATTACATTACATTTCAATGACTCCTAATTTTCATCTTCAGGACTAACATTATTCTCAAACATTTGTATTCGTCATATTTCAGGGTTACGATACACAAGTTGGGGACAAAGGCACCATGATGTCCGGAGGACAGAAGCAGAGGATCGCCATCGCTAGGGCACTCGTCAGGGACCCTAAGATCTTGCTCCTCGACGAGGCCACTTCAGCTCTCGATGCTCACAGCGAAGGCGTCGTCCAGGCCGCTTTGGACAATGCCATGAGGGGTCGCACCACGGTCATCATCGCCCACAGGCTGTCCACCATAAGGAATGTCGACAAAATATACGCTTTGAAGGTATCGCAATATTATTATTTATAATGATCTGTAATCAATTCATCATTGAATAAGTCAACATCATTCTATGTTTGTAGGACGGTCAGGTATTTGAGTCTGGTAGTCATCAAGAATTGATGGAAAAAGAAGGACTTTACCACAGCCTAGTGATGGCTCAGAAGAAAAGAGATCAGAGAAGCCAGATTTCAGAAAGTGAAGGGTAAGCTAACAAATTAAAAAATTGTTATTTTTTAAGGTAAAACTTCTTTAGCGCGTTTTGCACTTCTTTTGTTGTGAATTAATTAAATTGAGCCGTCAGATCTCCGATGTGTAACGCTCGGCTAAAGTCGGCGCGAGGCAACTAATTATTTTTGCATATAGATTAAAATATCTCAGAAACTAAAAATCGGCTCTGCATACTATAAGCAGAGTAAATTTTCATTATTTCATTCTCTTTGTAATAGGCTATTTATTCGAAATTGCATCTTAACGCGACGCCGTGTTAGAGAGGTGAAAAGATAAAAAATAGTGTGGAAAACCATATGATAACGAGGTTAGTTGAACATACGGATTAAATATTTTAGATACTAAAAATTGGATATGTATACTGTATGCGAGGGAATCATTCACAATTTTATCCTCTTTATAATGGGCTGTTATTTATAATTTATATTTCATATTATTAATCTCGCCTTTTTGATTTTTTCACTTCTATTGTGTGGTATAAACCACCTTAGTTACAATAAATGAAAAATATATTGTTATAAAAATATATTCATTGTTAACTTTTTATTTATTTATTTTTTTAATTCTCATTCTCACAGACCAGCTGAAATAGAAGCTACTGTTGAGCAGCAAACGATTCCCATTGAAAGGTAAGTAAATATTGAAAACCATATAGCCTACTGTAAAGTTCAAATACCGTCAAATTTATTCTTATAATAATAATTTTTTTTTATGAACTTCTGTTATAGTTTAGTTTTTATTAAGAGAATTATTAGATCAAAATAAAATATTCATAAATATATGTTTGCTATGCAGTGTTGGAACCGTCTGTCGAACCCTGAGATTCGGCCCTGACACTATCAAGATTTGTGAATATCCATTCATAATCCAGAAAAATAAAATCTAACTTCAATAGATTTTACATTACATAACAAAAATAAATTATTGGTGCCAACAAATTGGAAAATTCGACTCAACCATGACAAGTCTCAACATATAATTTCCCCTCTTAAATATGAAACTTGACCTTCAGTTAAATTTGAAAATTCCTCATTTCTCCAACCGACTAAGTGCGGTATCTTGGACTTATATTTGACAGAAGAATGACAGTGCCCGAATATTAGTAAAACAAAAAGAACTTGAAACCTCAGAGTACGACTATTATACTCACTTCTCTCGAGACTTTCAAAATTAGATTTAAAACAAAAACTGAACACATGTATTTATATATTTAAACCCATTTAGAGCTACGCTTCACAGTTATGTGGGACTACCAAAAAGAATCATATACGAAAACTACAAACTTTTCAGTCAAAAACTTTCAGATAATTAAATGTCCAAGGTACGTCACAAATACTACTTACATAAAGACCTATTAATGTCAATCAGTTAACGACCACATATCTACACACTATAAAAGAGTTCACAATAATTTACACGGACCTAACACTCTCATACAAGACATGACGACAATTAATGTACCCGATAACAGGCTTATGAGACTCAAAAGAAGCTGGATGAGGGATCTTCTAGCTTAAAAACCCTCATGCATGCTATTACTCATATTATTCCCGACCGTAGATCCACTGTCAATATTTTTGACAGGTGTGGGTTAAGGAGGAAAGGTATTTTTTAAAAAATAATGTACCAGTCGGTTTGCCCCTTCAATAAATGTAGATACCATACCTCATTACTGTTAGGAGTGGCGGGTCTACAGATTTTACAAATGAAGGATACAATTTTTTTTAAACAAGCAAAATAATAACAAATATTAATAATCCACATTATAAATAATCTAAGATAAAAATAATGTGATGATGTCTGGCTCTTCGAAAATGGTATATGTTTGAACAAAATTAATTGATATGTTTACCTTTTTTTTCCCAAATACTTTACATTAAAAATTTATCTGATTATCAAAAATTGAATTAATCAACATCAGATTATAAATAAAAAGTATGTAATTCAAAATAATAATGATTTTAACAACAATAAATAATTAACCAAAATATAAATTTAAAATGAAGCCTAATTCACACCTTCATTGTCCGAGACTACCATACCGCATTACTCATCGGTGTAGTGGGTCTTCAGGTTTGGCATCCTCTCCTATCTACTCATTTATATTATTTTATATTTATATTATTATTAAATATATTCCGCATCGCCGTAGCACTGACTATATTGAATAAAAAAAGAAAACAGATATTGTTATTATAATAAAATAGACAAAATATTATTTTATTTGTGCTAAAAGTGACATTTGTAGTCTGCTACTATGAAAAATCTGGTGCGTGCATCACACAATTTTCACTTAGCACCCTATTCTTAGCAGAAATAGGTATTTTCAGAAAAAGAGGGACTGAAAGTAAAAATTATAGACGCTATATTTATTTAAATTCATTGTGGGTATTTTTATTTGTTTAAATACCTTTATATAGACAAATTTTAATTTTTATACCGCCATATTCTATCCAATTAAATATTAAATAATACCAACGATAGCATTTATGAAAACCGCATATGTAATATTATTAGTAATAATATTGTCGGAGTCCGTATTAAATTAAGCTCATGTTACATATGAACTGTTTCCGGCGAGTTCGGATGAGCTCAGACGCGCTCATATTCCTTTTGTTCTTCCATTACATCTATTATCCGTTACGATCCTTTATTTAATTGTGAAATTCTTTCACATTTTATATTTAACTATTTTTTGTATCAAAGATTAATCTGAAATGGTTAATTATTTCCAAAAAAAAAAAAATAAAGGCACTTTAGAGAAAGCTAATATTGAAAATTAGCCATTAAAGCCCTGTTAGAGAACATCAATGAGGATAAAACCTATATTATATTAAAAAATGCTTAATAATACACTGATATATTGAGTTTAATCAAAATCGTTACAGCTATTTTTAAGAAAATCCTAAAAATGTGTTAAATCGATTATATGAAGTACTACTTCCGGTTTGCCGAAAATGTTGCTGTAACATTCAAGGATTATGAAAACCTCAAATATGCAATTTCAGTTTTCTACGGCTTTTCGTTTTTGAGCTAGGCTGTTCACATACATAAACACTCACACTGACCATTTTGCGGGACTTGGATGTTTTGACTCAGGAGACCTCTGAGTGTATTTCCATTGAAAACTCAGATTAAAAAAAATTCACGATCCTTTACAAATACTGTCCCTTAATAAATAAAAAATACTGTCCCTTAATAAATAAAAAATACTGTCCCTTACTATATATATATATATAAGTGAAAGTAAAAATGTAGAGGAAAATAAAATATGAAATTACACCAATAAATCATAAAGAAAAGATCTTTTTTAAATAACTCATCAAATACGACCTTTTGCAATAACAGTAGCAATATGCCTAATTTTATATAAGATAAAAATGTAAATGTTCGCCTGTTCAAAATTTAATATCTCGGAAAGTTCTTCGCCAGTTACTTTGATATCTTTTCTATACGTTGCATTACAATACGCCCTTTATTCTATATACATGCTATTATAAAACGTCAGCTAAAACTATATGTTTTTTTTTAACAACACCACCTGTTGGATGATAAACGCTGTTCAAATTGTTTTTTCGATACCACCAGCCGTTTTGGCGCTACAGTCAATTGTTACATATATTTTTTTTCGGTCGTCATTCCGAAACGAAAGACCGGATAGTAATGAAATATCTATAAAAAAAATCCGGAATTCGATTACATCGTTGAATCGAAATTTCAAAACAATCAATGAAGAACATTCGGAGATTAGCGATTGAACAAACGAACATTTCCATTTTTTTTTTTTTTTTACATATGTAGAACTTATCGGGTGTACGCAACACGACGTTCCCAAATTTTCATGGTGATCGGATGAATGGTGTAATAATGCATAAAGGACAAACAGACATTCGTTTATATATATATATATATATATATATATATATATATATATAGGGAGAGAGAGAGAGAGAGAGAGAGGGAGAGAGAGAGAGAGAGAGGAAGAGAGAGAGAGGGAGAATGTGAGAGAGTAAGCCCAACAACTTTAGGGCCTTTTACACACACAACACATCTTTCTGAGGTGGAAATTCAACTACGCACGTTCCTCCCAAATAGAAAAAAAAACAAAAAACCGACAGTACTATTTTTTCAACTTCTTGTGAATGAAACTACTAATATCCACTGTTAGTTATAAATGTCTCTACACAAGGCCCTTTAGTTGTGTCCAGAACAGAGAACATTTGAGTGGGGACGAAATATTCTTAAATTTAAAAAAAATCGCTTTATGTAATGAACCTTATGGATTTTGTCCATTAAAACCTTCACAATACTATTTCTTTACAGTGTTCATGATTAGCATTCTGCATTGTTTAGCCCTTTAAATTATCCAGAAATTTGTAATCCAATAGCCAAAGACTAATACATATTTATCCAACTTTCTTGTAGGAAGAAGTCTGGTTTCTTTTCAAGGATATCTTTAAGAAGAAGTAGATCCTCAGCCACATCTTTGAAGAATATATTTATTGGAAATTCAAATGAAGATGAATCAAAAGAGGTATTATTACATTAATAGTCTTAGCTATATTTATTGTCAAAACTTATTGAATTACAAATTTTTGCTTTATTTAAATAGGAACTTGCTAAGAGGGTGAGCTTCTATAGAATTTTCATGATGAACATCACGGAATGGCCTTTTATGTTACTCACCGTTATAGGATGTATCATTGTAGGAACAAGCATGCCGCTATTTTCTTCATTTTATGCTGATGTCTTCCAAGTAAGAATAATCAGTATTACTTTTATATATCATTAAATTGTCAATATAAAGTTGATAAAACCATACCAATTTCCAGACATTTACATTAACTGGTCAAGATTTCGCAAGTGCTGTTATTTTTTGGACTGGGGTGTACGTCTGCTTTGCTCTTATCGCTGGTTTTGGTAATTTTCTAGCAGTGAGTATAATATCAGTTTTAAATTCATACTATTTTGATGATATTTCAAGCTGGATTAAACTATATCAATTGTTTTGTAGGCTATATGTTCTTCAATATTAACTGAGAAAATGATTGCCGTTATGAGGCTTAAAGCTTTTACCAGCATAGTCCGGCAGACCATCGGGTGGTTCGATGCTGAGTCTCACACAGCTGGTAGATTGGTCACTTCCTTGGCCAGGGACCCTCCTCTCATCAAAGCCGTGAGATTTACTTTTTTTTCAAATATTATAATGTATTTGTTAAATATTAATTTGAATATTTTAAGCATAATGTACTCTAAAAATATATCCAATCAGATTACTAATATTAAACAATATAATTTTTTTTCTTTTTAATTATTTATCCGCATCTATCAGGATATTGACAATCAGCAGATTTGTTCTGATGATGAGGATAGGCATTAAAGGCATGAGGAAGGATAGTACCCAGCAGCACCTCTTCCTCGTCATTATTTATTTTTTTGATTTAGGTGAGGAGATCTCTCATCCAGCTCCTTTTTCATATCCTCCTGATGGGCATGTCAGTCGGTTATAAATCTGTTTGTGTGTCCGTGTAGTTTGAGATGAAAACGAGAGTAGAGAGTACGTATGTGTTGGTCTATAGTTGGTTGTCGTAAGTCGTTATGTAAAGTTTTGTTGTTGACGTACCAGGGAGCTCCTGTTATAAGTCGTAAAATTTTGGATTGAAATGACTGTAGTTTTTGTAAGTGCGTCTTTTTTGCCGAACCGTAAATCTGAGAGGCTTATGTCCAGATGGGTTTGAGTAGGTAAGTGTATGTATTTAGTTTTTGTCGAACTTTCAATTTCGATTTAGAAAAGAGTGAGTACAGTATTTTCAGTCGCTTGTTTAAGGTCTGTCGTTTCATTTCGACGTGTTTGCCCCAGGTCATCATTCTGTTGAATATTAGTCCCAGGTAACGTACTGTGCTTGTCTAAATATAATTAAATCTGTATATCGTTCATTTAATTACACTAAAGTATAACCTCTATATAAGGCCCTCTCACTTTAAGGAACATCTCCATTTACAGTACAATTATATCTAGATCAACCATAAATATTGTTACAAGAAAATTAGAAAATAAATTTTATATCTGTAGAAAGTAAAATAAAACAGAAATTACTCAAAATGTCTCCCTTTTGTCTTGACAGAGGCATTTAATCTCCATGGCCAGTCTTCAATAGCAGGGCGCATCACTTTTTGAGGAAAGCACTCAGCTGCTCGGACCAGAGATTGTTTGAGGCTTTCCAAGTTAGGGTGTGCTCTGTAGCATGCCATCCTCTCCAGTTCAGACCAAAGCCGATAATCTAGTGAGTTAAGATTATCGGGGTTTCGTGAGGACCAATCCGAGGCACTCTGGAACATTCTTTTGCAGCCACTGCTGAGTTGACCTGGCCTTGTGAGCTGGAGCCAATCAATAACTTCCAGTAAACAGAGTATCATTTAGAGGCTTGACAACAGGTTCCAAAATATCGTCCTGATAGTTTTTAGCGGCTGTTTTAACTCCTTTTTCACAAAAAATGGAGTTTTGTGGTGCCATCAAACCAAACCATCACTGAGGAAGGGCGATGACCTCGTTCCACTCTTCCAATGACTTCCTGGGCTTCTTTAGAGCTTTATGCGTACACACGATTATTTTGGCGATTAAATTTATCTTTGATTGTAAAAATGTTCTCATTGCTAAATAAAATCATTCGATGAAGACCATTGGCCAAGGGACACTTTACATCTATGCACTCTAATTTTTTTTAGGGAAGTGGTTAGCCTTTGTCCTGCCATTCTTCGAAATGCACCTATCCTAAGATCACTTTTTACTATGCAAGACATTGGTCTGACAGTGATTCCCATTTCTGGAGACATGATTCGTTGTTTTCGAATGGGATTTCTTCTGATTCGAGCAGCCACTGCTTCACTGAATATGCCGTTCTTACAGTGCGGGGACTGTAAGAATGGAGAAACCATTCCTTTGTAATGGAGAAACCAAAGGAATACTAACGCGCCTGAAACATTAAAACAGGCTACAATACATAACATGAGCTTAATATAATACGAACTCCGACAATATTATGTACATATACACATACAGTTTTCATAAATGCTATATATTATTTAATATTTAATTGTATAGAACACAGCGATATAAAAATTATAATATGTATATATAAGGGTACTTAAACAAATAAAAATACTCACAATGAAATATAAGTAAATATAGCGTCTGTAATTTTTACTTTCACTTCCTCTTTGTCTGAAAATACTTATTTCTACAAAGAAGAGGGTGGTAAGTGAAAGTTGTGTGATGCGCGCACCGCACCGTATTTTTTTGCAATGTATTAAGTCATTAAAAATCCAAAGGTATGTAAATAACATAAAACCATTTTCAAAAGAATTATAATAGTTCTAAACAAAATATTGACCTTTTAACTTCATTTTACATATGCATAAAATATATACTATTTTAAATATATATATATATATATATATATATATATATATATATATATATATATATACATATGTAATTTATAAACATTTCTACATTAAGGTCAGCTCTCAATAAATGACAAAAAATTAATTACTATGTCTGTCTGGCATACAGAGGTTTCACTGTACTATATTTTAATATTTAATGTCAATTTTCGAATATTCACTTTTTATATTTGTCTATATTTTCCCAGATGTAACGAACAATTGGTATTTTAAAAGGAAACTTATAAAAACTTATTTATAATAATCATTAGGCTAAAGAGGTGGTTCAAGATAAATGCCAATGAAACAAAGTTATGATCATATCACAGAAGGGAAATATAATTAGCTTTTAGAGATAAAGAATTTCTTAATTACCTTAGGCTTCAAATCAATTATGATAGATAACATTATTGAGGCTACAGTTATAATCAGAGATGATATTAAATGTCCAGGCCGCTGGTTTCCGAGCTGGTCAAGTATTGATTGCGGCTACATCATTGATTGCTGCTTTGGTGATCGCCTTTTCCACAGGTTGGAAGTTGGCCTGTATTCTTCTAGTAGTCGTTCCTATTATCGCTGGAGCAGCTTACAAGCAGGCTAGTCTACTCAGGCGACATCAGAAGAGAGATGCTAAATTTATGGATGATGCTGGACAGGTAATTTACTACTTTTGTAAATATGCTTATATAATTTTTAAGTTATTTTGTTTGTGTCATATTACTGCTGACATGAATTTAAAAAAAATCATTTGGTAATTTTTCTTACAATGAATTTTTACTTAAATGACAATGAATTGATACAAACTTAATTTTAAATGGTAAAATAACAATCCAATCTTTCTTTACTCAATTATTTATAATTTGTTTAATGAGAGCTCTTGTTATTACAAAATAGTGTGGGAAAGGATTGCGATCAACAGAAATACACCTTTTAAGGCCCCTTAAGTCAAAATAAATGGAAATTATAATTTAATATGAATATCCACATCTTCAACTAAGACCAAATCATCGGAATATATTTTTATTTTTTTTTTATTTATTTATTTTTTTTTTTTTTAATATACATTACATCATGTCATAATGATAAATTACATGTTTGTGGTTGCAGTAACCTTACACATGACATATTAGTGGTTTGAATGCTATTTAGAAAATTGAAATCCATTTTTCACAGTAGGAAAAACTTCATAAAAAACCTACATAAGATATTAATGAAAAACTAGATTACAATCATTAAAAGTACAAGAAAAACAAAATATAATTTATCTACAAAAGGAAATATATATATACATATATACACACATCATATAAATACAATTTGTTAATTGGGGTGATTGAGTTTATTGTTACTTGTTTGTTGATAGATAATAAACTGTTAAATTTTCATAAATAAACTGATTGATTTAGACGTTTAGTAGTATAGGTTTATTCCGTCTGTGTGTATACCGTTTCAAAGATGTCTTGTCATAGTTTTCTATTGTTCGGATCATAGGGTTTTCAGCATTGGTGTTAGCTTAAAAAATCTCTGAGTTTAATTTATATTTATAATATATTTAAAAATAAATATATTTTTTAATAGTGGGAAGCTGTAATTCTGATCGCATAATAGATATTTTGGTTTAACGTGGATAATTGCTTATGATTCTCATACACATATTTTGAATCACTTCGAGTTTTTTGTAATTAGTCTCACATGTGTTTTACATACTGGGGCAGAATAAGTGATTGAAGGGCGGATTACTGTTTCATATAAAATCAGTTTATCAGTTTATTTTTTGTATTCAATTGTGAATATCTATTAAAATATGGTGACATTTTGCTGATCATGGTTTCTGCTTTATTGCACTTGTAGTTAATATGTTGGGTGAAATTTAGGAACCTATCAAGTTCTAGGCCTAAATATTTCACGGAATTGGACCAAGGAGTCTGTACTTCTTTTATGTTTATAATATGGTTTATAAGTGGTCTTCTTTTTCTAAAAATAATTGCTTCAGTATCGGTATATTGAAGTGCCAGTAAATTACTCCCTGGAGTTAAAACTCTCTATGTGTGAATTATCCTAATGTTGAAAGCGTAGATACCAAAAATTAATTCTCAAGAATAATAATAGAATAGACCATTTAGGTTTAAGCGCACCCAATAAATATTTCTGAAGATGGTTTGACTTGACTACAATGAAAAATACTAGAGGTGAATTTTAATGTAAAAGAAAAAAAATAAGACTGAGAAACAGCAGGTGAGATGAGAGGAAGAAAGATGGAAGGAAGTTAGATTTGCATACCTGAATAAGGTATAAGACAGAAGATGAAAGATTACCCGGAAGATCAAGGGTCACACAGACCTGTATAGTCAGAGAGTGAGTATAGTTAGACTTGTCATCCAGAAGAAATTGCAGCATTTAAGGAAATAAAAATAATTATAATTTTTTTTTAAATTAGTTGTAGATTTTTTTCTTATTATCTTTTTATGTCAATGTGTCATTTTACCATTGATAATAACCTACAACAAATATTACAATCGCTAGTTTGCTTGTATATTAAGTTTAATGAACTTATGTAATACTATAGCTAGTAATCCAATAAAATTGAAGCTGAAAACTGTCTTGATGTATCATTATTAATTCAGGTTGCAACCGAAGGAGTATTAAACTTGAAAACTGTGCAAGCCCTTGGAAAGGAGAAGCTTTTTATAAGCAGATACAAAAAATGCCTTGATCTACCCTACAAGTAAGAATTTTAAAATATTTAAGTAAATAAAACTAATTTAATGAGATAATTTTAATAATTATATTTTTTTTTTCAGAGAATCAAAAAAGCAAGCTTATGTTTATGCAATGGTGTTTGCCATTTCACAGGCGATGATTTATGTAATGTATGCTGCTGCTTTTAGATTTGGTGCTAAGCTCATTTCTGGAGGTGAAATGGATCCTACTCAAGTTTACAGGTTTAAATGTTTGATTAGATGAACAATTATAATGTTGTTGTAAATTATGAAAAAGTGAAACACTCAGGTCTTTTTTACTTGAGTATCGCCATTCACTTTTAGTAACAGTTAGGTTTTCTAAAATAACAGTTGTTATTTAGAAATTATATGTCATGAAAAAATAAATATTTTATTGAAAATTAATTTTAAACAATAGACAAACACAAAATATGTTAATTTTGAGAATAATAAATATGTATAACAATTTTTGTTGGAAATATAAAATTTCATATAATGACCTCTGAAATATTTCCTTTTACTGTGTAATATTCATTTCTTCATCATATTGATGGCTTTCATTCACAAGCTCAATGAAACAATGTGTTTATGATTCAAGTTATAACAATGATATCAATTTATTAAATCATGTTTATTTGACAAATATGTAATAGTTCTAAATAAATTACAAAAATTTAACTGGCGATACTTATGTAAAAAAGACCCAAACATTCTAATATTTTCATTCCTGAATAAAATATAATTTTTCAGAGTATTTTTTGCTCTATCATTTTCTGCGACAGCGATAGGCCAAGCTGCAACTTACTTTCAAGACTTTGCTAAAGCAAAACTTTCGATCGGTTTTGTCTATAGGTTAATGAACCTAGAATCTGATGTTGATCCATTGGACTCATCTGGAATTAAACCTGTGAGTTGTATTCCTAATTATTTATGAAATAATAGTTTATTATATTTTATTTTTGTTTATTATTTTATAGGCTATTCAAGGAAGAGTGACATTTAGAGATATTTATTTTTCATACCCCACAAGAAGAAACATTCCCATTTTAAGAGGTCTAAACCTGACAATTGAACCAGGTCAGACTGTTGCACTCGTCGGAGGATCTGGTTGTGGAAAGTCCACACTCATTGGTCTATTGGAAAGGTTTTACCTACCATCAAGTGGAAAAGTGGTAAACTAAAATAACTCTGCTAAAAATATAATTATTGTAAAATATTATTGAACTTTTAAGACAATTTTGAGAGTTATCTTCCTCTATTTTGCTCCTTTATTCACACCTAGATGATTCTCATGTATTTATGCTGCACCTATTCTGATAGCAACTTTTATAAGACAAGAATATTATAGTTTTTCACTTTCTAAAAAAATTAGAGCTGTTTTATTATTATTATTGATATTCGTAAATAGTTTAACACACAAAAATCTTCCATTTTTTTATTAAATTAATCAATATTTTGATATAAGTATAAATCTGTTTATAATGCAGTATAAATTTTTTTTTTTTTTTTAATTAACTTTCAAAATTACATAACAATTGAATAATTTATTAGTAGTTTTAGTAAAATAAATTTTAATGGATTTGTTACATAATAACCCATTTAATTATCACCATCTGGCTTATTTTACAGCTAATAGATGACATTGATATAACAACAGTAAATTTAAAATGGCTTCGAAGTCATATTGGTTTAGTGACACAGGAACCAGTCTTATTCGACTGTTCTATTAAAGATAACATAGCTTATGGTGCAGCAGAACCTCACCTCGTTAAACACAATGACATAATAGAAGCTGCAAAAACAGCAAATATCCATGAGTTTATCATAAATTTACCACAGGTAAATATTACGTTAATAACAAATGAATAAAATTGCCCATCATTTATAAATCAAAAACAATATATTAATTTTATCATTATCAAACAGGGCTATGATACTCCAGTTGGGGACAGAGGAGCAAAATTATCAGGAGGTCAGAAACAAAGACTCGCAATCGCTAGAGCTCTGATAAGGAATCCAAAAATCCTTCTACTTGATGAAGCTACGTCAGCGCTGGATACAGAGAGCGAAAAGGTAAGAAGTACCGATTGATAGAACTCTTTTAATGTTTAGCTCAATTAACATTAATAACAGGAGCAGGGTAACTCAGTAAGTAAGGCACTGTACTCCTATTCCTATTGTTGAGAGTAGGTCAACACAGTTTATTGAGCTTCCTCTTTAATGAATTCCTTTGCCACAAATATGAAACTATTCTTTAACTTAATATACTATTCAACTTTAAAAATGTTAGTCACAAATTGATCAAATCACTATCCTTTTATTACAAATTGAATTATTTAAGGAGTTGCATGAACTTCAAAAAGTCATAATTACATAAGTAACCAGTATTATGCATCTGTAATAATTTTTTGCTATAATTTTATCTCTGTTGTAATTTGTAATCAGTGTTTTTTACTTATAAAATTATATATCTGTTTTTCATTTTTTCTTTTTAATTAATTCTTTTTTAGGCAAAATTTATTTATTTATTATTAGTAGTTTATTATTATTACTTGCTGTATCATCTTTTTTTTGTGTGTTATTTTACTACTGTTCTTTTTTTTTTTAATTTTTTTTTTGTCTTTTTGTTTTGTTATTGTTATTCTTTTTTTTATGCTATCATTTCTTCTCCTTGATATCACATTTGCTGAATACCGAGCTAGATGACAAATTTATTGTGAGCCTGGAATATGTTTAACTAATAAATAAATAAATAAAAAATATTATTAGTAGCAAAAGGCCTTATCAGTCTCGATAAATAATTACTTTATTTCAAATTTATCTAGATTTTTGTATCTTCAGGGATAATCTGATTTTACATATAATTTAAATTTTCATCTGAAAAAAAAATGCAAAAATCTTTCAGAGGATTTACTATTATACATTAGCCCATTTATAAAACCATAATAACCTTTAAAACAATATTCACTGGTCAACAATATAAATATATCGCTTCAACCGAATTTGGTTGTGTTCTGTGACTCTCCTAGACCACATAGGGTCATCAATCCTACGCTCGGTCGGTGTGAGTTGCCTCCAGTAGGCTGACCGGGTTTCACATACCCGCAGGGGAAGGGAAAAGGGGCGGAATTTCCCCTATATTATATTTACAATTAGATTATCTCCGAAGAGGCAAACATTTGGATAAATTTGAAATAAAGTAATTATTTATCGAGACTTAAAAGGACTTTTTCTATTAATACTTATATATGCGGCAGAATGTATTAAGTTAAAAAAAAAATACTTATTAGTCTCTTTCCAAAGATCATCTTTTATGAATTTATTTATTATTTAAAAAAGTATTTTTTACTTTACAGAAAAAAAGTTATGTGTGATATAACTGAATTAAAGTTTTTTAACATTGATAAAGAAATTTATATTTGTTTACCTATTTCAATTCGAACAATGAATCCAAAAATTTGTTAATCAACTGTTCAATAAATGTTTTTTTATACTCAATAGGAATTCCTAAGTGTTTTTCATATTAAAATAAAAGTAATTCTGTCCTACAAAGTTAATTTATGAACTGCATAAGTGGAAACCTAGAGCTTGAGTGTGATCTCGGCCGAATCACCTTCCTGCACAACTATTAGTGTTAAAACAGTGCTTGCTTGCAAAGTATTGAACCCAAAACTCTTCATGGGTTGTAGTGTTAGTTTTTTTTTTTTGTTTATACTTTAATAATATTCATGGTAAATTGTCTTTGTGTAGATTGTACAAGAGGCTTTAGACAGAGCCAGGAAAGGGCGTACCAGCATTGTCATAGCCCATCGATTGTCCACAATACAGAATGCGGATGTGATAGCAGTCATCCATAAGGGTAAGGTAGCTGAGAAAGGAACTCATGAAGAACTGAAAAAATTTGGAGGGCTGTATTTTGAACTTATAAAATACCAATAATTTTAATTGTTAAAGTAATAATAATTGTGTACATATTTTGCTATCTTAAATTAATATATTCTTTTCTACTACATGAGTGGTTTTGTAACATAAAAAGAATTCAATACCACTAAGGGATGTCACTATAATATTGATGTAGACATTTTCCTTTCATGGGTGATAAATATTCAGGACGCAGTCTTTTTTAAATTTTTTTTATTTTTGCCAACGTTTCAACCCAAACATGTGGGTCATCTTCAGGGCTGAAAATGTTTTTTTTTAAATTACAATCAGAGATATAATAGTATACGACCGCTAATTATAAATAATAAACTATAGTGATTGATGGCACATGAATCTTAACTAATATTGTAATACACATTAGTTAAGATTCATGAGCAATCAATCACTAGTTTATTATTTATAATTAGCGGTCATATACTATTATATCTCTGATTGTAATTTTAAAAAAAACATTTTCAGCCCTGAAGATGATCCACATGTTTGGGTTGAAACATTGGCAAAAATAAAAATTTTTTAAAAAAGACTGCATCCTGAATATTTATCACCCATGATATGTAGAACAGTCGACTAACTTCCTGCAAGAATTCATTTTCCTTTCAATATCGTATCAAAATAAAGGATTTGATATTATCCTGATGACAAAAGAAAAATGCCAATATCGGATTTTGATATTTTTTTTTTTCGGTCATATTATAAATATAAATTAATTTAATGGCCAAATGTAGGTAGTGATTCTAGACAAAATTTCCAACAAAACAGTACATTTGATGCATGTGCTTATTTCAAACTGAAAAAGAGTTAAAACTAATTTTTGTTTTTCTTAAGGCGTTCACGTTTTTTATTGAATAAGAAATTGCTCAAAAACTGTTCAATATAATTAAATTTTAAGTATACCATCGTAAAGTAGACAAAATTTTGCTTGAGAAAACAGAGGTTAAATTTATATAAGTCAATGATAAAAGGAACTTTCAGGTCTAAGAGCGCAAAGAAATTATTTCATAAATCAGGATTAGAGATGAGGCTCGGGAATGAGTACTGTAACTGCAGCAGTACGGTGGCCGTATTAATCCTCCTGAAAGTTACTTTTATTATCGACCTTTGTAAATTTAATCACATATTTCTCAAAAAAAAAAAATTGTCTACTTTACGATGGTTTACTCAGAATTTAATTATATTAAACAGTTTTTAAGCAATTCCTTCTTATTCAATAAAAACTGCTACCACCTTAAAAAATAGACAAAATTGATCTTAACTCCTTTTCCGTTGAAAATTTAGTCCAGTATCATCCTCCTGAGATTGGCTATTAAAAACCAAGACATCATGTATACATACTAATAATTTTTAAATCATTCAAATACAAACACTTAAATATCTGCATAAATACTATAAAATGAAGTTACAATATTTTCAAAGTTAACAGCTCACATCGTCGGGTTATCGTAAGAATTCAAGTACATTTTTGTTGAAGCTGAACTCTACAAAATGTTTTTGTGAAGTTTTTCCTAATTTAGCGATAACAAAGTAAATTCACTATAAAAACACTAATTATTTGTAACCCTTTTATATATCACATAGTTATATATAAAAGTTAGTTACAAGTGCACAATTCTCTGATTTCATAAAGAGAAAATTCATCAAAGTTCTTGATGATTTAAGGTTACGAAAAGATAATTTTTGTTTTCAATAAAACGACAATATAAATATCCCAAAAATTTCATTTTGATTTACATACCATTTGATATTTTTGGTTTAGTATTAACTGATATCGATACCAAAGAGCGATATCGATAAGAAATATTGGAACTTAACATCACTACAACCCTAATACCATCCATAGAAGTATGCCAAATATTTGTTTATTTATTCATACTATTTTAGCCGACAAAAAATAAATGACTACGCATTTCTTTAGTAATTTGCTTTGCTATTATCAAAATCTTCTCATTTATTTTTTTTTTTATATATGAAGGAAAGTAAAATTCGCAAATGAAAAGATATTTTAAGAACTCAATGTCCCGACAGAAAATCCTTTTGATCCTGCCTAGACAGAATCTGGGCTTATAAAACATAGTTTAGTACAAATAACATTATAACTTCAACAAGAATTAGAATTCTTGTCATGTAAGCTATTCAAGGATGAAATATTAGTTCAGCAAAAAAGCAATTCCGGTAAAAAGGAAGTTTGAATTTCTTTCTTTAAGCGATTCCATAAAAAAATTATCTAATACTCACAAGGTAAAATTATTCCTTATTTCTGAGCCTACGCGCTTATTTTTTCCCAACTTTCGTATAAGATGGATCCATTATATTTATAACATGCTATTCATCCAATAAAAATACAACCTATAGAACTTCTTTCGAAACAGCATATAAGAAAATTTAGTCAAAATACTTCAAAGATGAGTAACAGTCACTAGCGGATCCAGGATTCAGTTTCGGGAAGAGCTTCAGCCCGAAAAAATTGTTTTTAATAAATGTATTATTACACGAATTAATTTAAAGACTAACTATTAATTATTAAATGTAATTACACGAACAATACTTTTAGTGGTAATTTTTAAATATATTTTTCATAAGACACAGTTGTATTTTACCATTTGGGGGGAGGGGGGAGGGAGGACTTCAGCTCGCAAATAGATCCGCCTGTAATTACAGTTCATACAAATGGAAATAAATTTATAAGATTTTTCATATATTTATATTTTCAGACAACTTATCAGCCTTTAAATTAATTTTATATGTTTGAAGACAAATTAACATTATATAAAATTGTTATCAGTAAAGATATAATCTTTAAGAGAACAAATGAGATACAAAAGGGAGGGTAAGAAAAAAAAAACATTCGATTTTTTGGTCATTTATTTAATTTATTTCAATATCCAACCTTTCAGAGGCCCCAGATATCCTTTCTTGTTAAAAAATATTGTCTTCATAACAATTATACAATATTATATCGGCCCTGGTGAATTTCTTCACTGTGATTAAAAACTAATGCGCTACACACATACACACACTCACACATTAAATATATAGTGTGTATATGTGTAAATATATACAGATAAACTTACTATATATATAAAGCGCTATAAATTTCACCATAATACAATATACCCTTCAGTCTGTTTCATTTGATAACAAATTTATATTTTTTTTGTTTTATATCTTTCTTTATAAATCATACACATATATAATCTATAATTAAAAAAAAAAATACAACAAATAATATATATATATAAATCAATACACTTACAGATGTGATATGAAAGATGATTTATATGTAACAACTAATTTCTACATATCATTTGGATACAATAGAATGTTACAGTTCCCTTTATAAAGAGATGATTATCATTCATATAACATATATGTTTAAGTTTTAAACAAACATATGTTCTTTCCTATAATATTTTATTTTTTGCAAAATTGGAATTACTTTTGACATATTGCACTATTGAAGGAAAAAATAAAATAATAAGGCAACATAAGATTCTCAGTTTACGTTTATTCAGCCAAAATTTCAATTTTATTCGTCCGTTTGACTGCCAAAGGTCGTTTCCATTCAGCAAGCAGTGGAAAAGTTCAAAGTGTCCATTTTAGTTCTTTTTTTTAGTAGGTATTTTACTTTTTTTTTTACTTTTTATTTTTTACTTATTGTGATTAATAAGGTACGTTACAAGGCTATTTAAGAGAAGGTAGAGGAGGTTAGCAATAGATTAGGAAGAACAGGGAACTTTGATAGCTAGCGCCTAGGGCCCCAGGAAGGGGCGGGGGTGCCCGGCGCGGGGGCACCAAACGTCGGAAATTCCTGAGTGGAAGCAGTGTCGGGCACCTCCCAGGGGGCACCTTTCACCACAAACCCAGCAGCGCCGGCGCCGTTCCCGCCACCAGAGCCAGAATCATTTCCACGAAGTGGGTTAGTGCGAGCCTCGCGCATCTCCTGCTCCTCGACATCATCCAGCTATTGAAACAGGCAGAACAACTAGATTAATACATTACACAGAATAAAACATAAATTTTTATAAGATAGCTAATCTTTCAGATGATGAATCAAACATTAATTAACATTATACTACAGAATTAAAGAACACCACACCACTATACGTTCTGCAAATAAAATTTTAGAGCTCTATAGCTCGCTAATATCACAATAATAAAGTTATGTTACAAATCTGTTCAATATTTAAATTTTTTCGAGCTGAACTTTGATTCATTAACATTCATATATTAAAGTAATCTGGGTAATTAAACATAACATATAATAATTTGATTCTTTTTTGTTTTATTTTAATTTTTATTTCATATTCCTTCATTTTTTAAAAATTTAGTATTTTTTACTGCACCCCCCGACCAACTCCTTCTCATAACTTTATTTATTCTTTGTTTTATGTTCTAAATATATCTAGAAAGAGAGGAGTTAAAATGACAACACATTAGTAATGAACTGTTTATTGTATGCAAACATACTTAATAAGTTTTAAAAAAAAATTTCTGAATACGTCGTTAAACTATGTTTCATTTTGAATTTTTTTGTTTAGCAATTTGGAATTTTGAAATATATATACTGTTTTATTTACTATTATATTATGTATCATAATATTTAATATTGATACAAAACTAGACCGTTATATTAATATTTCTACTCTATCCTGTATTTGTTTTTATCAATATTTTTATTTATTTAAATTTTTTGTTCTAAATATACCAATGGAGAGGAGTTAAACTGATTACACATTAGTAACAAACTATTTATTGTTTGCAAAGATTCTTAATAAGTTTTTAAATAAATGTTTGAAATAGATTATCATTAAATACCTAATGTGCAATATGTTTTCATCATTATGTAATGTATGGAAATAACCTGTAACGGTGCAAGTTACAGATTCATAGGCTCAGTATTAGAAAAGTGGTGATTTGAATTTTATGTTCTAGTCAGATTTTCCCCAAAATTAATTATTTAATTCAGAATACTCACTAAAGGCTGGATATGCCATATCATAGTGTGGCTATACTATCATAGCATAAAATGTGTATATAATATATCCTAGAATTCTGCTCGTACATCATCAGTAAATAAAATAAAATTACAAACATACTTATACCTGTAAACATTTCTTCAGTACTATGTTTTATAATTTTACTTTAATTTTAGATAATGTATCATACACATGTATTATTATATCACTCTTTTATACACATTTATAAAACATTTCATGTAGTACGTGAAGAATTTTGATTACATACTTGCTAATATTGTAACACAATTTTTCATCTACACCCCTCCCAGTTTAAATAAAACCCTCATATATAATATAAATACTCTAAATAAGATCAAAGTAGATTTCTGACAATTGTTTAAGCCACAGAGCAACCCAAATGAGAGATTTTCATTCCATTGAAACAAAAAAATCTAAGTTATGAGACTATTGTGTGAAGCCATCGATATACCTAAGGCACAATTCTATCTTTTTAAGTAATCCAAGCTAAAGAAAGATTTAGACACCTAATTAATTGCTTTAACGCTAATAAACCTCAGAAAAAGTTGTTTTAAAAATGAGAACATTTTTTGAGATTTTTATGTTTTAAACTGGTAGAACCAACGTATATTTATACTTACATATTCATCTTCCAATGACCTCAGGTGTTCTTTAGCATCCAAAACATTTTCATCCTGACCAATGATAGTCACCAGGTTTGGATTTGGATCAGTACTGCGTGGAAATTTGATTTCCACTTGGAACTTCTCCATGATTTTTCTGATAGACCAACCACGAGCTCCGATCAAACGAGAATGCACACGACTATCGATTTCTAATTCATCTTTAGTCAATTCATTCTAAGGAAAATATAAAAAAAAAAGTATTGTCATTAGTTCTATTAATTATTTCAAGTTCATAGAAAACTTTCACAACAATAAAACACCTATTGTACCTCTCTTGAGTAATGTTTGCATAGTTTGGTTTAAGATTTGATAATGTGAAGAGAAGTGATGCTATGGATTGTTCGGGTTAGGTTGATTTCAGGAAATGTGTTAACCAAATGTGGGTTCTTGCATTGGAATGGAAGGTAAAACACTCCGGAAGGATGAGGAAGGCGTGGAAGAAGAGAAAAGAAAAGAAATAATATTTAAGCGGTCTTGAATTGGCCTAAGGAAAAAATATATTTATTTCATTTGTCTACCATTGATAAAATTATTGATAAAATTAAAAAAAAAAAAAAATCCCAGAGCCCATTCACACTTCCTTCTATAGAAATATACAAAATAAACATTTTATTGATCTTAATTCCAAAACTAATTTTTAAGTTAAAAAAAAAAAAAAAACTTACCAGTTGGTTCACAATAGCTAATATGTCTTCTTTAGCTAAATGAGCTTTATCTTCGTAACCTTGGATTGTAATAATATTCTCATCAGGATCCCCACGCCTAGGGAACATAATAGTAACACCATGTTTTTCGCGTATTTTTGTAATCACAATTCCTCTTTTCCCAATAATCTTTGGATGGTAATCAGGATCGACTTCAAGCTAAAAATTAATAATAAATTAAAGAATATTGGTGTGTTCAAGCGTCAATCTTATAATTATTAAAGCTGGACAGTAGATAAAATGGTACTTATGAACAATCTGGTTGGCAGTAAACCTCCCTTCTTATCTTACGTCACAAAACCTGATTTTTTATCTCGTGCAAGCTGTTGCGTGTGAGTTATTGCATTGGTTATTTTTGTTTGATTTTTTATGGTTGAAATGCATCCATTACATTACATTGTGGGGATTGCCATCTTCAGAAGAAGAGGCTATCAAATATTTTCAAGATGCCGGGATAATTGCACAGGTGGAATATTTTGAATGTTGAAGATCATGAAATGAAATTCGACGGGAAGACGAAATGGAGATGCTTTTGTAATAACTAAAACGTATCTATAAGGAAAGGAACGTGCTTAAAGGGGTCGAAGATTACCAGTTTAAAATTAATTTATGGATGCTCTCATAATTTGACAATACAGTGGGTACAGCTGAAACTATCGAACAGATGTATCATAATGTGGAAGAAATTTGTAGGAGAGATTTGTGCCCATAACATTTTATACAGGTCAACTAAGAAAATTGGAGGGCCTGGGAATAAGAAGAAATAAGAAACATTGAGGAACTGCGAGGCAATACCTCGATTCATATTTACGTGAATTTTTATGGCAGCAGGCTCACAGAGAAGAGGACTCTTTGCTCGCTATTTTAAATAACATTAAGCTATTTTGTCTGTCAAAATAAAGTATGAACATATATGCGTAAATTGAAAGTGTTTTATATGTATGTATGTTGTAAAATAAAAGTGTTTTGTTATTTATGATTCTTATTAATATTATATACGTTGTAAAATAAAAGTGTTTTGTGATTATTGCATTTGTTTTTGAATTTCCTACGAAGATAGGAATTACGAGAAGCCTTATCAGAATTATCAGTGTTCAGGTAATAAACATTGGCAGATAGCAGTCCATAGGGACCGGACTGTTCACAAGTACCGAAAAAACTTTTAGAAATGGGACGAAAGTTAAGAAAGGAGCAAAAAGCTATCTTTATAATTAATAAAATGTTATATAAGAATCTCACAGTTAGTTTAAATGATTTCAATTTTCTATCCTCTTTTTCTTCATCAATTTTCCTCATTTCATCGAGAATACCTTCCTTTGCTCTTTCAACAGCCGCAGGAGCTCCAATTATCTAAATAAAAACATTCAATAGAGTGATGCATTCCAAAAAGTTTTCGTAAATATTTAAGACATAACTTTGAAAAGACAATATTAGTAGGATTGCTTCAAGGCATGTTCAAGACATTTGTTACAAATACTATATGTTATTTATATGACGTTATTTGTCCAGCCAGTGATTAAACTGTTATATTCACAATTGTGATAGTTAAATTGTAATAAATTAGTTTAAATAAAGAAAAGAACAACCTCTATTTTTCAAACACTTACTTTGATAGTTTCTTGCTGAGCATTATTGGGTGGTATGTCAATGTAAACATCAAATGAATTCATCATATCTCGGACATTTTGTCCTTTTGGTCCAATAATGCCTCTGTGATATTCAGCAGGAACGTCCATCTGTAAAATATATTATATAATACAATATAATAATAATATAATATGTGTTGGTGTAGATTTAATTTTAGTTTAATAAAGGAATAGAAGGGACTTCCTCATAAAAATATATTGATTATAAAAAAATAATTTCTTAAAGAATGTTTTGTACAATTCATTTGCAGATGTATTTGCTGAAGCAGTCTAAATATTTGTAAAATCGAAAGAGTGTAAGGATTGTACGTAACAGAGGAAACCAGTTCATACTGTACATGTTTAAAGTAAGCACAAGTCAAAGAAAATCTAGAAACTGTCAAATGAGTAAATTGTTTCTTTTTTGTAATAGAGCTACTTTTATTCTAAATTTTATTCAACCTAGAATATTGAATCATATCTAAATATTGCCACCACATTCTACTTCTAATACAAATTTTTTAACATTGATTTTCCGTCAAAAATACCTGAACAAAAGGTGCTTCTCAAAAGTAAAAATAACAAGATTATATAGTCCAAATGCCCCAATATTTTTGTAGGCTACCTTTTTTTTTATTTCCTAATTTGTGATGATGTTATCTTAAGATTCAAGTGGAAAGCAAAGCAAATGGGTATTCATGAATTTTTGGTACTTGATTAAATAGACAATGTTTGCCGATCTCCTTATTGAAAATGACCCAATTCTGAGAATTGTCGTAAAAATAAATTATTTGTAGGTTACGATGAGATGAAGCTATTTACAAAGTTTCAGGTGGATGTTAATAATTTGATAAAAAGGTGTACTATACCACCGACTATATAACATCGTTTTCGAAGTAACGTTACATTTATTACTTTCTTGACCCTGGTCAAGAAACTTAACCAAGTAGGTTTATAAGGTTCACGGGGATCCCTCCTTGTGGTAAAAAATTGAATACTTTATATTTGATCTGACATCATGTTGAGTAATGCGGAACACAGAGATTTAAGAAAAAATGGATATAAATTAAATACAGTTTAGAAGACTGTCCAAAAAAACTGAATAGATATAGAAAATGGTTACCAAGTATTCGATTGGTTCGCTCTCCTTGAGTGCCTTGGCAGCCTCCTCACAGTTGCTGGGTTTGCCAGTAATTCTAATCAAGTCACCAGGATATGGGCCAGGTCCATTTGCATCGCCATTCATCACTGGATGTTCAACGTTTTCGATCAATTCACCATCTCCATATCCGCCAGCATCTTCTAATCAAACAAAGTTCAAAACTTCTTTAAAGTATAACTTAAAAAACAAAATTAAATGAAGGGTTTGGCTCAATGACAGTCTAAAAATTTAAAAGATGAAAAATGGGCAGCATGTGCAGTCAAAAAAAATCTCCTTGACTGGACAAGAACTGTTCTTGCACAGCCTTCAAACCATTAATTTCATGATGAACTAAATGTTTGGGTCGAACCGTCAGCAAACTCAACTTACATAATATTTTTAATGCACCTTTTTTCATCTTAAAAATTTCAACAGTCACCTGTATACCCATTTCTAAAGTATTTAAAAATTTAAGCATGCTTTCAGTACTTCAAGGATGTGAAATTTAAAGTGAGAGTGAAAAGTACATATCGCGTAAAAAAAATTTAAGCATCATTCAAGGTGTTTCTTATAAATTGATTGGATTATATTTAAATCAAAATTGGAACAAATAAATATTGTATTTGGCTTGCTTACTACACACAAGTGGACAGTATTGTACAACATAGCAAAAAAAAAATACACCTGTGCTAATGGCAAAACAGAAAATCAAAGAATTTTCCTATAAATTAATACTTATTTGTTTTAAGTTTGAACAAGTAAATTCTTATGTCTATTTGGGGGTGTTCATTTAAATTCTAAGAATAATGTCTCTTTTGAAATTGGGACGAGGAAAAAAAAAGGCAACAGGTGTTATTTTTTAATGTAATACTCACAATAAACTCTTGTCGATAAGGTTAATTGGAGAATTAGTTTCATGTAAACAGTGAAACAATTGGAAAAAAGAAATGAATGTATTGCAATTGTGCAAATTACCACGCCTCTAGTATGAATAAGATTTTTTCTATTTATTCATATTTCAACTGTATTTAATTAAAAATACATCTATTAAATGTTTACACAGGAATAATACAATCACATGAAAACGCTTGTTGAGAAACTACCCATTGGTAGCACTCTAATAATATATTTACATAAGTAGATCACGAGGGCCATCTTCTTTTCAGAAGCCTTGGAGGGTAATCAGGTATCGAAGAGGAAGTAAGGTTCGAAACGAGAGGGTTCGGATGGTTTTGAAGTTTGTTATGGAAGGATAGGTATCTGGATTGGGCTAAATCAGAAGCATTGAGGATTTTAATAAGGAATTTGGATTGTAAGGATTGGATAAGAGAGGAATTCGATTGTCTGGTGGAGCCCCAAAGCTCAATTCTGCAAGTCCGACTTGGCCTTATTATAATCATGTATATAAGTCTTTTGTAATATATTGAAAGTTTATGGAGTGTTTGTCTAGTAAGTGCTGAAGTAGTCGAAAACGTCGAGCAGTTTATTGTAGTTTCTATCTTGTATGAGGATTACAAGTGAGACATAGTCCTAGGTATCGGATTTGATCGACAGCGATAAGTGGGGAATCGTTAAAGAATACTGTAGGACAGGAAGTCATTGGTTTACGACAAAGAGGAGTAAATGTAATTTTATGGGAGAACTAGAATTTAAAATCATAAATTATTAATATATTATAAAAATAATCTATTGTAATTCACTGAAAAATAATTTGTTAGGGAGGAGATTCAAGGAATCTCACTACCCTTGATTGTAATTTTTTCCACTAAAAGACATTTTATTCAACATATAGAATATTTGTTTGTGATTAAGATTCAAGGTTCATTCTACTGTAATTTTGAATAGTATAAAAATACATATGCATGTATAAGCTAAACCATATAAAAAGGAAATAAATTCAACAATGATGACATGCTATTATAATCAATTTTATAAACTTCTATAAAAGAAAAAAGTTGTGGGTCAAGGCTAAGTAACACATTTAAAAAACATATGTTCATACCATATGTTTTATTTTTATTTTGTTTTTATTCATTTGAATGTAATACATAAAATGAGGTAAGTTGCAATATTATTGGTTTGGATACGATCTAGTACACATGTTCCAGTTCAGGAATATTTCAAACTGAGGAGTTCCCAGGTTATACACCAGGAACTGCTCATACTGACACCACATTCAGAAAAAGGACATACTAATGGGCAATGAAGAAGCTCCATTATCATCACAAACAAGTGGTAAACATTACAAAATTATTTTATTAAATACTAGAAGAGGAGCTTTGGCCAGTTTTCTCATATAAAAGTTAATTAGGAATAGCTTAGGAAAAAATGGTTTTAAAATATTTGAATATCCCAGCCATTGTTTAATTGTATGATGATTTCTATATCAAACACGCTTTTGTTTTTAGATTAAAAACCTTCAACAGCTTAAAAATATTACAATTATTACTTTTTCTTCAGATTGAGAGCAAGTTCATATTATGCATTACAAAAAAAAAATAAAAATGTAAATAATAAACAAGAATAGTAATTATCTCCCTATTAGATTAACTCTGGAAGAATAAATATGTTTTCTATAAGCAATCCCGATTGCTGAAATCATATCCCTTATTGGCAAGCCTCGAGATTTATAAATTTCTGAGAATGAAGTCACTCTTCTTACAGCCATAAGTAGAGGTAGTTAAAATTATATTTAAGCATTTTTTATAAAAGATTTTAATAGTATAAAATCAGTGAAAAATCGACGAAACTTAAACAAAAAAACTCAGATAGAATTAAGATATAGCTTATTAGATATATAAGATTTATTAGTTTTGATTTAAACCAGAGCAGACTGAATATTAAGAGCCAGCACAAAAATTATAGGGACAACTATCGAACTGAACAGAAAATTGAAACATTAAATAAATTATGTAAAATATTGGGAAGGAGAGAAAGATTAAGTTTAAGGGTTGCTAACCAAAACAAGAACATTAAATGGAAGAACTAAAACGAATTGTTATGTCATGGAAGTATACTTGAAGAAAATACAAAAATGTCTATCAATGTTTTTACATAAGATAGACATGAGACAGATTAAAATAACATTCAAAAGAAGGACATGAAAATCAGAAATAGTTTCTTTGCTCTATTAAAATATTATTAGTTTCAAGAAATGTAAAAATAAGACAGGTGCTAGTTAAAAATTAATTTAAAGAATAAAATACAAGCTTTAGCTAAACTAAATAAGATCTTTAGTAGAAAAAAATTGAGTGTTGGAAGTGCCACACGATTATGGGGTTAGGTGGCCATTAATGTACCAATATAAAACTTTGAATATTGCATTATGATGAGATCCTAGTTATTTTTTTGGAGCTGACTTGACTAAAGTAAGAGACATGTTATGATATACGTATATATATATATTATACATATATATATATATATTATATATATATATATATATATATATATATATATATATATTATACATATATATATATATATATATATATATATATATATTCTTGAAGGACTATTTCATCAGGGAAGAGAGGTATTTTTTTACAAACCAAGTCACTGTGGTCTCCATGGAAATAAAATGGCAGATTAACTCAAAGATGTCAGATATCGTTCAATAGAGCAAGGAAAGAGATAATAAAGACAAATAGGTTCTACTACTGGAATTAATGAAGTTCATTACCGTTGAGAAGTGATAGGGAAAATTGCTTATTGAACAACGGGTACCTGTTACAGTTTCGTATAACAAGCAGACTACCTAAAAAACGTCTGTAAAAATGTTTTTTAAGTAGTGCGATCTGCAATCTAAGGACTTCAGAAAAATTTATGGATGCAGTAAACTTATATGTACCTTCTCGCTTATTGAATAAAAGAGATAAGATACCGTCCAAATCGGAATGACTGTGGACTGCAAGATCCCTTATTGAAGTTAATAGAGGCATTTGAAAAAATAATATTGAAACTCTCTGTAGTGTTGATAAGCCTCTTTTTTACATACATACATATATATCTTCTTCTTTTTTTTTAATACATCATATTAATATTGATTGTTGTCCATCTTCATAAATTTCAATACTTAAATTAGTTTAGTTATTACATTTTAATAAATGTAATCAGTAATTTAATACTCTAATCAGCTTAGTTATTTCGTTCAGGGAATATTAGGGTGGGCCCAGCAGCAGGGAGCCACATGTGGAACATTTAATTTAATCATGAACGTAAAGATATCTAACCTCTGGCATTTCTGTCCGGGAACTTGATCTTCACATCAAACCTATATTCGATTTCCTGAACTTTGCTTCCTTTGTTACCCATCACAGCTCTGTGGTGCTTTTGAGGAATCTCACAGTATATTGTCACTCTTTCTTCCTGAAAATAACCAAAGACCTCATTTATTATCAAGTATTAAGTAACTAAATCTCATTTAGTTAGTAATATATCATAATCATAAATATAACATTAATTGGTGTTTTGGAAAAATGAAGATAACACTTACTAGATCTTTAATGATATCAGTTATTTTCTGTTTAACCGTTTCAATATGCTGCGGAGGTCCCTTAATGGTCACCCTATCAGAGCTTACACCATTTCGCGGGAAAGATATAGCCACTCCAGGGAATTCATCTTCAAGTTGTTTCAACACTTCACAACGACGAGCAACAAAATGTTTGTGATGTTTCTGATCTACTATCATTTCTGATTCAAGTACATTATCCTTAAAAAAATAAATAAACAAATGAGTGAATGAATAATAAACTAAATTTTTGATGAATAATAATTTAAAGTAAAAATATGATGCAAATTTAACTAAAAAAAAAAATATTTGTTACCATTTTCTCGATAGCAGCCAACAGTTCTGCTTTGGCTTGCTCGACTCCATCTTGTTTTCCCATAATTGTGATGAGTTCCTTGTCATCATCGCGATCTGATGGGAAAATTATTCTTGTGCCAGTGTTCTCCCTTATCTAAAAATAATAGAAAATCAGCTATCAAATGAAAATTACGACATTTTAAGTTTTAAAAAATTAAAAAAAAAAACACATATTTCTTAATTTAAATAATTCATTTTGCCAATAATATGGGAATATCCCTTAATACTTTTAACACTACACTGTGTTTATATATTAATTTACATTACTCAAAAATGACAAATGGAAGAAAGCTTAATATAACTTCACATTTCGAAACATTGGCTTTCGGTCATTCATGGAGATTGTAACCTTCTTGGTTAGAGTTAAGTATAATAAAAAATAACTTTTCTTACTCTGTTGATGTTAGCACCAGATTTGCCGATGAGATATTTATGATACTGCGGCTTTGCTCTCACTTCAGAGGTATAGCTATGAAGTTCCCTTTCGGACGCTTGCTCGAGGAGTAGTTGTTTAGCTTTCTTTACATCATCTTTAGGTCCTCGTAAAGTTACCTGTAATCATTCAAGAGATAATGAAAACAAAACCATTAAATAATGAAGATAGACAAAAATCAGATCAGAGGAACCCACTGAAACAACAACCTATCTGTTACGAGGAGTGAGTTTAGCCCGATTTGACAATAATTACAACTATAAAGGAAGGACTGCACAGCAGTAGCTGTGTATTAGAATCATTATTTTTTATTTATAGTTTCAGATCATTTTAGTAAGAGATTGGTTAATGGGAGTACATTAGAGAGATTACGTTGTCCAAAATACAGCTATTAGGAATGTGTACGTGTTATTCTTCAGTTTCACTGAAAGCATTACTGAACAATCAGTACAGGCTCCTTTCACATGATATATGCAGAATAATTCTGGTTATTGTGTTACTTTTACCATAAGTATATTGAAATAAATAAGTTCATTCCTAACGATCCTAGGAATTAAAAAAACACATGAAGTAGTGGGTAAAACCAGATGGGATTGTGTAGGAAATAATCCGTGTCACAAGATCTGTTACTGAAGCCACAGAGGAACAACAGTTGAAACGGTTCAGCCATGTTTGTACAATGGGACATTATAAGGTCCACTGGCTGATACGAAAACGCCCCGTTGGTAAGTCTAGAGTTAACTATGCTGATAACATAATATAGATGCACTAGAAAGAGAAAGATTGATCAATAAATCACCTCTTAAGAATGGCTCTTTATAGAGATATATAAGAGAGATAAAACTGCGGCTACTCCACACAGCAGTAAGGAAATAGAGAAAGAAAAATTTTGTATTTATTTTGTGTAACAGTAACTTATCTTGGGAATTATTGCAATGTAGAAGAAAAATAAAATATTTAACATTTATTTTTTCTATGAATAAAGACTAGAGACCGGATTTTCGAGCCATTGCATTTTTTGTTCGTTAGCCAAAATGGCTATAAGATTCATGAAGACACATTATTTTGACATCAGTTTTATTATGCACGAAATTGCACGTTTTGGGGTCACTGCACACATTTTTCCATTTAAATGATTTACTGCATGACATTTTATTTTTGTTGATCTTACTAAACAAACATTAATGTTGAATGTAAAAGAAGTAAAGAAGAAATGTCAGAGAGAAAATTACTGCAATGACTTACTTTATCACTCTTGCTGTCTTGAGGAGGGAACTTGATGCTAACGCCTCCACATTCTTCTTCAATGGAACGGATCAACTTTCCACCAGCTCCGATCAGAGAGTTATACATTTTGGGAGGAATAGCGACTTCTTCTTGAACAATGTTCATCTATTTCGAAAATGATCAATTAGTAAAAATTGAGACAGTAACAGAGAAATAAACATAACTAATTATAATACAGCAATTAAAGAACTCATTATATTAAGGTTTCTATTCATGAGAAAGATAAGTGTGATAAATATACAGTAAGAATTCATTTATAAAAAAAAAGTCAAAATATGATCGCTAACCTGTTCATTTTGAATTTTCATTATCATTTCCTTTGCTTTTTCAACATTTTCTTTTTTTCCAGTTATAGTAATGAAATCAGCTTTGGAACCTTCTGACAACATTTCAATAGTTGTATTTGTCTCTTCTCGTAGCTGTAAATTAAAGATTATTAGATACTCTATTGTAAACAAATTCAGAAAATATCATGTTTTTTTTTTATGTTTTATTCTATTCTTATTAGAAATGACTCAGAAGTTGGAGGAAAAATTTGTTTAAAATAATTTATTTCAATCACTAAATTAAGAAAAATGAGAACTAATGATAGAACACAAAATGTTAAAACAAGAACTCTTGTAGGCTTGAATATAAATAAATATCACTAGCAGCAGTTGGAAATGAAACACCTAAAAACTTGGACACGGTCCCTAAAATGGACCAATATTAAAACATGGGATAAAAATAAACAATATTAATGATCAATAATTAATGAAAACAGGATAAAACTAGTAGTCACTGATAATCTAAAAAAATATATAAAAATAAAATATCCCATTAAAATAATTCTGAAGCTACAAACTACTTTAACCTATTATAAATCATGGTTTGAGGAAAGAATAATTAATTTTAATACACCACTTATATTAGGCTAAAAAATGTTTTAAGATAGCCAATGCTAGGATGTCCTTTTATTAAAATAAAATTTAAAAGTTTAAAAAAGGCATTGAACAAAAGAATTGTTTCAAAGCTCAATGGTGAACTCGTGCAACACTTAACTTTCATGCTATTGTACTTAATTTGTTCCTCTAATTCACAGATTATAAACATAATCATGGACAGGTTTGAATAAATATTTTAAAGTTCAAAGATGTTTTAAGTTTACAACCACCTTTACTTCCTTACAAAGGAGATAAAAACTATACAAATTATTCTCTTGATAATAAGTTGTACAGTAGTCTTTGTAGAAACTAAAATATAATAGTATCAAATTTTAAAGTCAAATACGAATACAGATATATTTATATATTCAATATGTACTAGGATCATTGGGGCTGTTCATTTATGATACAAATGCACAGCACGGGAAATATCCTTGTGATTTATATCCCTGCATATCCTAGAATGGAGAACATCAGATCAGTTCAACATTCCAAATGTACAGGTTAAAAAAATAAACTTAAATTAAACATTTTATAGCAACAAAACATAACGATTCAATAATATTAAATAGTAAGTTTTATATATTATATAAATATATTTATAATATTATATATACACACATATATATAATTAATTTAAGGTAGGAGGAAACAATTTTTAATTTTATATATTTTTTTTTTCTATCCTTAAAATAATAATTTACAAGTCCTATTTTAGTATTTAGCCTAAGTTTATTTTATTTTATATCAACATTTTGAAACCTCAGATACAAGCTGTTACCATTAATAATAAATAAAATAGTAGACTGATGTAACATGAATAAAGAAATATATAGAGATATCATATAGGTAACACAACTATAACACACATTCTTTGCATCGTATATAACATTTGATTTAAAAAAAAAAGGAAAAATAATATATTTACTTTTTTAATGTTGCATCCACCCTTGCCAATTATATATTTGTGGCACCCATAAGCAGGAACTTCTAATTGATAACTGTTCTCGATGATTTCTTTCACTTTCTTCATCAAATACTTATGGCACTTATCAACTTCCTCCTTCACACCTCTCAACTTGACAATGTCACTCTTTTGATCTGAAATGGTAAATGAAATGATAATATTGTCATCAAACAACTCTTTTGATCTGAAATGGTAAATGAAATGATAATATTGTCATCAAACAAACAAATACTAACACAGTAGATTTCGTCCCATTTCCCAATTAACTATTTTTATCTTTTTAGTGAGAGAAAGTCGAGAGTTGTGATCTAACACAAGATGTAAAAATGATCATAATCTGTTTAAAAAACTAAACAAAAAAAAAAAACGACAGTGTGTGCTCAAGACCACACAATAGAAGTGAAAACATCAACAAGGAGAAATTAATTATATGAAAAATAAATTTTGTTTGTACAATAATCACAAAGTAATAACATTTACAACATATATATAATTATAGATGTGTAGAAATTATTACTTCTTGTTCTATATTCACAGAATAATGACATTTATAATAGATACAATTATAATTGTGTACAAATTATTCTAGTAAACTTTGCTCTGACTGATCGTCATTTGTATCACACTCTAAAAATGATGTAAAAGGTTTATGATAAAGAAAATATGCAATGAATACTTTTGATTGAAATCTATTTGCTAAATATTTAACAAAGACTGTCGCAACAGAAAATTAATAGAAACACATACACATAATTTCTTGTTTTTATAATTAATTAAAACAATATCTATATTGACTTGCACAAATAGGTTTTTGAATTTTTCATGGTATTTAAATTTTGAGATATTTTAGTTCAAATGTTCAAAACAGTCGTAATTATTTGTTTTTGTTTTTTTACACTAAAGAAGTTTTCGCTTCCAACAGAGAGCTCGAAATTATTTAAGATTTCTTTTTTTTTTTTTTTAAATATATACACATCAAATTAAACTAATAGCCATGAGGGAAACTTCATTAAATTATAATATTAAAAAATTAATATAATTATGAACTCAAAGGCATAACAAAATGGAAAATGGTATATTATAATATATGAAAAAAAAAATTAATAAATAATAATTTAATATGATGATAGAGAACTCACCAGGTGATGGGAAGAAAATCTGCACTTGACTGAACTTATCTCGAACTTCTCTAATGTTTTCTCCTTTTTGACCAATCAAACTCCTGTGATATTTACAGTCAATTATTACATCTTTTTCTTTTTCCAGTTCCATTTTGCTTATCATATCTTCAAGTTCCTGAAATCGGATAGACATTTATAATTTTTAATTGTTTAGTATGTAAAAACAATTTCATTTCAATAAAAAAAAATAAAAATTAGGCAACGGCTTTCATTTAACAAATATAAATGTTTACCAAAATGAAGAATAAATATATATCAATTAAAACCAAGGATGTGTTTATTGCTGCCTAAGGGTTAACAAAGTTATCTCAAAAACTGCTTGCACAACAGTCCAATAGGTTAAACAAAAATAATTTTTAAAAACTTAAAGAAATAAATAAATCAATAACCACTAATACCACCATAGTAAAGCCTAACAGTAACTGCATTGTTTAATAATAGTAACGCATTCAAAACTAACAATTTATTTGCATTTATAGTGTTCATTGTATTTTTATCAATATAATTTAAAATGAATAAACTATATGAAGTAGACATTCGATGAAAAAAAAAGAAAGTGTCTAGAAGTAAAAATGAATAATTAATCTAATAGTTTAAAAAGTAAGATACATACTCTGCTAACAGAAGACATATCGTCTTTTCATAGAATAAAAAAGATGATTAAATGTTTAATCAATATTTTTTTATTTTAAATAGCAGTGAATGTTAGATTAGATGATGTAAACAACAACCCAAGCTTAGAATAAGTTGAAACTGAGTATTGCCTGACTATTATATCAGCGTCAAAATGGATTTTCCCAACTTCAGCAGGTTGAATAAAATTTAAAATAATCACGATTCACACTCAGAAAAAATATAAAAACAAAGTTCAAATATGAAATAACAATTAAAAAAGAAACTATTTATAACAAAATAGTGAACATTGTGAGCCAGGCGAGGCAGTGCTCATCCAGTGGCTACTGAGGGAAACAATTACTAGTTTTAAATCTATTTCAGGGAAAATGCAGATTAGGCGCTGATTCAGAATTCTTCAAGGAAAAAAAAAAGTAAACATTCAAAATATTCAAGGTTATAAATGAATAACAATAATAATAATATTTTTCAGACCTTTACTTATTGATCAAAGTTTCAAAGACTACATTCATCTTCACGACTTATATTTTGTATTAATTCATTATATTTGCCATTTTGATTTTTTAATTGATTCATCCATTTTTATTTTCTAGAATATTCCTAATTTTCCACATCTTTTTTGCTAACCATTATGAATTATTAGTGTTGTATTTTCTCTTTAAAATTTATCCTGGAATGTTGATATTACAAATAATGTTCTGTCACATTACAACCTATCTGAGAGTTGATCTTGGGATCAATATTTAATAAGGAAGGGCTGTTTGGAAGGATAACGATTGTGCAGGGAGGTGATTGGGCCGATATCACACTTAACCGTCAGGTTCGTCTCTTTTCTAATTATTTATTAGTGCTCACTTTACTTTAGGATGAAGATGACCCAGGAAGATTTGTCCCAGGCTGATTTAAGAAAATAAATAATATCTATCTACCACTGCCGTTCTCGAACTTGGGACCTTAAGCATAGGTCAATGTCTTATTCACTGAGCCACACATCACTCTTACTTATCTCTCTATTATAGAAAAGTTTTTAGTGAAGGTCATATTTTATTTTATTATAGTACTAGGAGAGTAGGAGGTTATAGGAGCACTCCTAGTAGCTCTGTAATTAGCACTAATTATACAGCTGTTCGTTCAATCACATATGTGCTGAGCTCCTGTAAGCTCCTACTATCCTTATACAAAATAGAGATTTACACCTTAGTGTCTTCATTACAGTATTGAGCTCCTGTTACTTAATACTGTCCTAATACAAAATAAATATTGTAGACTAAAAATTTGTATGAGAAATTGTGTTTATTCATCTGGAGGTGGTAGTTTGATTTTACATAGGTAACAGCAGTTATTTTTCGATCTAGACATTTTCCCTTGACCACAATAAATTAATTATTATATAGTGATATAATTATAATTATTATGAAATAGGAAAGGGAGCACAATATAACTCACAATGAAAATATTAGAAATAAAAGGCTAAATTATTGTTGGACTTCTATAAAGCTGGACAAGTTGAATATATATTATAGTTACAAATTGGCAACAAGAATAATTATAATTATATATTAATATAAATTTCCAATAAGATGTGATGTTTACCATAATTTTTAAAGAAATTAAAAATTTGTTCGAACTGTGGTTTCTTTCAGTCTATTTTATGTTGATGAAAAATAATACAACCTGAACTACAGAATACATGTAAAGTTATACAATCTGAGCAACAAGTAGTGCGATTAGATGAACAGTTGTATCATTTGTATAATGGGGGTTGGTCCGCCGCTAGGCAGAATGAGGATTCCCTCCTAGTAATATTTGAAAAATAAAATGTATGAGTCAATCTAAAAAATAAAATTGACGAATTTTAAAAACAAGATAAGTAATGAAGTTGGATATAATAAAGGTTGGCAAGGTCCAAGAAGTGAAGAAGAGACGCTCTACTAGAATTAATAATTCTTGGAAACCTTGAACCACAACAAAGAACTTGAGATAAATTTTCCCTTTGTGAAATCAGAAAACTGTGCACTTGTAACTAACTATATTTTGTATATAAAAGAGTTTGTTTAATCTTAATGCACTTGCTGCATTTTTTAATTGATAAATGAAGTCGAAATTCATAAAAAAATTTCACACAAGGCAAATGAAGATAACTTAAAAATTTAAATTAAACTAGATACAATAGAAGACAACAATATTTTTTTAAACATTTTGATAAATTGTGGTCGCCTCAAATGTAGTCAAAGGAAAAAAATAAATAATCAATTAAGTTTAGTTGAATTAAAAAGGGTTTCAAAGTTTAATCGAAATAATAAATTTATATTGAAAAAAAATCTTAGAGTTCAGCTCCATCAAAAATGTAATTAATGACTTATTGCAATAAATCTACGATATATTTTATCAAGAAAGATCCTAACCTGTTTAGCCTGGGCAACTCCGTTCTTGTCACCTTCGATGCGAATCACATTCTGATCAGTATCTGAAATATTGATGACTACACCAGTCTGTTCCTTCAGGCGGTTCACATTTGCGCCGTTCTTTCCAATGATATGCTTATAATACTTTGGGTCAACTGTCAGGGTGGTAAATGTCAACTTATTAACCATTTCAGCTGTAAGCTCTTTCAATTTGTTCCTTGCTTGTTCGACTTCATCCGGAGGGCCTTCGATGGTTATCTTATCTTCTTTTTCAGTGAACTGAACATGAACCTGAAAAAGAAAAAAAAGTACATGAAGAGATGAAATAATTGCCAATAAGCTTACATATAAAAACGGATATGCTGCTAAAAACAATGTCCAATAGGACAGACAAAAAACCTTAATTGTATACGGTAAACTAGCATATCCTAGAGAGAATTCTCACATTAGATGCATATTCTTCCATAATGAATTCAACGTTTAAGCCTCATCAATAGATATACAATTTAATTTTCAAGATAGTCTGTTTAATAAGGCGCGTATAAGCTTCATTCTTTACCACAACCACTAACCACAATTTACAAAATAAGTAATTGCTTGCCCCACTGATAACATCCCTAGAGTTTGTTAGTTAGACTAAGATACAGCTATCCCTCAACTTATATTATTGTGATTATTTAAAACCGATTTGTTTCATGCAGAAGAAAATTTCTTAAGCTGATCTTAAGTAGTATAATTTTACATATCTTCACTACCACTAACATATTTTTTCCATCTTTCTTCTACCATAGTTACACCTACCCTAATGTAATATATTACTGAGTTTTATCAGCATAATTAGACATTCTGTCAATTTGTGCCATACATGTTATATAACATTGTTGCTATATGTTCTCCAACATTTTATTGTTACTTCAATTTGTTAATATAAACTGTACACCACTATAAAAATTCATTATTTTAACCATTTCCTAATGGTCTAATTCCCTGATGATCACGCAGTATTTTTCTTATAAGTTATTTTTAATTTTTTTTTTTTTTTTTGATAAGCAAATCAGCGTTTATTTTTATACAGCAGTTAACTTGGTAAGTTTCTATAACTAATTTTAAATCTAAGACTATCAAGCAACAAAAATTATTACAAAGGAACAAGTTGAAATTATAACTGACAGAATTATTATTACTATTAACATCTTATCTCGAAACAAATCCAACTAGATTGTTATAAATATTCTTTGAATTAAATAATTTAATAATTATGACAAAAACAAGACGTTATAACTTACCTTGCTCAAATCCTGTGTAATTTGCTTAATATTGGCACCTTTTCTGCCGATGATATACTTATGAATCCAAGATGGGGCATTCACCATTACTGCTTGAACACTGTTAGCTTTGCCATAGACCATGTTAAGGGCTAAAAAAAAAAAAATATATAAGAAAGGTAAATCAAAGAATATAGGAAAATAACAAGATAACATTCAAATGACAAATGATTATTACCACTTCCAAGTTTGTCTTGTGGTCCACGGAGTGTTATAGTTTCCTTCCTAGAGTCGAGAGGTGGCATTTCAACACTAACGCCAGTGCTTTGCAAGATCTCCGCTATTCCGGTACCTTTAGGTCCAATCACATATTTGTGTTGCATTTTGCTTACCTCAACACAAACTGTAGTGTACTTGTCTTGCTGCAAAAATACAATAAAAGCTTTATAAACGCCAATACTCACTACATACTACATGTTACTTAAGGAAAGGCGGAGGAGCGGAGGGATAAGATAACAAGGTTAAGGTTATGCAACTTTTTCCGACCACTGTGAATGGATTCAAGAATTATTTTTATGAGAGCTTCTTTGATGTCTTACCTAATTCCCTAAGTTTTTTAAAATTTCCTCTCTCTTATTCAAAGGTGTGAAACATGAGGTTTCCCAAAAATTGTCATTTTCATCAATCTATTCAATTGCTGGGATAAGATGACAAAAAGACCAAGGATTTTAAATCATAATAACAAACAACATAAATAAGAACTTTCAACAAACTTTATAAACATATAACTTAAACAAGAAATATAAAATTGTGGAAACATCAATCACGAAACTCGATGAAAAAAAGTTAATATTAGTATATCTAATATATTATAAGTTTATATTAGTAGATTCTCAACACTTCACATGAAATTTCTTTCTTTTTTAACTATAGGTAAGTTAAATAAAAGTTAAACTCACAATATGAAAACCATGTACAGGTATCAGATAACTGTAAATGGAGAGGGATCGGAAATGGTCAGGAGTTCTCAGCTCTTCGCATAAGTTTTAGTTCCCAATCCTTATTTTTCTGTTAGTTAATAATCAAAATTTCTTATTGTTAAGGTTAAGGTCTCATTTTTATTTAAAATATAAACCTAATTTAAGGTACTATAAGGGAAGACATTTTGAAAATTTGGCATTAAACCCATGTCAAATTATTTTAAAGAAGATAATGACTGCCTGATATTAAAGACTGCTTGATTTTACTTTGATATAGTAGGTTTAATCTAAATTGTTAAAGCTGTTCAAATTCAAATTGCTAAAGATCTAAATTACATAAAGTGCCAATTCTGGTTAGTTGATTATTACGAAAAAGTTGCTATGAAATCTCATGCCTATACCTATCTTAAAAACGAAATATCAGTATTGTATGACTTTTCATTTTTTGATTGCTCATATTCACGCACAGACCATTTCGCGAAACTTGTTTTGTTTTTTACTCTGTAACCTCAAAACATTTATTTCTGATGAAAACCCAAATTCAAAATTCTTCACAATTGCAATACCTTCCCTTACTATACATTTCCTAAATAGGTACATAAAAGTAACAATGATAAACAGAAGATAAAAAGAATGATTTTTTTATTCCTATACCAACACCGATTAAATTTTAAGAGATAAAACTAAATAAGTTACTAATGATAAAACTTACCATGGACTCGTACATAGATAGCAGGCTATCTTTGGCTACTGCGACACCCTCTTTCTCACCAGCGATTGTAATCTCATCAACTTGGGCTGACGGCGGTGGAATATGAATTCGGGTGCCAGTAGTTGCCATCAGGGAGGTGACATTTTCACCATAAGCTCCACTCAAGAAAGGATGATAAACTTTAGGGATGGAAATGCGTTCGAAAGCTTTTTTAGACTGAAATGAAATATAGGAAATGTAAACAACTCATCAAATATACAAATAAAGAGTAAAGACAAACGTGTGAAAAAACTTTTTTTTTTTAGTAGATACACCAAAAAAATTCATTTGTTTGTCTCGCCTGATTAAAGAATTATGCGATTTCACACTTTGCAGAAAATACTTCAAAACAATTTTTCTATAAGCTAAATTTGAAAGATTATTTAAATATTTTATTACTTTGAATGCTGATATAATCAAATTATTTTTTAATGCTTTATTAAGAAATAAAAGTTATTTGAATACTCTAAAGCTAAGGTCTTAAAAGATGCCTCTTTCCTATTTTCATAAATAGTCAAAAAGTTAATGGTATTCAATTCAACCAAATCTAATAACAAAACCAAAAATTTATATTATATATATATAAAATCACGTATTTTAGTTTGTTAACCGTGATACAGATATATAAATGATGACAAAAAAATCAAATAAGGCATTTATTAGTATGCAATTAGCTACAGCAACCTTACTCTGATATGTTCACTGATACATATACTCGTAATAAGAATCAAAGATAAGACAGCTGATGCCCCAGAAAGGAATGGATAAGAAACAATGTTAAATAAAAATGTTAATTAAAAGTTAAAAAGGATTATTAAAAATGTTAACTAAAATTACAATTTATCAACTGCCATGTCTAGGAAATAAATCATAGCTATCCATAACTTTGCTCCAATTTGTCCGACTCCAATGATTATATAAACACATTTTTTAAAGTAAAATTTGTAGACTTTTAAGTAATTATATATGAAATTAACAAAAAAGTGTATACTTCTTGAGTTATTCGGAAATCAAGTTTTACCACTGCAAGTAATTTTTTTCCAGTTGTTTTCGTTGAAGTAAGTTATATAGATAAATTTAAAGCCCATGGGCGAGAAGACTTGAGCCAAGTTTCATTGAATTTGGTAAATTCGTTTAGGCACGTTTTTCAGCCACCATCTTGGAAGGAAAGGACAGATAGTAATGTTGAGGCAGGAGGATCATCCTCGGGTGACCTCTGACTTTGATTCCAAACTTGAAAAAAATTTTATTCGATTTTCGAATTCCAAGTATTGTGAAACGTAAAATCTCAAATTTTGAGGGGGGGATAATGTTTTTATTTTATTTTTTTGACGATTACAGTGGTTCATTATTGAAAATAATAAACCAAAAAGTATCAACTAATTTGTTAATTTTAATAGCTCTTTAATCACCTGTTCATCAGAGATGACTTGTATTTCATGGATAGCTTTATCAACTCCCTCTTTAGTTCCGACGACAGTAATTTCCTCTGAGGGATCGACAATTAGGGGCACATGTATCTTAGTTGATGTCACCTTTTCAATCTCTTTGAGTCTAACCCCAGATTTACCAAGGATCAAGCGATGGTGTTCTTTTGGAATGCTAAGTCTCTGCATAGCCTGCAACAATAAATGTATTTTCAATATTAATTAATGATTATATTATAATTTTATACGATGCTTAATTTTTTTTTTTTACTTCATTGTTTATGTTAAGAAATGTATCATTTCCTATATAAATATCAGATGTATCCTATATAAATTAAAATTTGATTTGAAAAGGAGATTAATCATAAATTTTGAATTAAATCATTCATGTTAATTAATCTAAAACTTTCTAAGCTTGAGAATTTACATTTAAGTTTGCCTTGATATATATATTTTTAATAAAGATTTTAAGAAATTCCTAATGTGTTATGTCCTTATACAATTTAATAACATATTAACTAAACTTAATGAAGAAAACAGTATAAATGAGGCATTTGGTTGTAGCTGAAGTAGTTTTATAATTCAAGGATAAAATATTGTTAGCATACCTGTTTGCATTTTAACACGTTAAAATTTATGTATATATTTTTAAACTGTTGCTAAGAAGTAACCTAATTTTAAAAGAAAGAACTAATTAGGCAGAAAAAACAAAATAAAGGTAATTCATAAGATTTGTTAGAAATTGATCATACAAACAGTACTTATCGAGAAAGCAATCAACCGTATTAAGCCAACAATAGATCACACAATATAAATTTCCGAATGAATGAAAGAGTGTTTATGGAAATTCATGCTGCAGCATTCAAAAATATTAATTTAACAATAATTGTAAATCTTTAAAGAAGTTCTCTATTGCATCCTCTTCAAATAAATGATGAAATAGTTATAAAATTTTGGAAGTATTTTAATGCCTTTTCTTCTATAGAATATTCTCAAATTGTTATCAACTTCTTAATACACAAATTGTATTAATAAACAAAATGAATATAACAGTTTGCATATGTTATAAGCGAACCTCTAATACAAGTTAATTGGAATTGTTAGTAGTAATCAAAATCACTAAATCTGAAAATAGAACATCACACAAAAAACATAGGATTGTGATTATCAATGGTAGCATTAAATACAACAACAAAAGAGTTCTGGATTAATAATTTAATACTATGGAGGCTAATTGTGACAAAAGCATTTTTACATTAAAATTATACTATAACACAATCATATTATAACACAGAGAAAAAATCAGAATAGAAATATCTTACCTGAGTTTGAAAAACGCTAAGGATCTTCCTTCGAGCTTCCATAACATTATCTGTCTTTCCAGTGACAAGGAATGTTAAGGATTGATCCTTGCTGGATGATATCTCGATTAGGGCTCCTGTTTCCTTCATGATCTGGGAACATGTCCTTACTGAATCTTTTTCACCAAAGCTGTCATTGTGATCAAAACGTCTTTCTTCTGCCGGTACACGAAAAACCTGTTAACATACAACTTATCTATAAAAATCATAACATTAAAAATTAGCCTGAACTTTAATGAATAGGCTATTTTAAACGTGTTATAACTATTAAATTAGGTCATATTAATTCAGAAATTTTCCCCAGTACACCAAGTAATACATAATTTTAATTATAAAAAAAATAGTTTTAAAAAATTTAAGTTTAAAACAGTTTATAGGAAATAGATAAAGGTTGACTATGATTGTTTATAAACAGAATTGCAGCTGTACCATAAAATGAAAATGATAAATGTCAAAAACTTTAAAATTTTATATAATTGCATAATACAATTGTTCCAACATGCAGATATGGTAGAGAAAAAAGTCAAGGTGAATATACTTCTAAATAATTTATTGAAATTAATATTATTATAGTTTTTAATCTCAAAAATTGTGAAATGACTAGAGTTAATTGAAAGATTTAGGTGGAGTTAGTGTTGTCCCAGTTTATTTTAAATTATTCTATAAAGATCCAGGCAGAATACGCATCCACCCTTCCAGGTCGATGGCGTATGGTGTATAAAACCCTCTTCTACTCCTTAATCAAGAACATTAGGAAAATCTATTGCACGCACTGCTCTTCTTGAAAGCGATAGTAGAATTTAAAATATTGTTCATCACGTACAATTACACTTTTTATGGTCTGTTCTATGTTTTCTCCTTAATCCCTGGTTTAATTGGGATGATAAATTTTTCTGAATTAAATAAAATGCTAGTTAAATAAATATAGATAGTAGTCTCCTACTTTATTGCTTAAAGTGGACAGTGAAACGGACTGTTGTTTTAATAATATTTAAATAAATGGATGTTTGAAGAGAAAAAGTTTGAACCTGGATAAGTGGAGGATGAGAGTCTTGTATAATCTTTTTTTTTTTTTACTTTTTTTTTTAATACTATTCAAAATATGATAATAGCAATAAAAGAAATCTATAATACACTTTTTCAACTTCATATTTATTTCCTTTAAAAAACACTCCAGTATATCATTTTAAGGAAGTACCCGTTGAGGAATAGAACTGGTTAGTAACAAAATATATAATAGTTTAATTTGGTTTTTGCTGTTAATCGAAACTGCTTGACAGATAATATTTTCTTTATGGCATGTTCTTATACACATGCACAGACAAATATATTTACTAAGTTAATTTCTAACTAGTTCCCTTATTCTTTCAAACTAGTGATGTTTTATATATATATATATATATAATTTTTCTTTTTTATGTTGAATGAGCAACCATTGTAGGCATTCTCTAGGAGCAGAACAGTTAAACACATATTTGCTTATAAATAATGTATAAAGGTGGGGGTAGGCAGGCTAACACATGTGGTGTTAGAGGTTGTTTTATTTAAAGACAAAAATGAAAAGTCATTACTTATGAGATTATTAACACAATGATTCTTATTATTCATTGCCTTAATTCCTTATGAGGAATTAAATAGGGAGATTATCATCGTAAATTTATTTTAACAGTCAACATTTAAAAGTGAGGTTATCTTTTGTTAACTTATAAATTTTCATCAAAGAAATAGTATTTCTAATTTCATATAAATATTTCTGAATATGGAACCATGATTAAACAACAGAAAGATAAATGATTATGAACTAAAATCATCAATTTATAATACATACTAAAAACAGTTTTTAACAAACTAAAAATTCATAATTCATCAAAATTACTTATGGCCAATAAGAGGTATAAAACCCGTTTTTTCCCCGCAAAATAATAAAAATAAAAATACGCAAATAATGCTTCAATTACCTGAGTAATTACAGAAGAACCAATTCTCATTTTATTGTTCCATTTTCCAAGGTCTGATGCCGGAGCTGGGTTGGCAGATTCCGGTAAAGCTGGGAACAGTTCATCATAGACATATAACAACTGTGAGGATTGGTACACTTGTCCCTCGTCCATGCTGCTTGCTGAAGTTTAACCAGTCACGCGCCGTGTCTTACAGTAACACTGAAATGTATAGATACAGGAATTAAAAAAAAAAAAACTAATAATATTTTAAGAAATATCTAATAAAAAACAAAAATTTAGAAAAGATCAAGAATCATAATGGAGACATTGTTCAATGTAGAGCAAATAATAGGAAAGGTTGGTTTGTGGTGCAGTAAAAGCTGAACAACCAGTTCATCTTTGACCACACCCCCAACCAACTCTTCCACTATCAGATTAAAAAGAAATTTTAATTATAAATAGTTTGTTGTATAATCAGAGATGCAAAGAGAAACGATAAAATTTCTATAATTACAATTATTGACAACAACATTACAATAATATAAAAAAACAATCAAATATAGTAAATAAGGAAACCTAGTAAAGTAGTACTATACATTCAGATAACTTTAAAGGATGTAATAAAAAGTAAAGAGTAATAAAAGCCAGCAGGAAATAAAATGGCATAATAAAAGTTCAGACTATTCATAACATAGAAAATTATGAGTATAGAAAGGACATTAACATTGCACTAAATGAAACAGAATCATAGAAAATAATTAAAAGGATCCAGGAAAAAGAATTGCTTAAAAACTTAAATACAAATTAAAAGGATCAACTCATAAGAAACTACTTAAATCAAGCATACCTTATTGAAAAAAAATGAGACATTTATAATAAAAAATTGTATGAATAAGACAATAAATTGTGACAAGTATTAGATCAACAATGTTATGCTAATAATAGAATATCAAATTAACAATATTTTATTCTCTGAGATGAATGTAATAAATAAAACCAATGTTCAATTTTATAAACTTGATCTGTAACAAATTCTTCAATAATCAATTTCACAGTTGGGCATAACCTATCTTATATCATCATTCTTAAATGATTCCAGGAAATCTTTTAAGATATCTTAAAAGAAAATGGACATGGGACTTATTACAAGAAACATATTCTTATAACTAGAATTACATGATTTCTCTACAACTTATATTATAGTTGTATCTACTTATCTTTATCAAAAAAGAATTGTAAAATACATTACTTTATTTATATATGCATTTACATCATTACTTATAGTTTTTTTTTTTTTCTAAACAGTAGCTAGTATAAACCATAAGTATTGTAAGAATAATCTGTTTATTAAATTTAATTTATAGTAAAAATAATCGTTCACATCGAGTAAAAATAAAATGATTAAAGGAGAAGCATAATAACAAATTTGGCAAGTTGCTACTTGAGAAATAAACTCCTATTTTTAACAAGAAGTGAATACTAGATTTTGTAGAGGCTAAAAGTATTTAAGTTACATAATTGTAACAGTATAATATATAACATTTAAAAAAATGCTGGACAATATAACGAGAATAGTTCTGAAATTAATTTGATTTAACAAAAACAGAGTAAAACATTAACATTTAAAATAAATAACTAATTATATAAAGTATAGTAATAGTTCTAAAAGGAAATTGTTTAAAAATAATTCTATATAAATTAATTGTCCAAATAATTCAATTTTTCTTTAATTTACTTCATTTGGAACTATATAATAATTCTGAATGAAAACAAAGTTAAACAGATCAATGTTATCAATGGAGATAATTAAATAAATACTTGATATAACATATAGATATTAGTACTCAACAATTTACATATCCCAGATAAGAATTGATCAACAAGTAATAAACAGAAGTTTAGAATTAACAAGCTATTGCAGGATATAAATGTGTAATGTGCTTAAAAGCTTATTCTGTTATTGAATTAATAGAATAAATATTATGAAAATTAATGAATCCAGCTTAATAATTTAAGTCAGTGCATACCCTAACAAGTCTTTAGAGGGGAAAAATTACGAATATATTTAAACAAATAATTTTAAGTAACATTTACCAAATGTCTAAAGCAACCCCAAACAAAATAACATTATCGCCTTAAGCTTTAGTAGCTTAAAATCAAAAATGTAAATGATGAAGTCCAATACTATTTTTTTTCTATTCTGTAAATATTAATTATTTGAAAAAAATAACATTAAGAAAACTTCTTGAATGATACTCGCATGGAATATCAATTTAGAACACTATATATAATTTAAAATCAGTAAAATATGGAACATATAATTAGCTCAGAGGAAATATCAAACAATAGAACTAATAACATCAAAACAGAGTTATTTGAATATGAGTAAAGGCATTTTCAAAAAAATCAGAATTGAAGGATTAAATGAAGTTTGATAAATTATTGAAGTAAAATAAGTGAGACAAATTAAGAGAAAATTGCAAATGCAAAGAGTGCTTCCACAACTCTTAAACAATAAAAATATACTATGCCATATTAAATAATTTGGTTAATGTTCTCAAAGAGACATGATTTTGAGGATTTGAATATTTCCATGTCTGACCTTGAACCCATATGTCCAACCATAATAGCATGTAATTAAAGTATTATTTTCTTTCTGGAATGACAAAAGTGTGAATGTGGACAAAATTAAGCCAAGCAAACCTAAATGATGAATTTCAGTACACAAGTTCGATACTTTACAAGCTAAATGTGACATGCGGGGTCATAGTCCATTTGACACGTTGTCAAACTATTATGGTCATGCCGGAGTCCTAAAATACAATACATGAACTTAAAATTGAATATAACGATAGATTTACAATAAGTAGGGTGGTATTAGTCATTAAATACTGAAGGGTGTTGACGTGTCTCCCTTTTTAATAGAAGGCGATAGTGGAACACTTACTGTACTGTAGGCCGTAGAATCAGTCCTATACGTTGCTCCTAAGCATCCAGCTTGCAGTATCTCCCCTAAACCAAGAATTACGAAATTTAGTGGTTAAATACGAGGTATCTTTATCATTAGACAATAAAACATGTCTAATATAATACAATCAACCATAAGACAACTTGGCTTACCGAAAGGCAGAGACAAACAACCCGATTTCTAACGCCAGGTTCACAGTGTTGTCACACATCAGGTTAAGTAACCTATATTTTTATTACGTACTTAACTTAGTATTGTATTATGTTAATAATTAAACAAATCAACGAAAATATTTTATCAATAATTATTTATTTTATTATTTACATTATTTATTACATTAATTATTGAACATGGACTTTCATCCAAACTTAAATCATCAAAAAATTCAAATAAAAAGTTAATTAATTTCTTTTTATTTAAGAGTTGAATAAAAATACAATAATTTTACTTAATTTATAAATAATCCTTAATTCCTTCTCATAGTGACGCAGCGCATACCTATATTTTCGCAAGGGAGGGGCCAGACATCTAGTTTGAAACTATGTGACAAAGAAAAAATATAAAGCTTTACTAAAATTTTTTTTTTTTATGATAGCTGAGTAATGAAAGTTAGTGGCGTTGTCCCCTGGAAGGGGGGGGAGTTCGTCAGATAGAATAGCTCCTATAGAAACTTTTCTAATTGAATGAAAACATATACAATTCAGCTTAAAAACAACAACATTTTTTTTAAAGAAAGTAATGGTCTGGGAGTCAATCATAAAAATATCAAATATTTGATAATTATTTTATTCAATGGTGACTTTTCAGCCTACATTGTATAGGTCTTCATCAGCTTTAAAGAGAAAGATTTAAAGAAGATACAAATATGGTTGGAGTAAAATAGACATATAGAATTATTCAAGTAAATATGAATTTATGGAACAGGATTGTAAATAAAATAATAAAAAAATATATATAGTAATCTAATGAACATCAAGTATTGTTATTGTTTTTTGACATTGAATCTTTTACTTTCCAATTTGGTCATAGGTGTTTACTTCAGAAATTCTATTTTTATATTTTTATTTTAACAATAGTTTCATTTTCTATTTATCTTTCTTGTTAGTCCTGATTAAGACCTACACAATGTGTGTTGAAAGATCAGAATTGAATAATAATTAATTGTTTGATGGTTTTCTAACCTACTCCTGTACCATCTTCTTGAATTAATATAAGTCAAACATGTACACATATAATACTTTTTTTAATCAGACAAGCACTTGTTCTTTAATTAAAATTTTGTTTTTCTAGGACTCCAAAATTAATCCAGCTGGGGTTCCTAATGGTCTAGGTATTCTACTGCCCACTGCTTCTAAATTAATTTCAGATGAATTAATATCTTGACATTATCACACATACCTGGATTGAACTTTTAAAATATTTAAGTTTAAAGCCCCCTCTGCTGTTAGTTGGACAATATTCAACTTCTATATTACGCATTGACCCCTGTGATATATTTACTACATTCCATAATTTTGCTTCAATTATATTGATCATTTAAGGTGGGTTTAACACCAATGTCATTCATTAAAACTTCTTCATTATATTTTATAGTCTGTTATAAAAAAAAAATAATAATAAAAGGTTGGATGCTAAGGCCGCTGTCAACTGCTCAATGCAGTTCTTTATTTTCAAAAATCATTAAATATTGTTGATCCATTAATGTAATAGGCTGTTTGGTATTCCTTAAGAACTATAGTATAAAAGGTGCAAGATAGGTAGTTGTTGAATGGAAAAATGACAAGCCCATAACTTAGCTTTTATTTTCTCAATTTAATTTTTATAGTTTTTATATATTCTAAATACCTTAACTTTTCCTCCTCGAAAATCCTTGATGTTTCAGCTGCTAGCCATATTTTTCTTCTACTGTGTTTATTTTGAGCCTCAGTATTTATACCAATATTCCTCAACATTGTATTTCGTTATATAGTTTTTGTCTCTTCACATAGCAGTATTAAATCATCAGCATACATAAGCATAGAAATTTTACCACTCTGATTTTTTTGTTAAGAATCACCTCTGGAAAACAAATATTCTACTTCTAAATTAAAAAGGAGAGGCGAAAGAGAATCATCTTGTTTAAACGTACAGGAACACCAAACTTTTTGAAAAAATTACCATACATTCCTATCTATATAAGCTATATTAAATATATTGAATTAAAGGGTGTAAATAAAGAAAAGTTGAATTTATTATACTTTTTAATTTTGTGGAAAGTCTAAAACATTTTTCTTTTAAGGTTTAGCAAAAAAAATCTTTAAACTACATCATTTTTTTATACATGTTACTTCAGGATTGTATAATCAAAATTTCCTGAATACCACTATAATTAATATTGCAGTCATAATAATCATTTTAAAATTAAGAAATTCAATTTGAAGAACATTTTTTTCAAGGTAATGAGATGTACCTGATTTATTTCATAAGAATGTTTAGTCTTTCAGATACATGGGCAAAAAAGTAGTTATAAATGTTCAACTAATATTTAAAAAACAAAAATTCTCAGAATAAATTAAACAAATCAAAATAAGTACTCATCAATTCAAGGCATGTTAATTCTTATTACATAGGAAATGTCCTAGGCAAATCTCTAAAATGCTAAACCAACTAACATCAAATTACCATATTGACAATAATTTCTGTTAATGTTCTTCTAAATTTTCAATTCATTATATACAGTCACATTCATTGTTTATTTCAACCTTAAATTTATTATTTCTGTTTAAAACATTTATTTATTTTTCTAAAATATACACTAGAAACATAATATTTGCTGACAACCAAATCATTCTAGCTCAAGATAGAGAGGTCATTAAAGTAAAAGTTCTAGAATCAAAAAGTGGAGACTGGATATTAACGGAGCTTTTTGGCAATACATCAGATTATATGACAGCTGAAAAAGACATTAAAACAATGGAGGAGTTCAAATATTTCAGGTCAATCTTCAACAGTGAATACTTCACTAGTGATATTGCACAGATAATAGAAGGAGAGAAAAATGCTACCGCTGTGCTAAATTGTGTCTTCCTGAACTAAAATATTCAGGCATCACGGAAAGAAAGAGAACCTCGAATTGAGAGGACTGGAAAAATAATTTTTAAAACATTCAGGCCCCAGAAAATCACATTAGGGGAAAAATCCTTTAACAGAATAATTAAAACATAGTATAATTAAAACATAACAAGTAGTCAGAGACTACTTGCATTTTTAAGAAATGAATACTGATACCTGATAGTAATAGAATGGAATAATATAATATGGGTTCAACATAATTCAAAATATGAGCCATTAAATACAGTAGTGATGTAAGTTATTTTTATAATAATTAATGAGGTAATGAATATTTAAGAAGTTCATGGTTTTAAATATTTGTAAATGTTAGAGACTGACTATCGTTAAAAGAAAATGTACGCTGTTATTCCACACTAAGAAATACCTGTTATTCTTTACAGAACTTCTCTCAAAGTGTTGAATATCTAAAAGATTTTTTGTTTTTTTTCTTAAACCTATTTTGGATTTAATGGGTTTTACATTTAAAACAATGACATACTTCAGGAAAAAAAATTTATTAAAGAAATGAGCCAGCTATTAACAAATATTGGAAAATAAATACAAATAATATTCAAAAATTTAACGCTTCAACAAATATCAGTTGTTAATTTTTTCATTACCTGGCTAGTCTTATATAATTATCACTTATTTCACTGCTAGAAGTGCTGCTAGAACTGATTGAGTAAGGTGTGAAACATACATTCGTTGAATTTATTTTAGTATTTAGTATTTCATACGTAATAGTACAATCATTTGTATGAATTTGTGAGTGATCGGTTTCAAAAGTATCCGGCTTTGTGTTCAACATGATATCGAGTGGATAATTTGTTGGTAAGTTCTCTTCCTTAAATTTGTAATATCTCTCTTTTGTGTTAACAGCCTTATCAACCATTGCTCTTTCAGTAGAAGTACTCTTATGGCTAACATATTTATTTATAAATTCTTTTGTGTTTATTTTATTACTTTTATATCTGTTAGAATTTTTATGGGAAGAACCAATGCATCGAGGGAGAATTTCTTGGTTAAATATACAAAGAAGATTTTTCTTACTGAATTTAGCAACATTAGCAGCAGCTTCATCTGAAAGATATAGTTTATATTAAAGTATGAACACATGTTATGTGTTAGTACATATTGTGTAGTTATTAGTTGGCTAAATTTTTCAGAATAATAACTTTTCTAATGCCTCTTCTCATTTAATGTTAAGTACAACATGAATTTTAAATGTATTCATGCTTCAGAATTGTGAGTTATTTTTAAGATTAAGAATTCCGAGGCAATGGTAGAAATTTATATGCATATTGAATCTAATTTAATGTTGAAGTAGAATTAAATAAATAAAAATTAATAGGCAACACTGTTTCATTTTGATAAATAAGTATAAAGCTTGTGCACATGAAACTTGGGCAGTTTTGTTCAAAGCTACTTCACAGGATCAGCTGTTCAAGGTTTTTTGAGACTTTTTTTGCTTTCATTTGGGCATTGTGGGATGATGTATCCACCCTTGTAGCCAAACTGCATACTCTTTGGAACAAGCTTAATAAGGGTTTAAGGCAGAAAAACCTGAATACACTCCCACACTTGGTTTTGGCATGTAAAATATTTCAATGGTCAACGGTAGGAGTCAGCTATTGCAGCTGAGGGATGTTTGGTTGGTTCCTAAAATTGCCAACAATTTATTCTTTCCACTAGCTGCCCAAGATAAGAATCCTATCAGTAAATTTGAGTCAACAGTCATGTTCTGTACATTTTCTGTCAGAAGTGTTCTAGTACTGACAGGTGTTAGAGAGCAGGGTGGTTCATTATTTTAAGCAAATATAAAAGTTGTAAGCCTGAAAAGCAGATCTTCCATCAACCTTGCAGAACACAGAGATCTATTGCAGCTGTACCACGAGAGGTGAAGCCACCAATGTCAAGCTCGAAAAGAAAATTTATGAAACGTGTAGTATTTACGATTAAGCTCATCGACTACCATTTAGCGTTAGAAGAAAAGCCTCAAAGCCATGGAAGCTCATTTCGACTGATGTTTGTGGACCAAATACCCTTTCTATGAGCCATTTCAAAAGAAAGGGTATTTGGTGGTATTCAAGGATAGTCACACCAAATTTCGTTATGGTTTTGTTATAACAGAGGAGCCAGAGGCTAAAATAGTTTTAGGAAAGACGTAGATTCATGCAGAGAAGCAAGGTCACAACGTCAAAGAGTTCCTTAGCAATAATGGTGGTGAGTTTAACAATGCTGAAGTTTAAGTGATATTGCAGAAAAAGGACAAAAAAAAAAAAAAGGAGTTTATCAATGCTGAAGTTTTAGTGATATTGCAGAAAAAGGACGTCACTCAGAAGTTATCCTCCATTGCAAATTGGCGGAAGTGAATGAGAGAATAGAACGATAGTCGAGATGGCCCAAACATTCACGTACTCAAATTCTGCTGTGCAGTTTTCTCAAGCGAGTGAACCAGCGAGTAGATCAGGCTCTGAGAAAGCTGAAGCTGAGTCCAATTAGAGTACTGAAGAAAACGCTGAAAATACGCGAAAAGTGCGCAACAGCATTTATTAAATGGTATCACAACTCCAAAGTATTATGAGGATTTCGTTATAGAGCCACAGTCCTATGAAGAAACACTTCAGCGACCAGGTAGTACAGGTTGGAAGAAGGTCATGGACAACGAAATGACCTTGGTGGAAAATAACACATTCGAACTAGTACAATAGCCAAAAGGTTTAAAAGCGATTCCAAGTAAGTGGCTTTTTCGACTGAAAATTAACCCTGATAGTTCGGTTTTAAAATAAAAAACTCGGATAGTTGCCGAGGCCGACATTGATTTCGACGAAACGTTAAACCCAGTTGCAAACCTGCAAACTATTCATTTGATGCTAGCTGCTGCATCGACAGAGGAAATGGACCTCATTCAATTCAATGTATCCACAGCTTTCTTGTACGGTGAGTTGGAGGAATCCATCCATATAACGCGGCCTGATGGATATGATGACGGCACTGGTAGAGTTTGCCAGCTCAAGAAGAGTCTTTATGGGCTGAAACAATCGCAAAGAGTCTGGCATAAGGGTATTGTCAAGGTTCTAGAACATTTGCAGTTCAAGTTTAGCCTGGAAGAATCAGGCAAGATTGTCAGAGAAAGAAACAATGAAAGATTCATCTTTGACTTGTATGGAAATGATGGCTTAGTTGCAGCAACGAGTAAGCAAGATATTTAGGAGTTTCTCAACTAGCTTAGAACCGAGTTCAAGATTACTTCGTAGGATGCTAACTATTATTTGGGTCTTGAGATAAAGAATTTGACAAATGGCGATATCAAGATCCATCAAAAAGCCTATGCTCAGAATAGTTTAGAAAGGTTCAACTTTTCAGAGTGCAACTTAGTTTCATCTCCCATGGCTCTAAGTCCAGGTTCAGATTCAGGGAAAGCAGTCGGAAAAGAGCATACTTTTTTCTAAAGCCAAGCAGCCGGCTCTTTGACGTATCTTATGCTTGGGAGTAGATCCGACCTAGCTTGCGCTGTAGGCTTTCTATCCAGATCATTGGAGAACCCAAGATTGAAGATATAGTGAAACTTAAAAGAGTTTTTTGTTACATTTCTGGAACTTTGGATTTCGGTATCGTTTACCATTAACATGTGGATAAGGATACATCCTTGAAAGTTGTAGTGATGATGATTTTGATGAATGTGCAAAAACTGGGGGCTCAACGTCAGACGTTTTAGTCAAATAAGCAGATCATTTCAGGGTTTAGCCAACGACAAGCATCAGTAAAAGAATCAATCGCAGAAGCCAAGATTGTAGCCGCCACGAGAATGCGAAAGAAGTTATTTGGCTTAACAGACTTTTTAGTAAAATTGCCATGTTGAGGCAGATTTCTACTGTCAGAATTGCCAATGCAGTCACAGTTCGATTGGCAGAAAATCCTGAGAATCATCGACGAACAAAGCATGTCCAAAGGAAACATTTCTTCATTAGACAACTGTTCGGTGATGGCAAATTGGTAGTCAAGAGAGTTCCTGCAGATCAATTGGTAGTAGATGGGTTAACCAAGCCCTAGGCTGCTCCACGCATTCGAGTTCTTCGTGACGAAACGGGACTTAAATAAGTTGATAATATAGTTTTGTATCAAGTAAATCTTTAGAAATTTTTATTTATTTTTTTAATAAGAGAAAGTGTTGGAGTAGTTTGTTTCACAAATTTCTTCTGAATATACGTATGTTTAACTTTAATATTTAAGACCCATTTTTCTTCAAATTATTTAAATATTTTAAATTAATATCAAAAGAAATAGCAAAATATAAAATAAATAAATTGCAATAAAGCACCAAATAATGTGAGTATTGGCGGTAACCTTTCCTTTTATGATAAAATACTTACAAGGTGCTGAAGAATCATCTTCCTCATCAAATTCTTTAACATATCCAGCAGTAGAAGTCACAAAATAATACTTTCCGGTTCCATTAGGAGTAATAGTAATATTTGAATCAGCACTAAATTCTTCCTCGACTGCAGAGGGACTCAATCTTCCTATACTCAAAATTTATAAACTTATAGAATCTTACGCATTATTTTACAATAGGTAAAAATTAAACACAAATATAAAACTAAATTGAGAACCCAAAACTCAGATTAAAATGGTAAAAATAGTTACTGAATCCCATAAAATAAAAAATAGTGATCGATTATTCACAATTAATTGATATACACTATTAAATTTGTACCCATATCGGGTTTTGAGCAAACCGTATAAGTTAGAATAACAAAAAATTCTTAGTTTAGCAGCATAAAGTTCAAGAGAAGTTATATCCAGGTTCCTTTTAGAGAGCAAGGAATTATTCCTTATGCTGTCCTCCAAGCCTATAGTCACCTAAATCAATTTCGGGGTCTAGCTTTATGTCTGATAGACGAGGTTCCTTATTTCTAACGGGTCATGGATGATGTCATTGCCAAAGAAAAGTTAGAAAAGACGAACGCGTATCTCTATGACGAAACGGTTAGTGAAGCAAACACGGAAGAACAAGATAATAACATAATACGATTTATTGATGCTGTAAAAAATACGGATTCACCATAAATCATGAGAAGAGCAAATTCTTGCAAACTTCTATTAGATTTCTTGGTTACAAAACAAAGAATAAGAGTATTTCGCCTGACCCAAACAGTTTGGAATCCCTCTTTAATCTGCCTCCTTCAAATAATTCAAAAGACGATTGCATTATTCGTTCACTATTCAAGATGGGTTCCAAATTATTCGAAGTTTGAAATTCTAAAATTTTCCTTTATCACCTGAGATTATTTCGGAGTTCTAGCTTCTCAAAAATTATATCTAAATCTACGATAAAGAACCATTTTTTTGTTGAAACGGTCGGCTCTGACTTTTCAATCTCAACAGTATTCACACAATCCGGCCGCCCAGTGGCATTTGTCACTCAAAAATTCGACGATAGCGAACGGCGACATTCAGCTGTTAAGAAAGAGGCCTATGCTATCGAGATTGATTATTGAAGAAATGGAGACTTTTTGCATTAGGACGGTACTTCACAATAATCACTGATCAGAGCTCTGTTTTCTTTAAAATGCTATGTTAAATTTAACATTAGAAAAAATTAAATACAAGAAGAAACAGAGGTGGCGTCCTGAGTTATCACGTTACAATTATAATATACTGACCGGGGAAGTTTTGTTGGTATGCATTCTCAAGAATAGCAAGTTGCATGATTTAAACTAGCAGACTGTACTCTCTGCACTGTGACTTGTATCATCCTGTATGATTCGGATAATTTACTGGATACAAACGCATAACCAACCGCTTTCAGTTGAAGAAATCTGGAAAATGACCGCATCTTGTCCTACATGCAAAAACTGTATAAGACAGTCAATTCTCAGCTCATCAAGACTAATCAGCCTTTTGAAGTAATTAGTACTTATTTTAAAGGCCCTTTTTTTCTTAAAACTAGAAAACGTACCTCCTTGCCTTGATTGATGAGTTTTCACGGTTTCCATTCCGTTATCCTTGCCCTGATTATAATATGAATTCGATAGTTATAGACTGAGTCTTTCATTTATTATCAATTTTCGTAACCCCCTTCTTTATAATCATGCTAACTGCAGAGGGACATCGTTTACTTCTCAGGAACTTCAAAACTTCCTGCATTAACGAAGAGTAACGACTTCTATAGCGCGAAAATGGCAGAATCTGACGGACTATTTCACTGGATCTTCAACAAAAGAATCTGGATTCATCTCATCGTGATTCCGTACTTCCGGACCATTTTACGATCACCTTTATGCTCAGCGATAAATGAGACTCCCCATGAGGGAATGTTTAAACACAACCGAAAATTTTACCAATGGCTGTTCTCTACCGTCCTGGATAGTACTTTCATTTAAACTCTTAATGGAGAAGCAAATTAGGTTTAGCAAGTATGATCCATCGGCGCATGAGGTGCAGCTGATAGATGTGAATCCAATAATAAGCTAGGGTACAAAACGATGATGGCCGAAAGATGACAGTATCCTTCAAGCACTTGGCACCAAGCGGTGAATTTTCCAATCACTCGTCACTAAGCGACAACTCTTGCATTTACTTAACAGCATGTGATGACTCTTCCGATCCTTTCACACCAAGCTGCGATTCTTCTTCCGCCCCATCCACACCAATTTCACTTCAAGAAGTTCACCATCCAAGTGATCTACAAGTGAATTACAAAAACAGATAAATGAAGAATTAGATACAACACAACCAACACACCGTTCAACAAGGGAGCGTCGCATGCCCGATCGGTTAAAGGATTATATTCTGAATTCCTGAAGAAAGATAGAATGTAGTGGTGCCATATGTTATATCCTACATATAACCTATTTGCTTTTACAAATTATATATTGTAATGGACTCTATTATTTAATATGTTTGTACTTACTTTGTTGACTCATAGTATACCTATTCTTAGCTATTCCTCTATCAGCTAGAAATAAAAAATAAATAATTTTTTTTTCAGAAAACGTTTAAATAAAAAATAATGCTAGAATTATTATTTATGAATAACATTTTCCTCAGAATTTTAATAATTGTGACAAGTTGTTATTATCCTATAAGTGAAAGGAATGTTCTTAGATCTAGTTCCCAAAACGAAATAAGTCGTAGTTATATTCAGGCCCATCGTCTGAAATTCCGGGATGCCACTGACAATAACTAAAATAAAAAAAGGAACGTGGGTTTGATACCCGTTGGGGACAGTAATGTCCTTAACCTGATAGGCACTGGGTAGTGAGCTGCTCTTGTCTTACAAAGCTATTGAACCTCCAAGTAGTAGATAGGCATAAGGTGGTAAACCCTATCCTGTCAAAAATTTTCTAAACCTAATTGTCTTAACGTAGTAACGGTCGACATAGGTCGATCCAGGCTTTGTATAACGGATTCCGTATTGGTTGATGGAATGGAAAAGAAATAACAAAAATAAAACAGTTGGCACTGGATTAGTGATTCCAGTTGTAAAGAAATCAGTTATAAACTTTAACGCAGTTAACGAGAGGGTATACTACGAGTCAAATGCGTTGGTTTAATTTACATTCGTGTATATACCAACCGACGAAAAAGATGATGGTGTAAAGGATTATTTCAACGATCATCACGTGAGATAAGTGACATTAAAAGTTTATACAGATATAAGAAGCTATCGTGGAGTAAACTGTGATTCGAACCACTCTCTGATTAAAATCAACTTTGGCAGAGGATAAAACGAATCTATCAAATACTGGACCAAGAGGAAAGAATTAAGTATCAAGTCTGTAATTTGAAACATCATAAATTATAGTCTAAATTCCAACTTGAGTTAAAACAAACAATTAAGAAAGTAATAATGATTAAATAGAAAATATAAGTTGAAAAATAGTTCAAAGAAGTAATCGAAAAAGTGGGCGAGGAATGAAGAGAAGTAAACATTTTCTGCTTAGTCAAAATTGATCAAGCTAAGCTAGAGAAATAAACAACCGCCAGGAAAAAGGTTAACAAAATAATAAGAATAGTAAAAAGAGATTTTCCAAACAAAGATTACAAACTATTAAGGCTGGAAATATATGCGATATGCTGTATTCTTCGTAGTCATCAGAAAAGAAAGGATAGGAAATGAAGTGAGAAACACGCAAAGGCGAAGAAAATGTGGCAAATTGACGAAATGAAATAGAAACGATTCTACGCATCAAGAAAGAACATTTTCAGTAACATGAAAACGAAGAAGACATAGACCACACTGAAGACATAGATCCATATGAGATTGAAAACCGAATATAATGGATGAAGAAATGGCTATCGGCTTAAAAGAAGAAAGACTCCTGTTATCGCCTACCTGTCGTTGGAACTAATCTAGAAACTATTGGAAAAGGGACAGATACCAGAGGTTTGAATTGTCCTATCCTTACTTAAGAAGGGTTCCATGTATGAATCTGACAATTACAGAGGCATAGCACTACTTCTGGTCTCCTGTAATATAAAGAATAATATCAAGCTAACTCGGATATTATGAAAAAAATAACAGGCGATCGCTAAACAGGCATAAGGAGAGGAAGTAGGACGCTTACGCCTCATTTATCGACTATATATAAAACAGCTTCTGATACCGAGGACAGAAACTGTTTTGGAAGATAATAAATAAGCTGAGTATCTTCGGGAATCGGTCAAGTTGAAGCCGTGTACAAATGATTCTAAATGCTGAGTAGTGTCACAAGGAAAAAAATGGAGTAGTTCCTAGACAGCGCTTAGCTCATCGATGTTATTATATACCTCTCTAAACTGTGCGAAACTTGCCCTATCTGAAGCCCATTGAATTTGAGGCAAAGAGATGGACTTTCGCCGATGCTCTTTAACTTAGCCCTGGAAAATATGATAAGGGCTGGAAAAATTCAATTGGTAAAATCGCTTGATTTATAATTGACTAAAATATTTTATAATAAACATTAAAACAGATAATATTACTTAGAAATAACAAGCAGGTAAACCAAAATGCATAATCTGATAGAGAAAGAAAATTATGGAAAGGAGAAAGATAGGAAGCCTCGTTAAAAAAAAATTGTTTCTATCAAAAGTTTAACTTTTCTAATGAAGATGTAATTATTAAGCCTTAGAAGTAAAATTTCATAGAAATAATATTAATTAATATATTAATATTTGTTCCCATTAAAAAAAAAAAATCAAAGAATGCAATAAGTTAACAAGTTGATGTAAGATAGTAAAACTCACCTATGGGTCTTGAATGAACAACAAATGGGTTCTCAACTGAAATAATATATTTATTTAATTTTATATTATATCTAAATTAAGGTTTTCTATTTGATAAGAGATAGTAATATAAAAACCTTCAGCAAGATTATATTTATAAATTCTAAATTTACATTATTCAGTCGGATCTCATTCCATATTTTGAATCTACTAGATTACTGCTAGGCAGGGCCGTGGCCCATCTCTCTATCTAGACATAGAGAAGGGCTTACGTGGTGATTCGGCCACACAGACCTCAAACACCATCTTCAATCGGGTCCTTCAAATATCCGGCGGCTTTGATTGAATATATGAGAGCAGAGCCTGGAGCAGAGATAGCAATTTGACAATCTGTGGTGATAAGTAAATTAACGTTCCAGGACGTCAATCAGTTTGTATATTTGGGATCAGTAGTGTACTGAAAGTGAGTTGTTGAAACAGGATCTTCGGAGAACCAGTCAGCTACTTATCAAATTCAAGAGATGCCATTTTGGTATCCGAAAGCACTCAAGAAACACTCTCTAACCTATCTGAGTACAAAGCACTTATCAGGCCTGTCCTAACTTATGGATCAGAGGTAGACACTTATAGTAGGTAGACACTTACTTACCTAAGTATTTCCATTAGATCACTCTAAGAAAGAAATAAAAAATTATAGTACAAAATTTGTCTATTGCATGATGTAAATTTACGATAGGATACAAAATGATTGTTAGTGTTGCCACTAGCAGGTATAAAACAAAAATTTCCGAGGGCAACATCAATATATTTTGAAATGTTATAATATAAATGATAAAAAATTAGATAATTGATGACTCAAAAATTATTTTTAAACAATCACTTCTCCTGCCTGAAGAAGAAACCAAAGAATGCCATTATTTGCAGCCCTCTAGTTCAAGAATTTCAATGAGGCGACTTATCTACTTCCACGTGGATATACCTAATATTGATATAACAAATAAAGAATATTTTCTAACCATACATTATCGGTACAAAATTTAGTGATAAAGTTGAACCTGCTTTGTCAGCGACTCTATGCAAGATAAATTTAGCTTGATCAAGATCAATTAAAACGCCAGCACATCAAATGGGCAATCAATTACATCATTCAAGATAAAATTTTATTATATCAGTTCTGTTATTTAATTCGGACTTCTTTGAATAGACAATTTTAAATTTATTTGCATATTAAAATAAAATCAAAATTACAGTTCAATATTGAGATAATTAAGTTCTTATAAGCCAACTTACAATTGATAGTTGATTTGTTGGGTCGTTGTTTCTTTGACACGTCTCGTGTGCCTTTTTTGTTAGTGATTTCTGAAACAGAAGATCCTAATTTATGCAATTGATCGGTGAAAAATAGCATTTATATACATTTAAAAGATAACTTATTCATTTAATATTAGGTAGAGTGTGTATAAAATATCTACTCTCAACACTATTATAAATGTCCTTAATTGTGACAGATTGTAATATATCTCAATAAATAAGTGTATATCAATATTTTACTTGTCAAAATTTTATCTAGCTATTTATTTTATAAGTCATATATTATAATTTATCTAACAATAAGTGGTTTACGTATTAAAATTTTCTTTTTTTCATGTTTATCTTTTAAGATGTTTAACTAAAAGATAAATTATTCTGAAGGAAGGAGGTGGTCCGGGGTTGCGGTTATAAATAGGCTAAATAGTGGTAAAACTATTTTATTGAAAGCCAACGTTTCGACCTGACTTTGCAGGTCTTCATCAGGGAGGTGTGTTCATCTAGGAGGACCTGCAAAGTCAGGTCGAAACGTTGGCTTTCAATAAAATAGTTTTGCCACTATTTAGCCTATTTATGACCGCAACCCCGGACCATCTCCCTTTATAATGCAACGGTCCACTATTAAATATTCAATAAATTATTCTGATTTTTACCAATATAATTTGTTACAATTATCGTATAAGGTTTGTGTTTAATATTTTTTAAAAAGATATATCCACTCCCTTACTTTTATCATTTTCATTTTTTTTATGCTTTTCCAACAAACTTGCTTCATCTGCCTTCTGAATAAGTTTAACTTTTTTCTTCTCATTACGACCTGTAACAGAATTCATTAGTATAACTGAAAATGTCACTGCTACCTACACCACAAACTAGGTAAAATTATTGTTAAGTGAGAATGTTTTAAGCTAGAACTACGAAAATTGTATTACTTGTAACACTTACCTACATAAACTGGTGTAACGTCATCACGATTACTCTTTTCCTTTTCCTTGGAATCTGTAAAATATCTACTCATTAAATAGTGTATTGTAACAGCAATGATACAGGAAACTAATGTACACGGACTTGAAGAACGTTTCACTTAATGAAAAAAAATAAAGTAACATAAAGGAATTAGCTGTAAGCTTAAGTATGTTTTATTTCATCACGTCTATCACACCAGTTACACAGTCCAAAATAAAAGCTTTTATATCTCCAATATGTTTTCAATAAAGTCCCCCAATGAACTTGCCACAGATGGCTTTGATATCTTGGTTAGTAGTAAATTGACCGCGTGGTGATATACAATGAAAAACCTTTTGCAAAAAAGATCGTTTTTAGTTTCAAAAAGGATAAAAACTTAACATCTAAGAGCCTATTCTGCCAGCTGCATCCTTGTCTGGGCAAAACAGTAAGTTACAAAACAATCCAAAATTGTTTTCAGGATGCCAACTTATGGAATAGAAGACTTTTATGCTAGCACTTCTCACAGCTCAAATGTAAGGAGCGCATTCAATGAGCAAGGACCATGGAAATTCTCTGAGTGAAAGAATTGTTTGTTCTTGTACCAGAAACAAGTGGATCAAAAGTGGGAGGCAGGCCAAGTCGAATATATTGCCACAGAAACATGGTTCAGCCATGTTTTGGGCTGACATTATGTACAATACTAAAACTGAATTTATACCCATTAAAGGTGCCATGAATGCTATGCTATACTTGAGAGATTTCCTCGAACCCATAGTAACACCTGTGGCAAATAATTATGAATAAAGCTTTCTTTTAGTTGACGATAATCGGCAAGAATCATTCAAGAGTACATTCGTTGGGCTAGGACCGATGTAAATGATAAGTCTCCATTCAAGTAGCGGATTCAGGAGTGAATATGGAGGGAGTTTCAGCCCGACGGGTTTACATTTCGACGGTGTTATGAATTTTCGAAATGAAAAGTTTCAAACCAAAAGACAAGGGAAAGCACTGGACAGGATGTGAAATAGTATATGATTTACGATATTTTCAATTATACTTTCGCAAGAACTGTTTTTGAGAAGAGGGAAGCAATATAATATTTTAGGAGGGATGGGGAAAGGATTATGCGTCACTGACCTTGGGGGATGGGCATCCCTGCCAGAACCAAAAAGCCATTCACTTATGAGAAAGAACTACATTGGTAAGGAGAAGACCTTTGCTTTGGTGAAATTACGCCCTGACTGTTGCAGGTGACCAGGACTCGACATCGATTTGGAGTGGAGCAACTTAATGATAATAATTATTATAATAACAAATATTTTTTAATAAACATTTACTCACCCTTAACCCAGTTAACGAGCGCATTACCTGAAAAACAAATATTACGGAGTATAGTACAGTACAGATTTCAAATCAAATGTCTGAATAGCATATGAAAAAAAAATTATTTTATCATTAACTGATGTATTTATATTATATACCGAATTACATGCTTATTTTTCAACCTTTTTTATAGTAAAACCAATAACATCGCTACGTTAATGAAGTAATTATTTCTACCATAATATTTGTTTTATTAAAACTCAGATTAGTAATTAAATTATTGATATATAATATATAAATGTTAATTGTGTTATGTAAAAGGGGCGCGGAATCGAATTTATATGAAGAGTAACATTGAGGGGTAACACTGACTGCATTGGCCAAGTTCCGCAATGCTTTATCGACAATAGTAAAACATCGATATCACCTGTATCAAATGATATTCCTATTTAGAGATTTTTTTTGCTTTTTCTTTAATATCACCAGGGGTGGCCAGATATGGGTTTCATGGTGCAAGTTACGCCATCAAAATTTTTGAGGGGCGCATATTTTCACAGGGCTATGAATTTTTGGACTAAGGGAAAAACGGAAAACATGGAACAGGTCGCAGTAAGTGTAATTGTATACGATCTAAGATTTTCCTAATTGTATCTTAGCTTGCTGTGTTTTTAAGAAAAGGTGAGCAATAAAGTATCTTGGAAGGAGAGGTGGGGGAGGTCCTTGCGCCAAGGAACTTGAGGGGAATGGGTTCTACTGGGAATCTACGGTTCATCAGGTTCCTGGGCAGTGGGTATTTTGTACATACGTTAGCTCGCTACCCAGAAGGGAGTTTTATGGCGCAAGTTGGCGACACCAAAATTAATGAGAGGGGAACTTTTTGACGGAGTTTTCAATTTTGGGCGGGAGGCCACAATCCGAAGGGGTTATGAATTTTCAAAATGAAATGTTTCAAATCAAAATACAAGTGGAATCATGGAACAGACCACAGGATGTGTATTGGTATATAATCTACGAATATTCAAATTCTACTTTCGTTTGCACTGTTTTTAAGAATAAGAGAAGAATAAAATATCTAAGATGAAATTAATATGTAGAAAGTTTTATGCGCCATCAACCTTGGAAAGGATGGGTCCTCCTGCTGCTACCCCTCTCCTCAACTACACATTAAAACTAATTGAAAGGAAGAAAAGTGAAATGGATGGTATAATTGAATAATCTTATTAATAATTTATTCACAAATATTACAGAAAAACTCGATAAAAAAAACCATAATGTGTACATCCATAAGAAATCTTCGTCTTGGTAATAGAAATCAAGATCTGCTGAAGATCGCCCAAAATTTAACGGGAACAAATCCTAATGAGGTAGGAATGGGAGCACAATATTTTGAAAATAATTTGCACAAAGTCGAATTACTTATCGTTAATTGTAGGTGTTTCGTAACTGAATTAAATGAGGCCACTCCAATAATATTTTCGAAGTTCTCTGATTTTAGGTAAATAACACTCGAAAATCACAATATTTATCTGAAATATTTTATTTAAGAAATAAATAATAGATAGTACCTAGTTAACAAAAACCAACAGGACTTTTTTCAAATAATATTATATTGTATATTTGAAGTATGAAATGTTTCTATCGTTTGGATCATAATTTAGTGGTAATGTTGTTCTAAATGCTATCAATTCAAACATAAATATTAACTTTTTTTTCGTTAACGAGTTTTACCTTTTAAATTTAGCAGAATAAACAATAGAGAGAAGTTAGATTTCTAAACAACATTTAAAAAAAAGTGTTCGTTTATTTTTTAAAGAACTTGTCGATATAGAAATATTAAGTCACGTTTGTATTACATTAATCCTTTCTATAAAACATTCAATTATGTTTAGCTTTGATTAGATAATTCTCCTCTATTGAAGGCTTCTTAGTTAATCATGAACGAGCAATCTTAACACTACGTGTGATTACTAAACGATAACAAATATATCGATTACTCTAAGCCTCAGTTCATAGAGGTATTTGTCCTTGCAGTAGGAAATTTGTGACGTGGTCATGTCTTCACGAAAAATATTCGTCCAATATTTGTTTGCACTTTTACAAAATGCGGGCATCTCTTTTTGACAAAAATGAAATATAATTGATTTTGAATTAAAATACCAAGGATCAATTTATTGGAGTATAGAAATGAAGAACTTTCGTCAAACGGACTAATATATGTTAAGAACGAGACAGCATTAAATTGTTGGCTCACCTGCTACTCTATTACTGCTATACTAATTATTTGTTATATCAAAGACAAATTTATTTATAGGCATAGGTATCATTTTTTTTTTTTTTTTTTTTTTGCATCAACATGCATGCGTTCATTTTAAAATCTATTAACTCTATCACACATTCATGTCGTCAGATTATTGCAAATGTAGCTAGTTGTAGGGAAGATTGTTGTAGTTTATTCTTTGCATGAGTACATATTATTTTTTCAGAATTCTGTTTACTAAATATTGATACCTTTCCCTTAAATATAAAAATAATTATTATCAGTTTGAAAAGAGTGAGGTTTAATATTGCCTTTAGCAAGTAAGTAAAAGAATATCCAATAATGGAAATACTTACTGTAAAACTTTTCAAAGTCATTTACTTTACGTTCCAGCTCTTTGAGTCTTCTACGAATTTGTTTATTAGATGGATATGACTTGCAAGGGTTTAAAAACCTTTGAATTTTGCTTCTGTAACCATCTTCGGGAAGTCTTTGCTTTGTCTTCTTTTTTTTCCCCTCTTTACTGTTTTTATCTTTCTTTAATTTAAATGAAGTGGAACTAGCTAAAAATTTTCATGAATTGTTAATTGCTACATAAAAAAATAATGCAGTGTATTATGGTCGCATACAACACTAAGTGAAAATACACAATTTAATTAAAATTTCCTATAAACTCAGGAAAACTAATTACTAATGCGCCTCTTAGTAATTAGTTTACTAATCTTTTATAGTATTAGCATACAAAGGTTTGATATGTAAATATCGAAAACAAATAATGATATATTTTTTTGGTATTTTTTAACGTATATCTGAAAAAATATCGATAAACCAGGTCTCTATATTTTTAATAGCGGAACAGTTAGGATTTAACCATCAATAAAATATCATTTAGTTACTAATATTATTTTATATATGATTTCGGACATGTTAATCGATATATTTCTGCTGTTGCCGTAATGCCGAAGCCGAATATGTCCGATTTTATTTATGTATTTCTGTTATCTTCAATTCAATTTAAAATTAATTCCACCAACCATTTTAGCAGTCGCTCTGGACCATCATTTTACCAATATTCTAAAGTGGTTTTCGAATAAGAATAGATCTTCGGCAACGGCCCAATCACAACTAACTAAACTTTATTGGAACTACTGGGTGACAAGAGAAGAGATATTCGCCATTTGATTAATAGCAGGTTGTCAAAGAATTTCACAGAATGGTAGAACAAGAGATCTCTCGTCCATCAAAAAGCCAATTAGGATGGAAAAGTACAACCTTGTAGAGATTCTGCTTAATCACTTCTCAAACCAGTCCTGATAATATATATATATTTCAAAACACGGCTATTTTAATAACTTATAACCATATCATTAAGGAAACAAGTGTTGGTTAACAAGAAAGCGATAATTACATCCTTTTAACGAATTATATGAATTCAGAGAAAAATAATGAATTTCATGAGTATGATACAAAAATCATGCCAACGATTTATAGATTGAATATTTTGTTAACTGAAATCGAGGAATACAGTCCATATTTTAAAGAGATATTATTCTGTCTACTTAGGCATTAAAGTAAGAAAAATTATGCGGCTATACCATAACTGATGGAATTGAGCCTCAGACTTTAAAAGTCTGAGTTAAAGACAATTATCTAACATCATGAGACGTTTGTTTACTATGATATTTCCTTAAGATAGTGAAAGACGCAGAATTTCTGGCACATCCCATAGCAGAGAGCAAAGTTTCACTTAATGCGTAATATGGTATGGTAGCTATAAAATGAAGCGTGGCATTAGATACCGTTAATTTTTTTTTGTCCGAATCGTGGGTCGATGTTACTCCTAATCACAGGAGAATCAGGAGGGAAAATACTGTGATAGTTACAAAGAAAAAGAGTCTACAAAAGATTTAACCGCTTCTAGTTCTCCAGATTAAAAAATCTAAATTCACTTTATCCTGTATGGAATGTAGTCTATCGGGAATCGATACAGACCCTAACTGCTAAGAGTTATTACCTCTTATAAGAATTATGAGGCATTGTCCTGTACTTTATAGTGACTTATAGCAGAACCACTTTATCGTTAACTATCTTCTCTTCTGTTTGTGAGAGATTCTGACTTTTCTTACGGGACGCGTACCTCAGGATATCAACGATCACTGCTCTTCAAACATACAATGTGACAATCTGAGACCACAAAAGGCGCCTTGTGAAGTGAGGCGAACGTTGAACCTTCTAATTATCAGCTTAAAGTAGACGACAACCTTACTTGGACGTACTCTTTTTCTCCATAAATTAACAGTGATAGGATGTGTCCCACCAGTCTTCGACTTCTTTCTGTCACACAATCTTCTTACAATTGAGGCACCGTTGAACCTGGCGTATACAGTGGTCAGATTGAATAGATGAGGGCAGACTTTATTCCCAAGAAGATACTAACTGAAGCCATTCATGGTCGCGGCAATAGGGAGATCAAAACTGCGATGGGCAGATGTGTTGCGCTGGACTTAAACATCCGAAACAGGCAATGGACAGAGGTTCTGGCGTTTGCAGTTGAAATGGCCTAGACTCGACATCGAGCTTTACAACCATGTTAACACTACTAATATTGATTTAACATATATTTTATTATATCTGACATTATAAATTCACACTGCATGTAACCAGAGGAAAACTAACTCGAATTCCATTATTTTTAAAGTGAATCGCACAAAATTGTAAATGTTCTAATAAGTATTAATATAAATTAGTATAATCTTAAATTACGTTTCTGTAATATGTGTTTTAATCGTCTCGTCGACCTAACGTTATCAAAATGCTTAGTACATTGATATGAGCTCAGATTTTTAGATCACATTCGCTTCTCCTCTTATGCGAAACCCAATATTTGAGAAATATTAGGTAATTATATAAAACCTAATGAATAAAAGAATTACTTACCACCAGATTGGGAGTGCATGGATGGTGCTGAAGAACCGGGAGATTGGCCTGGAATTATAGTGAATATTTCAATGAATTTTATGTTCTAAAAATCAATGGTTTATATTCATTTAACTTGTTGCTTGTATGATAGCACGTTGTTTTTAATACTCAACATTATTTGATATTTAGGTGAAAAGTTGACTATGTACTTGGATATAAATTTAAATATGATTTCCAGAATACTGCTTATGGCAACTTAACATTAAGCTCCATCTCCAAAGTACTAAAATCAATCCTATGCCCGATGTCCTAACGAGAACATTTGTGGTTAATCAAGATCTTCAAGGCTTACTTGCACGAGCAACAATGGGGTTGCACATCGAATCGCCGCTTGATATCAGTCTAATCATTTCATTCCAGTGAAGCGAGTTTATGGCAGGACAAAACTCCCTATACTTTGTCTCCATTCTGTATTTTTTTTTTTATTTATTTAAAAATTCATTGTTAGTGTTGTCTACTGAGTTTTAACAATTTTGAATTCTATGTAAGGAATTGTTGTTGTTAGTGTAAGCGTGAGATAAAAATAGGTTATTTTTAATAGAGACACATGTGTTAAAAAGGGGCATACGACAAATATAATAGCTTGATCTATTTGAACTTGGAGAGAAAATCGAGTTTTAAACTTCATAAACTTATTTGAAGGAGTCAAGTTCACTATTTTAAATATCTCGACAAATCAAGAGTTTAGTGCAGCTGCAGTGACCGAAAACATTTTTTTAATCGTTACTTAATTGTTTTTTAATAGTTATGTATGTTGTCCAACATGGGTGCCGATCCCCCCCAAGGTCGATGGCGTATGACCTACCTCTCCAAATATTGTATTTCTCTTCTCTTCTTAAAAACAATGGAAGTGAAAGTAGGATTAAACAAATTGTAGATCATATACAATTACATTTGTTGTGGTTTGGTCCACGTTTTCCTCCTGGTTCTCTGTTTTGAAACTTTTCATTCCAACTCCATAGCTCCGTCGAAATGTTCTGCAGTCGAATAAATGTAGGCTTTGTGCATCCTTAATATTTACAGAGTAATGGATAGCTAAAATTAGCATTTTGTCTTATTTCACAAGAACGTTGTCACGGATTAAGAAATACTGAAAAGGCTATAAGAAGCCAATGTCCCACATGTTAATGTACATGCATTTATATTCTCGAATAGATGTGAAAGGTTATCTCGTTCATTATTATTATTATTTTTTCAAGCACCAACGAACTACTGATTAGTTTAGTTAAGTTTGTAACTGTTGTACACTCAATTATTTTTACATCAAATAATTAACATGTATGTATATAACCAAATCTAGGGTTAATTCGACAGCCATATGTCTAATAGAGTGATATCTAGTAACTGCAGTGAGCCAGGTGGACGACTCACACCAACAGAATGTTTTTCAGCTCTAAAAAATTTTACACAGGTACTTTCTCTTGTTTATGAAAATAAAGAATAATAATAATAATAAGGCTTAGCGAACCCGAAGGTTCGATACCGACACCACCAATCGCTTGTTACACACCTCCCTCCACCGTTCGCCGTCCAAACCCAGTCCCTTCAGATCGGCTTTAATGCAATCTTCCCACCTTCGCTTCGGTCTACCCCTCGGACGCTTACCATTCGGCACAGCAAATATTAACCTTTTAGGAATTCTCTCGTTACTAAGCCCAACAACTTTACAAGCCCATTTGATTCGCCGCGATGAAATTACCTCAATTATATTACCCGGATACAGCTCACGCATTTCGGCGTTGTGTAACCGTCTGAACTCTCCGGTTAACTCATCCTTCTTCGGTCCGAATATTCTACGCAATACTTTATTTTCAAAAACCTTAAGACGCTGCTCATCCCTTAATGTAAGCGGCCAAGTTTCGTATCCATAAAGAACTGTAGGCAAGATAATTGTTTTATAGATTCTAATTTTTGAGTTTCGGGACAAGAGGCGCGAACTAAGTAGATTTGTTACAGAAAAATAACAAGCATTTCCCGCCTTCAGTCTAACCTTAATCTCTTCTTCAATTTCGTTTTTTCTAGTTATCGTAGAACCTAGATACCTAAATTTATCTACCTGTTCAAACATATTACCATCTATATCGATATCAGCAGTAGTATCGCCATTTTGGCAGCTAACCATATATTTTGTTTTATCCACGTTTATTTCGAGTCTTAGTTCTTTACCGGCTTTCATTAACGTTGTCGTATTTAGTTTTATACATTCAACGTCTTCGCTTAACAGTACCAGATCATCAGCATAGCCCAGCACGGATGTTGTCCCGCCCAGATCCAACCCTTTCTCGGTTCGCATTACCTCCCTAATAGCATGTTCTAATGCCAAATTGAACAGGACAGGCGAAAGAGAATCCCCCTGTTTTAAGCCCGAACGAACCTCAAATTTTTCGGACAAATTATTACCGATTCTAACTTTATTTAGTGTCTCCGTCAAGCACATCCTGAGTAGATTTACTAGTTTTTTTGGAATCCCCTGCTCGATTAGAATATTATACAGTTTCTGGCGGTCAATAGAATCGTAAGCCTTTTTAAAATCTATATACAGCTGGTGAACAATACCGTTATACTCCAATGTTTTCTCTAATATTTGCCATAAAGAAAATATTTGATCAATAGTCGAACGATTACGTCTAAATCCGCATTGGTAGTCTCCGATAATTTTCTCGACGTATTCCGTGATTCGACTGGTTAAGATTAAAGTGAATATTTTATAACATACCGGAAGGAGTGAAATTCCTCGATAGTTATTACAATCCGTACTCGGACCCTTTTTGTGAATCGGAATAACAATAGATTCTTTCCATTCTTCAGGTAATTTCTCGTTCACCCAGATCTTTTTAACCAACCGAGGTATTTTAGAAACTCCAGCTTCCCCGCATGCCTTAATTAGTTCAGTAGGAATATTATCGATTCCCGCTGCTTTATATCATTTTAATTTTCCGATAGCTACTTCAACTTCCTCTTTACTTGGTCCTTCTATTAACAGTTCAGCACTCTGGTACTCAGAAGGAGGACACAGATCATAATTTCCCGTATTTAAAATATTGTCAAAGTGATCCTTAAACTTATTCAATATGTCAACCGGATCTGAAGGACAAGAATATTGTTATTAACATGAAAATAAAGAAAGTTGTTCTATTTTTTTAATTTGTATAGTTTACAACACCCGAATAACAAGATCTGCATAGAAGAGAAACCGTTCCAAAGAGTAGAAAAATGCAAATATCTCAACTCCACTATAACCTTATTGAATGACCAAGGGTTAGAAATAGACCAGCGGATAACTAGTGCAAATAGTTTTCTTTTTCTTTTCAAAGGTATTAAAATCCCGAAAAATCTGAAACGGTGTACAATACTATGATAAAGCCAGTTCTAATATATGACTGTGAGAACTGGACACTCATCAGCGCCCTAGAAAAAAATATTGAAAGATTTGAGAGAAAAATCCTACGCACGATAACTGGAGCGACCTTGAATCAGAGTACTAACACATGGAGAAAAAAGACCAATAAATACAGAAACTGGTCAATCAATATCCCATGATATGAAGTCACGGAGGTTAAGATGGGCGGTGTGAATGTACTTCGTAGATATATATCTGGAAGCCTCTGCGAGACAATGAATGCCTCAATAGAAGACAAAAGGCCGCGTGTAAGGCCAAAAAATAGATGGATAGATAAAATGTAATGCCAACAAATATAAAATAAAATATTGGTTTTAATTTCTTTTTGAGATAATTCTGTTTCCTCTAAAAACGAAAACTGAATACATAGTATAATCCAGATAAGTTGAAAGTCGGTTTAACAGTTAAATCCTAATTTTCAATCTCGTCAGTTTCCTCAGCAATTGTGATCTTATTTTTGGAAAATTTTATTGATAGACAAATGTATGCATCTCTTCATCACCCAGGATGTATTTATATGGCAAAATTGAGCTTGATTGCTGAAATTGAGTTTACACCTGTGAGAGTTGAAGCAAATTTTCTGTCCACTTCATTCAATCCATATTCTACCCATTAGTGGGGTCTGGCCTTCTAGAACAGCGAATATTTCTTCATTATGAAGATTGATATTTGTACTAGAAAGGTAGCAGGTAGTTTTTGCCTGTTTCTATAGCTCGCAAACGAGGCAGGGTTTCCCCAACAGTAGTTGTCGGAAGTCTCTGTTCTGTGCGGCAACCATCCAGTTTCAATCACAAATAGGTCAGCATAATCCCACCATCGCAGTCTTGTTCTTCCTGTCACTAGCTTCTTAGGCATCATGTCGTCATTCGTTTTCATCATGTGACTAGTCCATTTCATGATTTGTATTACTCCTGCTCCAGGCTCTGCTCCTTTCCTAAAACTTACTGGACGAAAGGCTACTCAAGGAAGGTAAGCTAACAAATAACTTACTCCCACATATTATGTGTCTTTTGAAGGCATATACCTTTCAACTTATCGATTAAATATTTTTTAATAATTTGAGGATCTCTAAACTCCTTCATATTGAAAAGCTTGGATACTTATGAAATCGTTCTTGATGATCTACATGGCAACCTCGCTCGAATGGGAGCTGATTGCTACCAACATTAGCTCTTCTAAAAACACATTATACTATTGACGTGTCTGTTCACATCGGCAGGCAGTTTGCCCATGAGGTTCATGTACTTTTGTGGGGGAGTAAGGTACTTCTGGTAATGAAGGCATAGGAAGCTGAAAATCATTATTACTGGTTGTGTGAAGGCTGTGCTTACTAATATTAGGAAAGCACACCTCTCCTTTGACCCCATTGGCATTCATGTCTCCAGCGATAATTTTCACAACATACTATTGGCAGGGATCAAATGTTATTTCCAATGACTCGTGGAATGCTTCTATGTCGTCATCTTCTGTCTGATTGATTTCTCTGCCTGCTTCCTCCCTCCCTGCCAATGTGCCCTTCGGTTCCACATTCGAAACATCTTGTAAGTGGGCACTGTGCTACCAAATGTCCCGTCTTCCCGCGCCCTGCCCCATCCCATCTCTTCTTCCTCCACATTTCTGGCTTCTTTGCCTCTGGTGCTGGCGTTCACCATTTCCTGGGCACATTCCACAAATGTCTTTTCTCTTGGTAGCACTGTCCGTCCCCTGTTCTCTCAAAAATTTGCGGGAATAAACAAATACAAAATAATTATTTTAGGAGCCAAACATACAATGGTACTTTATGAATAAAAAATAACGATATTCGGTACCCTCAGAGGGGGCTCCCCAATCATTCGACAGCGATAAAAAAGTACTAAACATTAATGTTGGGGGCCTTATCGCGGGGGCGAAAATAAACGAATACAAAACACATAATTTTGGAGGCTTTTTCGGGACTCCCCGATCTAAAGGACCTTTGGCGATAGCAGATTAGCCGGGTGGTAGATCAAATCGATCAGCGGATATTATTATTAGAATTATTAGACTTTTGGAATAATATTGATAATATAAATAATAATTGAAAGAATCTAGGAAAGGAAAATAAAGAAAAGTTAATATAGCGTACCAACTTGTGTAACTCTTCATCAGATGTTGATTTATGAAGAATAAGAACACCTGCAAATAATATATTTTTTTCATAA